CGAGTAGTCATTACAACACTTGCACATATGCAGACGTTTGACCGCTGTGTTTTGAAGTTGTCTTTGTAAAGCATTCGCTTTGCTGTTTACCTCTCCCAGTTAGACTAGAAAGGCAGTAATATTCCTCTCCCCTTCCCAAATATTGTTTTGACGACTAAATAGAGCCGACAATATGGAGTTTACGAAACGACGACGGCGACGCCGTGGACAACGTCGGTTAAAAAATGAACTTATATTTGACATACGAATCTCGCGATACTCGAAAGTCATTAAGTTTGTTTCTCGCGGTCAAAACTATCTCGAAACTGAACATGGAACACAGCGTTAAATTAGACATGGGAATCTAAAAAATTAGGCGTCGCCGTTCACGTTCTCCAGAAAACGCAAAGTTTGGTCATTTCACGATTTTGTTTTGCAGAGAACGCAAAGAAATTTACAAAGCTTTACAACACACGTGTACAGCCTTTGTCCTGCTCATGAAACCTTTTGTTTAGTGACGTTCCCGTTACCATTGTCGTTGTGGTTTTTTTTAAACTCCCTAATCTCTTCTGAGTAGAACTGGCACTAGAATGAACTACAATGAAAGAGAAAATGCACACAAATTTTATGATGATTCAGACCGAACCATTTGGAGCCTCATCCAGCTCAGCTATGGTTTTCTTCAAGGTCTTAAGCAATTCGTCATTTTCCTCGGAGGTCCCAACGGTAATTCTGACACAATCTTTGCAGTGGACTTTAGATCCTTGATAGCGAATCACAACACCTTTCTCTGAGGCCATTTTCTTGTAGATTTCATAGGCGTGGTCTATCCTCAGAAAAACGAAGTTGCTATCTGATGGAAAAATCTACAAAAAAAGACATGAAAGGAAAAATTAAATCACTTTATGCATCAGTCAGTTCATGGTCGAATATCTGGTTCGTTAAGCTTTTCACATATTTCAATCCTATCTGTCATTTGTGACCGTAAACTTGGAACCGCACCATGTGAAACCAGAAAACCCATGGGACCTTGCCTGTTCCAAGCGCTCAGTCAGTAGTAAACAGCGTAATGCAACTCTTGATTGTTAAGCAAATTCTCCTTGCCAGCACCTTGTATAGAGAGTAGTATGGAGAATATGCATGATGATGTTAGGGTGTAAGGAGTTAAGAATCTAAATGAAATACAGACATACAGCTGTAGATGTGTTCACTTAATGTTGATGGTATGTATTTGGTTTAGATAATTCAATAGTCCATTTCACAGTTGTGTGCTTGATTGCCAAGCCTTTGAATAGGAGTGAGGCTAAGGTTGACCTTGTTAATGATACAAACCTTCCTGCTTTTCAAATGAAAATTACTTTGTTATCATGCTAACTAGATACAGGTCTCTATCACAGCAAGGTCACCTTCAGCCTCACTCCAAATCAAAGGCTTGGCAACTAAGTACACAACTGTAAAATGACCAATTAGGTTACATGTACTAATGTAACAAAGTCACCAATTACCTTTCTCACTGTTGGAATTTTTTCCAGCTCTTCAATAATCCTTTCTTTCTGTTCAGCAATGCTCTTCACATTAGCCTCCATAAGGTGTACATTATCTAGTGCTTTGTGAGCTACAGAAGCAGTGAGTTTGCTGATGTTATAAGGAAATTTCACTTTGTTGAATATTGCAATGATGTCTTCATGAGCAATGGCCATCCCAAACCTTTAAAGAGAAAAGGAATAGTGAATTTTTTTTGTCTAATCAAACTCTCCAACCTTAAAAAACTGTGTCAGAACAGGTAGTCTGAATCCTGCAAAACTTTGCAACATTTGACAAACAGGTTCTGCTAAAATGCACCATTTAGTTTCTCCTTTGTCTGTTAGTGGCTTGAGTGGAGAAAAAGCCCTCACATGGTATTTCAAAATCTAAGGCGGGATATTAACATCAAAATAAATTCTGTAGATTTTTTGTGATAAAAATCTCACCTTATTCCTGCCAAACCAAATGCCTTGGAAAAAGTCTGCAGAATTACTAAGCGAGGATATTTGTCGAGAAGATAACACAGACTACCACAAGTGCTGAAATCAACATACGCTTCATCAATCACCACTATTCCTTCAAATCTCTCAAGAAGTGCTATAATTCTGTCAGTTGCCAAAGTGTTGCCTGTTGGGTTGTTTGGGGAACACAAAAAAATCACATGGGTTTGTGGAGTTACTGCATCTACAACCTAAAAAAAAAAATGGCCAGAGGTTAAGTTCATCCCCTGTGGCTCAATATGAAGCTTGGTTAGAACTAGGGCCCAACTGGCATCTGAGAAACATGTCATCAAAGCCTTACCCGGTATCCCGTTCACTGCAAAGATCTTGTTAATAATTCTCCTTACTATCTACCATGCAACCCTCATTATGTTATTTCAGAGAATTTGGTATTGGATCAACTGATAATCTCCTAATTGATATTTTTCTTTATTCACATCACTTGTCTGCCTGATATTGTATTGAGACTTGAAGGAGAAATTGTGTTTTGGTCTCTCATAGGAGTAAGAGGGTTAATTTTCTTTCTCTGAAATTTCTCCACCAATAGCGTTCAACCTGTTATGGTATCATTCATTTATTTGTATAGGAACAATCAAAGGTAATAATAAAAATGAAACCAGAACTTGGAAAATGAAAAACGAACTGAGAACAATAACAACAAAATATTTCAAATAAGTAACTTCCCACTTTTTCAGCCTGAGGGTGAAAAAGTGAGAGTTTCTGATTACCATCATGTAAACTGAAGTTAAGACTAAACTGCATATATAAATATATACCTCGTCAACTGGCAAATGGAACTCTTCTGTCAGAGGAACTGAAATGACTTGCACATTGTTTATGTCAGCCACAACCTGCAAAAAGGTTTCCTTTTCAATAATCAAGCATATCTCATGATGAAACAAAATTTAATTAAATCTATTACAAAGTTCTCAGTTTACATAATCCTCAACTGTAAGGCAACAGTAAACATTTGCAGAGGGAGACAGTAGGAGAACTGGGCTCTAATCAAGAGGTCCAGGTATGAGACCAGGGTGCTATAATCATTGTGTTTTATCCTTGGACAAGACACTTTACACTCACAGTGTCTCTCTCCCTCTCCCCCTCTCCATCCAGGAGGAAAAAAGAGTACTAGTTATTAATATCAGCTACAGTTGGGGGGAAGGGAGGAAGGAGTTAAAGGGGGGGGGGAAGTAGAGGGGAGAGATAGGAGCCTAACCTGTAATGAACTACCTACCAGTAACATACTTCTTGCTAGAGATACTAGGATAAGTTCTGGTAGTATGGGTAGGGCTGTCAACAAGTTTGAAAGTTGAGGAAGCATAAGGAATACTGGGCCAACATGTTATCTTGGTTGCCATGTTGTTTTGACAGAAACACACAAGGCAAGGAACTGAGAACTATCAACTTCTAATGTTCCTGGTGATCATCAAAAACTTTGTACAAAACCTTTGCACAAATTCTGAATTTATAATTGACTCATACACGTTAACCTAGCTGTTACTGGTAAACTAAAATGAGATGATTTTTAACTAGCACTTATAATAGAATAAAGAGAAAGAAGCTGCGCTAAAAATGACAGATTAGTCAGCAGTTTTGGCCGGCTACCCGGCAGCTCTTGAGTATGTACCACTTAGCCTGAGTGCTTACTCTTACTACTTTACTAGAAAGGGGAAACTTTTCAAGAGGTTCCCAGTGGCAGTCTTTGCAACAGTTTTTCAATCTTACCTTATACATTCCATATGTAGGTGGGGTGATCAATAGACTTCCCTCACCAGGGGTACAGAACACCCTTACCACCATATCAATTGCTTCATCACTACCCACTCCAAGATATATCTGCTCTTTTCTCACCCCTCTGTACTTTGCTATTTTCTCCTTCAAATCAAAGTTGTAGGGGGAGGGGTAACGATTCATGTCACCTTCCATTGGAATGCATGATCCATATGAACATTCATTGGCATCCAGGAGAATGCCTGGTATCAGAAAAACACCAAATGATTTTTGATTAATTCATGTGATAGTTAAAGAACATTTTATGTTTTTCTGCCATTTTTATCTTATGAATCATAAGTAAACTATGCTCCTAGCTCACTCTTTTCAGACAAATTTTCATAAGAAATAAAATATTGAAAAATGGAAAAAAAGAAGAGGAAAATGGCTCTAACCCTATAACTCCCACGAGTGATCAAGAGATAATTTATCGTTAAACTGTAAATGCAAATCATTGGTGCTACAGTTTCATGTAATCTCTATTTAGCTTAACATTCATTTTCTTTCTTCCGATAAGATTTTAATGTAAAATGAGGTTTCGAAATTTCTAACTACAACTACATAAAAATAAGGAAACTCTGAATAACTGACTGATCATTTAATGTTCGGAAGAGGATATAAGTCATATAGCTCGTGCAAATGGAGTTTATTGCGTTACAAGGCGTTACTATTGTAAGGACATCTTCTATACTCAGTCGTATTGTAAATATACTTTCCTAGGTGAAAGTAAAATGACTAATCACGAGGATGGCATGGTGAATAAATTGCCTTGATTGAGTTGAGAAACGAAAAAGAGTCACTTGATCTATGAATACTTTACAGGGGGCAGCCATTGATCAATGACGATGAAATTGTTTCAAATCTTATCTCCCTCGACAACCGGCAAAAAAATTAAAACGAGAAGTTAAAAAACCGACGAGTTTAAATGTGCATTTTTCGATCGAAGCTCAGAGTTCCTGTCTTGCATAAAGGTCTCGTAGGTGCATTGTTCTTCATTAGCACAACGTGGTTTGCTCATCTAACACTACTATTTTTAAAATCAGATTAAAAGAGAGTTACCGTTATCGTAATCATCCCTTGCACATCTGTAAGGAATCAACTTCAGTATATTTGGTCTCACCAGATTTTGCAAATCAAGCTGTAAATGACTCATGGTTGGTTTGTTGCTCTTAAGCTCAGTAGGCTGCTATCCGCTGAGTCCACAATCTTTTACAGCGGTGTTTACAATAAACAAAATGGCGACTACGAAGGGAAGAAAACAGGGAAAGGCCAAGGATTCCTCGGTAATCTCGTCTGGTTTTCATGAGTTCTTTGAAAAAGTACCTGTTTATACTGAGTTTTGTTTCTTTCATTTAGTCCAAAGTGCTTTTACAGGTCATAAACACGTTGTTAAGCAGGTGAGTCCGAAACGAACTTTTTGCAGCTCGGAATTCGCAAAATTTTAGGCGGACACCACAGTTAGCTTAATCATGGAGACAATGCGTGAACTTTATAGATTATGCATCAAGCACCGTAGGAGAACTGCACGTTTAGATGGTATTTTTCTTGCATAATTCTTTTGAATCAAAAAAGAAATGTTGGAAATTGCGAGCCAGCTGTTCAATGGACATTTCCGCAATACTTTCTTTTGTAGTAAGGCTGGTTTGCAAATGTCGCGAAAATCTGCGATATTGCCAAACTGCGGAATACCATGCAGAGCGGGCTTTCGCTTGATATTATGTACAATTTTCATAAAAGCACCTTTTCATTTGAAAATGACTTGGTAATGACTTAGACGGGAAGAAAATTATTCCCTTATTTCCGGCTGGGATTTCAATGGTCCAAATTTTGTTAGGCGTTTGTCTGGTATCCTCATTATGTTTCGTTCAGTTCAAAGTGGATTCTTCTATTGTCAACAACTCTTATCTAGTTTTGTTGTGCATCGGCCTTTGTATTCTGAACTTTTAGATATGTGCAGGCATTATATAAAGCTGATACAGGGAATCTATGTTTCTTTTGTAAGGGGTGTGAGGTACCCATGGGTCAGTTGCTTTGATGAACACTTATTGGAATCATTGTAATATGTGAGGGGATTGAACTGAGGCATTGAAAGGAAGAGAAAAACGCTTAAATGAAAGGCAGTTCATACATAAACGATTGAAGTTTAAGGAAATTGCTCCCTATTGCAGAAACCAGGGAAGCATGAAGAACATAATTTGGCAAACACCATACACTTAATGTATGGTCCTGTGGGCAACTAGTTAGTTTTGTTTTCCCTCAAGTCCTGATGTTTTCCTCATCTTAGTCTCAGGAAACATCAGGAACTCTTGGGAAAACAAAACTAACTGTTTCCCTTGGGACCATACATTAATTGCTTTGTTATATATTTAGACTTTCCATTAAACAATCATAAGGCAAAAGGATGCTGTTGTATTCGGCACGTGGGCAACAACTGCGCAATTGTATCCCATTCAGGACACATTTGAATTTGATTAGGGGCTTGTGACCAAGAATCAAACAATTATAGTGCTTGTTTTGTTGAGTGAAAGTCCAGGTATATAACAAAATTCATTGTCTTTTGAGACTAGGGCTTTAATTTATAGTAGTATTGAGTCGTATGAGAAACTTTCCAAAGCCTGCTTGCAGGAGGGTAAATTTTTCCTATTGGTCATGAGCTATGTTTGGAAACAGTTTTGTATAGGAGCTTCATAATGTTAGATGAAGACATTGGTGATTGATTAAAGAATAATACATATTGTTATATCATATGATGAAACATTGTACAGAATTGATGGTTTATGACGTCTAGGTGTCTAAAACTGACTGATTGTGTTGTTCTTACCTGTCAATGTACTTGGACCAAACAAGTAAAAATAGAAATAAAATTTGTTCATTTTTTGATCAGTGATAATGCAGAAAGAAGAGTTATTGAAAGAGAAAGATTGCAACATGAACTGAATGAATATGACGACAAGCTTAACAGACAGGTGGAGGGTAAGGCATTCTTTGTTTTAGGAAAAGTAAAGATCATGACAAAGTTTTGTGCAAAGGAATGTATTTGTATGGTGTGTATACAGGGCAGCACAATTTTTTTATTTTCATCTTTAACTTAGAGTGACAGGCTCTATTTAAAGGATTTATATTTTTGGTTTAAGGAGTTAAGCATGTTAGTTAGAAATATTTTTAATCGTTTATGGGTCTCAGAGACTTGAAGCTAAATTTAGGTTGGCAGCTATGTTCTATATGTCTCGTTCATTTATAAATGTGGTTGAAATGAATGTAAGTGTTGTTGTTTTTTAAAATTATTTTTTGCTTTATTTGTTTCTGTGTCATGATTATTTTCTCTTCTTTTTATTCTGAGTTGTTCTAGTTACATGTATCTGTTCTGTCCTAAGTAAAAGTAATGTAAAATTTCCTAGAATACAGCAGAAGGCTTAAGAACAACAAAGAGCATTGAAATTGTGGTCCACTTCTTGAGAAGTGTAATTACATGTTGGTGCATGTGATTGAGGGATGGATTGAACCACATTTTACATGTAACTTTTGAATGATTTGCCCTCCTGCAGCACACCAGGATCACTTGAAATCAAGCATTCAAACATTTACTGGAATCTCAACAAGAATTGAAGGTCTGTTTTTGTGACTTTGGGGCAATAACCTGTATTTTGAAATCAGGTTAAGATGAGGGGTGTTTCTTATGATACATTTTTTCCTTAAGTCATATTAAGGAAAAGATGTATCATATAATGAAATTATAGAAATAAAGTTGCAATTATAGAAAAGGGTTTTTCTTTTAACCCTTCTGTTTAAGAAAGTAAGGGAGGAGGGGGGACAGTTATGCGAGGGAGCTACTTATTTGGAATTATGGCCTTGGGACTGGGTTTGTATTTGGTTAGGGTGCCTATTAGAGCATAAAAGGCACTTATTGGAGGAAGTGTGTTAACACATAGGTGAGATTGTCAGATTAGACCAGGGTTTCTTTGTTTTATCAAGCTTTTTAATTCAGGGGCTAATCTTTGGATTTTTATTTCAAAATATACACAGCATCTCTTCAGAAAGTGAAAGTTCTTAGAGAGAATTTGTTAGCATGCAAGTCATTACTGCACTGCAAGAGGGAAGAGTTGAAAAAGTATTGGATGGATGGCTTGGAGTACAATGAAGTTTTAAATCTTTTAGACAGAATGTAAGTAGTTTCCTTTTGTATTATCAGACTAGTCAGCTTTATACATGTATGTTGACCGAAAGGATTGTAGTCTATTTTCAAGGGGTAAAAACAGTGTTTTGCACTCAGCTTGCACTCACAGCTCAGTTTTGGTGGAATATTGGTTTTAAGACCAGGAAATTAGATTTACTTCCTTATCTCAATCTTGTCTTCTTCTGTAAGGATTGGAGAAACAAATCATCTGGGTGTAGGCTCTTGTAAATAATAAACAACACATGTAGTATGGTTCATTGTTAGCACAACAAGGGGTGAATTTCATCAAATTCTTCTCCACTGATTCATTTAACTTTTTACTCCCAAACATCAGCATCCATATTTTCCATACTCCTCTCGAAACATTCCCTTTAGAACTGACAGGATAATTTGTTAGATATGATCATTTCCTTTATTTTTTGTGACTTTAATGTGTAATTCAAATGTGATGTTGTGAGGAGAAATTAGATGCTTGTAACTCTTAGGGGCCAAAGGGTTATTAATCATCAAGACCTCAGTATGCATGCAGTACTGTTACTAGAATTTTAAATTATTTTGTTTTGTTATGTGTTGTGATGTGTAAGTGTGATTTTCAAGGATTTTTTACTGAATCAGAAAGCTCGCTGTAGTGCTGCAGAGTCAGTGTTGGTGGCTGTCTGTGAGAATTTAGCTCGTAGTTTGCAACGGGTTAAATTTTCACCGCAAGCCACCTCCACTGCAGTGGATACACAACATGTAGTTGTTAAGTGTAGGTGACTATTCATTCAGCATGTATGCACTGAGTTACATATTCACATGCACATGGCTTCTCAACTGGAATGCTTTCAAACAGGTCTGTAGAAGAGATGATGATAAGATTTATAATAGTAGTAATAGCCGTTTATTCACAGTATCTCTTTCAAATAAACATGGCTTTTCACTGGACTTGTGTAAACTACCCCCACACTGAGGAACAATGAAATAGTTTATTAAAAACAAAGCTGTTTTCAAGTAATAAATTTAAAGTCTTTTCTTGTCTAAAAGCTGTATCATCTACATGTAAATCACACCAAACTGAAGAACCCATTAAAACCCTGCAAATATAGCAGTTGCCAGCTCAGATCTTCATATACAATCCTGTATCTAGTCTCTCTCTGTATAATTGTTTTTCTTATTTTTAGAGATCAAGTGAAGAATGTCCCTGAACAGATTGAGAAATATAAGAAAAAGAAATATTACCTGCATGCAACAGAGCTTCTTGTGTCTACAGGTTTGTACTGTCATGTTTTGTTTTAAAAAGAATAAGGATGGTAAGTCTTAAGCTCAGTAAAGTAGCAGAGAAAGATGTTTTTTGTCTTGTCATGAGTGCAACAAGACAGAAAACATCTTTCTTAGATCCATTCTATTTTGCCTGTTCAGAAAGTATGTTATTATCCATTTGAAGGTTATCTTGGTTTTGTTAGTGTTAAGTATGAGAAAAGAGTGCTCCATGTACATGTACTCAACTGCTGTATAGGACAATAGTCTATTGGATTTATTACTTGACTTTCACACTTTCTTTGCTTTTGCTGTCATTTTAGTGATACCTAAATGTATTGTAAATGTACATGTTCTTCCTTGTAGAGAGATGCATTATTAAATTAAAGTAATCATGAACACAAAACAGTACCTACCCTGGGCTGGAACAAGGAGCTATAGAACTGGATTCTGGTGCACTTGTCTTCAGAATGATCCCTCACTATTTCAGTTATGTTATCTCATTTAGTGATGAAAAAGGGTTTAAGATAGAGATACGTGTAGCTAGAGATACAACTGTGCATGATATTTTGAAAAAAATGTATGGGGGGCAAGGGGGACATAAAATGATCTTAATTTTTATTTATTTGTGTATTTCTTCAGTTTCTCTACTAGAAGGAAGTTTGTCTGGAGTGGAAGCATTGAGACATCTTCGTCTTGATTTACAGTCACGCAAAAAGGCAAGTGTTCAAAGCTTGTTCAACAAATTGAGCTCATTTTAAGACCACTATTACTTGTCTTGATTCTTCATCATGCATGGATTTAAAGTTCCTGATCAGGTTGATAAAGTTCAGTATTTTGTTGTTAGGAATACTGTGTAGGTACATGTACCCTGTGCAACTATCTTGCTCTGTTGCTTTAATTTGTATCACTGTATGATTTTTTACTGAGATTTCAATCTTATGTTGATGTACTATGGAGAAGTTTCCAGTGGCAATAGTGATCCCTAATAACCTTGACTTTACTTTAATTACACTGCATGTACAGTACATAGATTAAGAGGTACCACAGGCAGTAAATTTTACCAGTTACTGCCTGAGAAGGATCACACTGCTATTGGGAGTACTCTAGGTTTGGTTGTAAGAGGTTCAGTCGAAGAGTTTACTGTGACTGTAACAATTGTTTTTATGATTTTATTTTTGTCCTTTTCCTCAGGTGGAGCATGAGTTGCTGATTAAAGAATTGACCACTCATCTGTATTTGAAGTCAGAGAAAAGCAGAGAAAAGAGAGCAAAACTGGTGGCGTACATGACAGACAGTGCTGCTTTGGCTGTAAAAGGTACAAGTACACACTGTGCCCATGCTACATACTTAGGTTGTTATTGTTATATTTGAGTGATTGGTTACTAAAAGGAAAGAACCATCCTTGGGATGAATTTATAGTTACATGTCATGTAAACAAATTGTGTTTAGGTCGAAAGCATTAAATTTATGAAGTAAATCAAAGAATAAAATTTTTGCAGAATCTTAAATTCAAATCTAAATATGATTGTGGCAAGATATGCCCATGCAAAAATTTACTACTACTGACAAGTGTCTTTTCAACAGAATCATCGTCCAGTATTGGGTCATCTGGAGGACTCTTTAAAAAATCCCATTCCCGCACTGCTTCAAGTAAGATGTGAATAGCAATTCTCCCTTTCAGCTGTTATGCATTTCCTTCTTGGTTACCAGTAGTTGAAAGAATTTGTGTTTATAAGATGGCATCCTCTAGCTGAAAATTTTGTCAATTCTAGTCATTTTCTTGCTTGATAATGCATTCAGCTTGCTAAGATATGTTACATGTACTGAAATCTCTTCTGGGTTGAAGGAGTTAAAAAAAAGGTGTAGAACTACTTGATGATGTAAGCTCTCTAGCCAAGTAACATTCATTACCATAATTATCATGATCATTGGTAAAGCTTAAAATTGTTATGATCAGTGATTTTTTTCTTTATATTCATGGTACACCAGTTGTACTATCATTGCTCTTTGGTGTTATGACCTTGATGGGTATGGGTGTAGTGCATCACAACACAATAAGCTTGTGATATCACCATTAACATTCCTATTGAAATATTTTACATTGCTCTACTTTTACTAGCACTTCCAAAAACTAATGCGAGTAAGCAAAGAAAGATTTACTGCATTTCACTTTTTTTAATTTCTACAGACCCTGTTAGACAAACCTACATTGATTTTTGAATTTATCTCCTTGGAATGATTATTATCTTGTAAAAAAATTGAAGTCAAGTTAATTTTTTTCCATACATGACATACATGGTGGTTGTAAAAATTGAATCTCTATTATCTAACAAGAGGTGCTTATGATTATGCTTGTGAAAGGTGTTTTATTACTTGGTAATTGTAATTTTCAGTGTGATTACTTTTTCAGGATCATTTATTCTTTCTGAAACAATATCTTCAGATGATTCTCTTTCTTCAACTGAGGTGAAAATAAGAGAATTAATTGTATATAATTTAATATTTGTACAAACTGTCCATGTCTAAAGACAGCCTTCTTTAAGTTGATACATGTAAGTAATATATGTAAGCATCAAGGGAAGTTTTATTATGCAATTCTTTTTTAATATATATTAAGCTCATAGTGAGAAGTATTAACCCTCTGACCCCTAAGAGAGACTGTTGTCTAATTTTTCCCCACGGTTTCACCCCTGAATCAAATATTATAGTCATGAGAAGAGTGTTAATAAGATGGATATTACTTGATTTGACATTAAATTCAGAGAAGAAGAATCTCTAGAAACATATTGGGGATAGTACTAAGATATTTAGACCTTAGCACATATTTAGATCTGGGGAATGAACAATGATGAAAAGAACAATGATGTAAAATACATTGTTCTGTCTTAGGTCACTGAAGATCTCAATACCGACCCTGAGGCTGACAGTAATCACTTCATGATCGTGATCATAGAGTCCCTATCTCTTCTTGGGAAGATCCCTGAAGCACTAGAGGTATCATAATTTATGTATACTTTTCTGTTTATACAAATTAAGAGCATATCTCTTACTAGTACAATCATAACCATTACAATTTATTTCTTCAAATGTGATTGGTACATAAGCTGCTGTATTTTTCACTTGTCAGTCTTAACTGTTGTAATTGGACAGAGTAATCAGATGGTTGGTTGAAATCAGACACCTGTAATTGGACAGTTGAAGCAGTCAATCATACTTTGTCCTTTCAGCCAAATCTACCAATCACAGAATTGATCACAATAACCATAGCACCAACCACATCCTGAAAACTAGGGAATTTCCAAATTGGAGGAATTTTTTACTTAAATAGACACTGTCCTTAATGGAAATGTTTCTCCTAAATTTATCTGACTTTTTGTCAGAAATTATAATTGTTATGATTAATTGGTAATAGGACTTTGTGTTGTCCAATTATCTCTGTAGTCATACTACTGATTGACAAATGGGACTCACTTGTATGATTTCAGACTGAATTGGAATCTACCCAGTCCTCTTGCCATTTGTAATTGCCCAGATTATTATAGAGATTCTAAGCTTTGGTTGGTCAAGGATTCTGTCCCATTTCTCTATAATGACCAATGCGATTATAGCAGTGGTGCTATATTTCAGCACCACTGTTATTATGTTATTATAGAGACTGTTATTATGCAGCAACTGTATATGCAGGTCACTTGTTGGGTGCCTGGCCAATGAGAATTAAGAGAAAAAGGAATTAAATGACAAAGAAATGACACCAATGAGACCTTCTATGTATGTGAATTTGGATTATTGAAATTTAGTGGGTATAATGGTATAAACAAAGGGTTAGTGAACAGGTAACTGGTTTCATTTATTGCTTCAAAAAGGTTTCCTGTAAACAGGAAGTAACATATTCCCTACTGGTTGATGTAAAGACCTTACAAATGTCTAAAAGTTAATCAATCCAAACAAAATTTACCCTTCCTCAAGTTTTGCTGCTTTCTGCTTTGATTTGACAGGCAATCAAAAAGCGAATGAAGATAGAGATGTCATTAATTATCCATAGGGCTACAACTCTTGTTACTAAGAGGTAAGAGGTGTCATTTTTGTTCAAGAATGTATTTCAGTTTGTATTCAAGAATGTATATTAGTTTTCTGAGGTTAGAAAGGTACTTCTTTGCACATTCACAAAATGGTTGTCATGCTTGAATTTTGGTAGTAATTTAATTGAGCATGGCTAACTTATTTTGTAGAGCACTGAACTGTTGTGCAGTAAGTTGAGGGTTCAGGTCCCAGGCTGGCCAACAATCAGGGTCTTCAAATTGTTTATACAGGTCCCCATTTAAACTAGCTTAAAAAGCTGAACTGAGCTAGTATTGCAAATTAATAAATTAAGAAGAGAGTTTCTCCAATCAAATAAGCCCTCTGTGTAACTTGGAATACTTGATGTCTGATAATGGGATTGTATATAAACCCCAGGTTTTTATTTTTCCTCATTCTTTTTTTTTCTCTCCCTCTTTTTTCCCCTTTAAATTAACTTTTGGATTCTTGAACAGGATTGGACAACCTGGAGAGATCATACTTCAACAGGTATTTGCATGTATTTAGTACAATTTGTCTTGGATTTTCCAAAATTAATTTTGATATATTTAAGTAAAAGATCTTGTACCATACCAACTCTCTTGTGGCAAGTTGGAGCCTATTGCATTTTTGGAAGCATGAATCTACAAGGAATGTTGCTACAGGTACTCCTCCGGAAAAAAGTTGCAAGTCCTTTGCAGGTCATCCACTTTCCCCAGCTCGCGACATGATTTCATGTTTTGCTGACAGTTAAATGTTTCTGTTTAATCCTTCATGAAAAGACGCTTACGAGTTACTGAGAGAGAATGATGTCTTGCACAATGGAGCAAATTTTTTACCAAGTGTCGAAACTTATTCAGGAGGGCATTGGTTTCGGTTTACTTTGTTCTGTGATTGGTCCAGAAAACTCGCGTCACTCACTGGACCAATCGGTATCCGGTTAGATCGCACCATGGTTAGATCGCTCCCAGTTAGATCGCTCCCAGTTAGATCGCTCCAACCAAAAGTTAGATCGCTCCATCAAATAAGTTACTTCGCCACTAACAAGGTACTTCGTTTCATGTTGTAATGTGAAGTATTGCTTAGCAATGATCTTTAAAGTTCATAGGTGATGATGTGTCTTGCGACGATTCGAGTACATCGTATACACTCTGTCCATCAGATTAACCACCTATATATTTATATATATATAGAGGTGACTAGAAGTATAGCGATGATGGAATAAATGATCGTGGTTACACTTCGTGAGTCCGTTACATGAGGCTTCATTTGTTCTCTCTGCGTAACTCAGATTTATTTCAAGGGCGCGCGAGCGATATTAATCGATTGTTAAGTAAGATATACACGTCATTTGATGAATTGTAAATTTAGATAGCTTAGTTTTGCTACCTTTACCTTAGTTTTCTACATGGAGCGAAGTAACTCATGTTAGGAGCGAAGTAACTTATACTGATGGAGCGATCTAACTTTCGAGTGGAGCGATCTAACCTTTGATTGGAGCGATCTAACTGGGAGCGATCTAACCATGGTGCGATCTAACCGTAATTCGACCAATCACATGCAAAACTAACAACTTGGTCGCCCGCGTTTTCCCACGTTTGAGGCGCTGAGCTTGTTTTCACTTTGAGTTCCCATTGGCTCTTTGGGTTATTTTCCTTTCATCTGAGTAGCCGCTGTGAATACTTTAATTTTGGTTTTTACGATACTCGATCGAAAAGCGCTCAAACACAACCCAGTGACCCTGGATAAAGCTTCAAGCGGGACACTTTATGTGACGGCCAGCATATTATAAACATTTTGTTATGTCGTCTCCCAGTAGAAAGTAACAAAGAGTTTTTCTTTAAATTTTCAGAATCAGCCTCATTACCTTTTGGAACTCTTAGAAGTGGTGTTCGACTTGTTCAGAGCCGTGGCACATGCGCATGACACAATTCTTTCTGCAATCCACCGAATCATTGTAAGGAATGAGTTTTCTTTGTATTTTAAATAAATAAATTATATCACTATTTCTCAGGTTGCTGTTGTTCCATAAATGCCCCGTGCCGGCTATTTAATTTTTTTTTGTCAGAAAAGTTTCAAAATATAGGATTCTATGAATATTATTGTGCAACTTTGTAGAAATGTAATTTAAAAAACGAGTTATTTGGTTAAGTGCTTCGTGCCTTGCCACTGAGCTACTGAGTATATGATGGTGAGCCGGGCCACGACCCGGCTCGGCTCTTGAATTGTCCCCTGTAGTTTATATGACAAATGTTTGGGATACAAGTTACGCAGACTGATCTCGATCCCTTCAATTGTAGGAAGGGAAAGGTTCCTTGACGTGAAGTTATGGACAGTATTCCATGCATTCTTTCAAAATGTTGAATTCCTTATTGCCAACGTATTCATCAGATCATGCAATAGTTCCTTTGCGAGGTTACAGTAATGCATTTTGTCACACACGGCTGGGTGTTTGGGAATATGTTTTAAAAGAACTTTTGTAACAACACAAATGAATCATCGCGGTAACTGAGAAGAGAGGCAGTAGGGATGTGAACGCGTTAGGTTCATCTGTTTATTCTTGCTTGAGATATACCGTGTCGTCCTTGAAAACCTTGTGATAATTTTCCAAGAATGTCTAGTTGGTGATGTAATGCTCTTTTCCATTTTCTTTTTGCAGAAGACGTCAGATACGCCGATTGATTTAGGTACGTTTTAAATTATGTAAACTTGTGTATTATTTAACTGTTTGCAACTCGCTTGTGACATACCATATTGATGGAAAGCTACGCAACCTATTTTTAAAACAATTTTTATTAGAAATCTCATCCAGTGGCAACCTGATTTGGCAAATTTTTGAAAGTACTAGCCATTCCAAACATAAGACTTACTTTAGCTTGCCTAAGTGCAAAGCCCGCCGTTTAATATATACTTATTGACCGACTGAATGGGCAATTGGACGAAAAAGTAACCCTATGTCACGAGGTGCGGACCCTGTAGCTCTTGGTCGTTACCTGATGACCGAGAGCTAAATATTTTCCCGTCCGGCCCGACCTCACTCAGTCAATGAGTATTTTACCATATGATCTCAGCTTTAACCCTTTAACTCCCAGATCAAATTTGTAATTCTCCTTACTGTCAACCATACAATTCTTATAAAGTTAGTTCAGAGAATTTAGTATTGGATCAACTAATTATCCCTAAATTGATGTTTTTTCTCTATTCTCATCACTTATCTGGTTGATATTGTATTGATATTGTAAGGAGAAATTCTGTCTTGGTCACTCATGGGAGTTAGAGGGTTAACTCTTCCTTTCTATCCCACTCGCCTCGGCTTGCGAGCAGGCCTTCATTACTGGTGCTGCAGGATGCACATTTCTTCGCCCGCGGGAAGATTGAAGATGAGTCGAAGAGAGTTTTGCGGGGGGTCTGGCGTGAGTGCTAGACCCCTTACAGACTCCTCCCTTGCTTCCCCGCGGGTGAAGAAACACTCGGGCCGTATCAGTAATGATGAGGGCCAGCTCGCAAGCTATACTTGCCTCTCTTGGGCCCTTACGCCAGGTTGTGGGTCCTTCTCCAACCCTAATCGCACAGTTGCGGACAGCCTTCGTATGTTTTTTTTGGAAGGATGTTTTCCAACTAAAGTGCGTACTGGGCTGAAAGGGTCTCACTATAGTAATAGTTGTTTAGGTCTTTAAAATACTGTGAACACAGATTAGGCCAGAAATTGCTCAATTTTGATGGAACCATTTTCTTTCCTATTTGGGAAGCTAAGCAAGTTGACCCTTCCTCTTTTTGTTACTAGGAGATACAGACATTTACACCATTGACGATGTTTGGTCTGAGATTCAATTTGCTGTAAGTGGAAACATTTTGTACTGAAGATGTAGGATCACAAAGGTGTAGGTTTTTTGTTGCATTAGTTCTCCTGATAGTAAAATTTACTTTCAGATCCAAGTATTGCTGGGGGACTACTTAGATGTTCAAAACACTGCAACACAACAAACTTCAGTGAGCTTTACTGAGTCATCAAGGTAATTTTCTTATCTTCGTAAACGATGCTATAAGAGCACGTATGTTTTAACATAGTTACAGTAAGCGAGAAGTCGGATAGTCCAGTGGTGAGAGCGCTCGTCTTCCACCGCTGTGGCCCGGGTTTCGATTCCCTGAACTGGCGTAACATGATGGTTGAGTTTTGTTGTTGGTTCTCGTCCTTGCCCTGAAGGCTTATGTTCGGTTCCTTTCGGTTTTCCTCCCTTCACAAAAACTAACGTTCCTAATTCCTATTCGACCTGGAGACAGTGGACAGGTAGAGCTACCTCAAGGAAAGTCCACGGCTAAATTCTTATTCTTATTATTGTTATTATTATTTTTATTATTATTACTTTTTATTACTTATTATTACGAAGGAAAATGATGCGAGGTGCCAGTGGTGGGAACTTTAGTCACAAAAATCAAATTTTTGTATGAAAGCGAGGGAAAACGCGAGGGATATAATTGCGCATTGTTTGAGTTTGCGTCGGATTCATTCGGATGGTAGTACAAGTTTTCTGCATTGATCTTTCAGGAAAGCGAAAAACCAGTGCAATTCCCGAATCCGTTTTGATACTTGTAAGGAAATTTTGTCATTGTGATTTGTAAAACTTCAATGAACGGTTCTCACTGATTGCATTTACTTTTTAAACAGTTGAATAAAGCTCAGTAATGGTCTGTTTATTTCCTTTTTCCTAGTGATGTGGCAGCATTCTTTTCTCTTAGAAGAAGAGGACCTCTGAAGTCTGATGAACGGGTAGGAATACTGAGTCTTATTCTTCCTCTGCTACTTCATTTTACCATATTAGGGCATCGGAATATGCCCCCGCATTACATTGGAAAACGTGGTAATAAAACAGATGAAAAGCGGAGCAATAAAAAAGCCTCTTAGAACGATCCAAACTTTTTTTGCTTTTTCTCCTTTTTTCAGGCTTCGCTTTACAAGACGTACCTTAAGACGCTGCAGATTTTTTTGTGCGCCATTATTAACACTTTAATGGTTTCATTCGTGTTCTTTTCTTCTTTCGCGCGGCCTTACGCGATCTAGACGAGGTTCAGATGAGGTTGTAAGATATATTTCGAAAACTAGAAGCCAAATACGTGAAACAGCCAAAATACTCCGACTCCTTCGTCATTCGCTCTGATAAAGGGCTAACGCTCGAAACGTCAGCTTTGAAACTCTCTACGGTGGCCAGTTTGCGTTATCAACTCCTTGATAATATTAAATTACCCTGTTATACTCTCCTACCGACGCAACACCACAGTATCTTTAGAAACTTACCCCCTTTATTCATTTGCTTTTCAGACCCCACTGTATCGTTTTGAAGGTTCCTCGTCAGCTATCAGTATGAATACGTACATCCGGGAGAGGCGCCAAGAATGCATGGCTGGTACTGCGGTATGTAAAAAAGTCTTTGATCTAAAAGAGTCATTAGGGGACTGGGTACAAATGGTTTTAAAGCTGAAATTTGCCACTTCTAAGAGCGTCCAAGCCTTAGGGGCCAGTCGTTCTTAATCGCCTGAGGGGGGAGGGGGGGAAGATGGGGGAGTGTGGAGGGGGAGGGGGGTGTGGAGGATTTTAAGGGGATCATATGATTTTCAGGGTAACGGAGGAAGGATCAGTCGTTGCGACAGAGTGTAAAAGGGGGATTATGGAAAATAGGCTGCTAATTAGCTACCAGTGAGAGGTGATAATAAGAATATTACAGAGCCTTAAAGGGGAATGAGGCAAATTTTATCGCGAAACAACCAAAATTCTCTGACTCTAGCAGTTGAATAAAAAAATGACTTGTCTCTTACTTAGGTATTGACTTTGTAGAGTTTTGTAACCCTTTAACTTTCATGAGTGATAAAAAAATTTTTTACAATATCAATACAACACTAGTTAACAAAATTAGCAAACGTTCAAAATGAGTGAATGTTGTGATCCTCTTTCTGCGAGGCTTAATTTTACTGTGCGATCGATGATAGCAAAACTCCGTTTAAAGACTCCCCAAACTCGTTTACAACGTGGCTAAATCGATTAATTTTCAAACCTACTACGACAAGTCTTACTCTCAGTAAAAATGTATGCTGTGCAGTGCATTGCGAATAGGAGGAGCCAGGGGACGCTCTTCTTCTCATTCTCTGTTTTCGCGCGGAGCTGATTTCATAAATAAATACTACTTTCTCTTCTAAAACTTTCAGAATGAAGATGACGATGACACTTATGGAGTGCCGCTACACAACACCAAGCCACAGCTGTTATGTAAACCAAACCCAAGGAACATTACAGGTGAACTGATAAGAAAAATCCATGTGAATCGAGGTCGTGATGACATACTTTGCGTTGTGATGATAAATTTACGGATCAATGTCAGTCCCTGAGCAACTGCGCGCTTACCCTTCCTCTAAGCCAGCGTTAACCCCAACTTGTAATCATTTGACTGTTGTAGAGTTCGGGGAGGGAAGGGTTAGGTGCGCAGTTGCTCACACATTGTCCTTGTTCGGAATTTTCAATCGACTCTGTTGATATTTTTCTTGAAACGATTTACCGTGTTTGTTTACCTCGCTAACGTTGGCTTTCCTTGTTTTTTTCTTAGTTGTCTTCTGCCCTCTGATGTCCTTTGTCGGTGAAATAGAATCAGCCATTAATATACACGGAGAGTAAGTGTGCTGTAGTTACTTTCTTTTCTACCTTCCTGTCTTTACTTACTACTTGAAAACGTTGTCAACTTGAAAAATAGATTCCATGTTTCCGTGCATCTGTTTAGTATAGTTAATCACATGATTTCGAGTGAAATTTGGAATAAATAAGCAGGAGTAAATCTTTTCAAAGACAAAATTGTACGATCCCATAGGGCGAGTGCAATTTGTGGTCTTAAAAAAAATATATACAAGTGCACATTTATTCCAAATTGTACGAGAAAAATCATGTGATCACTTACTAATAATGTACGTGAAAAAAATACGAGATAGCTTATCATAATTACGCAGAAGCAAGGCGCGCGCATCAAGTGCAAAAATAATTGATTCAAACCCTGCAAGTGACATTGCGCGTTCGGTCAAAACAACCGCGTACGATCAAGACAGTAACACACAATGATGTTTTTACATCTTTAGGCGCAAAAAAGTTTAAAGCCCGGCTAAACAGTTCAAGGAGTTGTTCAGTCTGGTTTGTTACTTCTTTGCACTGAATTGACTTACTTGACTGCATTGACTTACCTGAAAACTGCATTTATCTCAACCAATCAGAACTGAGTAATTTTTCATGTATCTTATTAGAAATGAAATAAAAACAAAAGAGTGACTCAGGAGGCGCAGCTGAGCGTGTCACTGATGTTCTTTCCACATTTTGACATCCTCTGTGATCTGTTACTATACAGACGTACTGTAACACGTAATCTATCTGTTTTATATGATAAAAAGCAAATTTTCGTTGATGGAGAGTAATCTAAGCGTAATATAAGTAAGTAGTAAATCAAAGTGCGTTTGTAATTCAGCTTATCATATGCTGTTTCCTGGTTCAACTGTTGTTCATCCAGTCAGAGCGATTACTTGTTGCAATAACAGTTTTGGCAGGACCAGAGATTTCTTTTCAACTCACCTATCCATTCGGACAAATACAGCATTTCTTGCCCACTTGAGCTCTAAACTAAAACATCGCAGTAACGGCTTGAAAATGCAGACGAACTCATGGGACACTCGGAAAACCATAAACAGAATAGGAATGAAAGAGGCTAACGGACTTTTGGAGTTGTTTTTGGGACAGCGTGGAGAAAATTTGGCCCAGTCTTGTTCATTTGTAACTCTGAATTTTACTGGAGAGGTGACTCGAGGAAAATCTCCATTTTTCATGTGGAGTATAATTTACCTGTAAGAGGCTGTGGGTCTGTTATTTCATTGCTAACTTTACTTCCTCTAAAACTTTACAATATTTCTTTTTAGGATGAGATGCACTCTATATGGTTTTATCACTGACTACGTGAAGGACATTTTTATTGAGGACATCCTCTTTCATATTCTTGAGAAGTTGAAAGAGGTAACCGAAGGTAAGACTCATTGTACTAAAGGCAAAAAAGAAAAAAAAAACCGCAGAGCAGAGTTTGAAGATTAGAAATGTTACAGAGGTGAAAGAAGTCGCTTTCGCCTTCTGTGACCAGGGTTCGATTCTCGGAGCAGGCACTACGTGGGTTGAGGTTTTTTTTTTCATAAGTGCGAAATGAGAACCAATAACCATTCCAACAATGCAATAATGCGCCTCCCACTGAAGGTGGGAAGCGGGTGCTTCCGCTGCTGCGCCTTCCGTTATTCAGTTTATCCGAATTCAGACATACGCAATGTACAAATTGGCCTCCTGACTGAATGTAATACTCAAGCGATTACAGAAAGCGCTAACATGCTGTTGCTGGTTATTGAAATTTTTTGTTTGCTTTCTTTGTCGATAGACACGGACACATTTCGAAGGACCACTGATGCAAACATTTTGAAGCTCTTGGGAGCAAACAGACCCCTTCTACAGGTAGGTTTTTGTTTTTTTTTTGGCTTAATCTTTCGAGCCTAGTAGCTTATCAAACTGGAGCTTATCCCGGTTTTTTATTACGTGAAGCAATAAGCAGTAAAAAAAAACTGATTCTATTCCATGGCAGGTTTCTTTTCCCACGTCCCACTCCCTCAGTAAAGAATTACTGAATTTAAAAAAGAATTTGTTAAGTTTCTTTGAACGTTCACCGCTACCCAGTTGAACTTCCGGGTGCAGAGAGGCATTTTGAGAATAAAGTAGTTTACCCAAGCTACAGAGTGACCTGCTAAGGGCTCGAACCCAGACCTCTCGATTCGGCCGGATTTCAACGCGGTCACCCGGAATTCAAATACCGCGTCTCCCTGTAAAACCTGACGATATTTCAGTGTCGGGTTTTTCAATTAAAGCTGGTTACCGGCGGTTTCCGGTTGGTTATTAGGCCTCTTATGGTCGTCTTTCAAGGATTTATTTATAAGATCTTTACGGCCTCTTTTTAGTTCAGTACCATCTTTTCTACGAACGGTAGTCACGTATGAAAAAAAGAAGTAATTAAAACTTTCTTTAGTTTCACTTTTAATCGACTCTAGTGCTTTTCCCTTGTCTGACTAGAGCACTGCGACTGTAGAACAACTGATACAGGATCTTAAGAATCTTATGCATAGCTTACCAAACTACTCGCCTCAGTTTGTTGAAATGGTTTGCAAAATGCTGACGATTTTCAAGAATCGGTGTGATGAGACATACAAAGGTAAGTTCTATCGCGTGATGTCCTCTTCTGCCAACTTGGTAAAAATTGTTATTTCAATTACAACCTCTTTTGTTTATCTGCAGATCTGCTGAAATACAGCATGGATGGTGACAGACACACTCGTGTTTTCAGCGCCAACTGGACCAAAGACGAAGACATCAGTCGCTGCTTGAGGTAAGGAAGTGATCAACATGTAACTTCTCCCTATAATATTCATACATTATCCAGCAGACAGGTAGAAGAATATTCAAACTTATCACATAGAAAATTGTTATGGTGTCCGAATACCAAATTCCCGTAACTAATTTTCTAGGAAATGTGTAGCAGCTATAGGGGAGAATTAACAATCAAATTTTTTGGAGTTAAAAGGTTCAGGCTCAGGAACCTACTGTCCCGTTTCAGCCAAGCTTTATCCCGAATCTGCAGGACTAAGGATATTCAAGGCTTTTAATAAGTTTGAAATTGAAGGAAATACGAATTAAGTGGAGGTAAAGTTCTCGTGAACGCCATGTTATTTTATTAGGCGTTCCACGAAGTTCGATCGAACCTTTGGTAAATTATGTATTCAATTCCACTTGATAAATGGCCGCTGTGCAAGGGGCTTCAATGGTACTTCAATATATTGACGATTTTTTATCAACTTTTGTGGTAAAATGAGGTGAAAGTAGCCGACCAAGTCGGCATACCAGCCGACGATCTTTTGCTGCATACAAGCTGTCATTGACAGCTCTTAGTTTTACGACTCCTCTTAGAAGGGAAAACTAGTCTTTCCTAAGCTGGTGACCATGTTCCTTGATAGTTTGTTGGCGCATCTTTGTACTCTTTGGTTGAGAGAGGCATTGTGGGAGTTCAGTGCCGGCGGGTTGGTTATGAAACGCAACACTGGGACCCTCCGAGAGTCCGAACATAGACCCTTCTGTTCAGAGTCTAGCATCCCAAGCGCTACGCCACCTCGTCTCGACATTACCTTATCGTATTTGACTTTTGATTCAAAAGAGATATTGAATGGAAATAGATAGACTTTCGGTGTAGAAGGAACTTAGTGCGAGGCTGTTTGAGCCTGGCTAACTGTTGCTCTGCTCTGCAGGTCCTTACCAAACTGGCCTGGCCTTCAACAACATCACTCGCATCGACAAAGACAGGTTAGTGTTTAGCTTAGCCCTGCAAAGCGCTTGAGGGTTACTTTGATTGGATCGCATTTGAATAAACCAACCGTTTTTGTGCACCCTTAAAAAGAGACGTTATTTTTTTCATGGTCGTTTCAGTTTTACAATATCCAGAACCATCCAAATAGTAATCCTGCCGTAGAAATTTCAAACGCACCAATTTTTCTTGTAAAGGATACAGTTCAAAAAGTATCAAACGAGCTAACAAACAAACAAACAGAGCATGTCCTGGAGTTTTTCCAAACGTCTTCTTCAGGTAGCCATTTGAAATTAACCTTAATTTGAGTTTAAGAATTGCTGTTAACAGAGTGGTAACTTTTTTAATCGTGAGGTTGATCTGGAACGATTCTTTTGTCTCAGGAAGATGGAGAACAAGATATTGAAGCTGCAAGGAAACGAAATCAAAAGGTAACGAGGGCGCTTTTTGATTGAGAGTTTCCATCATAATTTATCATAATGGTCAGTTGTAGCAAAGGTATAAGTCGCAAAGGGCGTAAGGCAAAATCCCTATCAAGTAAGAACCAACCAAAACGCTCGGATTTACCTCCGGACTACCTTGCCATATAATAATACTTTTTATAATTATTTTATTACATGATTGTTCTTATTATAAATGATTATTTGCACGATTATGATTATTTTGATTCACTTGCACGGTATTTGTGTACAGGAGACGGACATACTGACTGACAATCTGGCCAAGCATCTTCTGAATGATTCTGAAGTGTTGTTTGAAACACGTGATCACAGAACACTGGCAAACCTTCAGGAGAGCATGGTAGGAAAACACATCACGTGTCTCCTTGTAATGAAAAACCAGGGTAGCACTACAGCAACCTGACGCTCCTTCTCCTGAAAGAATAGGTCAAGTTTTTTGAAGCTATAGTGTCTTATTTCTACTTAAACATATCTCAGTTTCCATACCATGAAGTGACCATAGGGTATGGCTAATAAGAATTACTACTACGCCGGGATGGGGATGTTAGTCCAAGGAGTGTCCCCTCCCCCGCCTCAAGAGCCATCGTGAGGGTTGTCTGTCTTGCTTTGCACCAATCCAACACGCAACCAAGCTGGAGTTCATACCTAGACCTTTCAATTCGGTGTCTAGCGCGTTGAACTCGTGGCCACCGACTCCAGAATCCAAACTAAGTTAGAAGCAACGTGATTGAGAATTTAGAATACTTGACTTAAGCTACTCATAGGATTTATTCTCAGTTCCCCCTTGTTGAACTCTCTGGTCTGAAAAGCTTTATTGGGGTAGTGGTCAATGAATGAATTAATCTTTGATAGCGGTAGATAAATGTTGCCCAAATATGGCATAAAACGCTAAGTAAGTTGCGCTTTTTGCCCATGTGTGTTGTTAGGAGTGGCTGGCAGGTCACATACGGGGTTTTACCACAAGCTTAACAGCGCAGTCCACAGGTATAAGTCTTGTCACAACCGAGTCACAGGAGAGAATTAAACCAGTAAGTTGGATTGAAAACCTTTTAAAGCTACCTTCCTTTGTTGTACTTCACTGAGACAATTTAAGAACAAGAAAACATTTCTTTTGGGCTACATTGCAAAGTCTTATTGTAAGCAGTTTGGCTTCAAAGAAAAAAAAACTGCGCTATTGGGTTTCACTGAAAGAAATTTGGCCCTGTTTGTTTGAAGGGTGGATAACGCTCTTCACTAGATAGATCCCTATCCGGTGGACAGCGTGGAACGTTTTGATAACGCTTATCCAACTGGGCCCTGGGAACAGAACAAAAACTCTTCTTGTCAGATATCAGAATACACACCTCCTTAACACAATAAAGCACATAAATTGAAATTAAAGGTAAATTTGCGAGGAAATCGCGCAAAACGATCATTTTGGTTAGGTTTCAATTTATCATTTGAAAGTTCTTACACCTGTAAAACGTATGTTAACATATCTAAAATACCTAAATCTAAGGAACGGAACAATATTTTAAACAATGAAGATGTTTTATACAGTCTATTGTTTTCACCCACAACACGCTTTGTCCATGGGTATTACTTTGTTTAAAATAAAGTCCTTATAATATCTAGGAAACTGCATGATTTTAACCGAAGTTTGTGGCCATGTCATCGTAATTGTTGTGTGGAATTGAGAATTTTAGATTCCAGTTTCATTTGAGCCTCAACGGAAGGAAAAACATTTTGGTTAGGAACGATTTTTTAAGAGGTGCAACATTGAGTTAAACCTGACACAATGCAAAATTAAACTTAACAGCGAGAAGTGCACGACGGCTATGGATTTGCTTACGTTTATGGTAGAAATTGGGTGAGTTGTCCAAGCATTACTTGTCAATCGACATGAGATATAATCTGTAATAACTTAATTGCTTCTTGCTAAAAAATTGTAAAGATAAATTATCCACACATTTATTTTCATCGGTCGAATTTTGATTCCTCAAATAGTGAAACGGGCAAACTTGTTCCTTGTCGTATCATTGAGAGAGTTTACTTAAAAGGTGCTTATAAACTCGAAGATCTTTATTTGAATTACTGCTTATTGTTCTCATCAGTATTATTTATTGATCTTCTAAAACAGAGCTTTAAAATGAGGGCAACTAATTGATCGAGATAATTTCAAAAGTAACTCAGTTTATTATTTTTTGGAAGGTATCAGTAATGCTGCTGGACCCACTTAAGTGAAGTGCAATTTCGCCTGATATCAAGCGCATGCTTTTATAACACATGGTTGATATCAGACCAAAATTGCACATCACGAATGACCATTCCAATTTAGAGGAAGTTCAATTCAATCACCTAACTACAGGATTTTGGTCAGAATTAACACTTAATTGATTCACATCAAGTATGTTAAAAAATTAGTGCGATTTGCAGATAAATTTTCTAGTTGATATTTGGAGAAGTGAAGAATTGTCCGTCAGTAATCGATAGTTCAGCTTTGCTGTGATGTTATTGGCTTAAAGTCTCCAGTTGCACGAGTTGGTCGTGATTGGTCAGTTTCGATCCCTCGGTAATGTTCTGTACGATTCGCTTGTTGTGTAAATGTCGTGAATAACTATTTGTTTGTAAGATGCCGGTTGGTAGCGGTAGTTGATGTTATTATGAAAGTCAAGCGAGGAAATTTCTTCCACTTGGTGAGAAATTAAAACTGATGAACAAATTCGTCGAAGCCGTCTTGAGTTGTATCGTGTTATATACTTAAATGTATTTTTGAGCCTTGCTTGAAAATGCTTGCCTTTTGTATCGTTTATTTTACAGCAAGAAATCCCCCCAGTCTCCCAGGAAATCCTACAGTAAGTATTTCTATCTCGTTAACTGTTATAAAGTGAACCTCTTTCAAGTGAGTTTCCAACCTAATAATCCGGGATCGTTTTGGTTTTGCTTTAGAGTAGTTCTCATTGATAGTAAAATATAATCTGGGAGTGCGCTGGTTGTGATTTTGGTTTTAGTTTAGGTTTTGCTTTTGCTTTACTTTTCTTGGTGATTGGTCCGGAAAAGTCGCGCCACTTTCTCAAACAGTCAGATGAAAAACTAACCAATCGCGACTTGGTCGCCGAACGATAGATTCTGACATTACCCATTGACCGATCCAACGTTTTTCTTGCAAAACCAATCTTCCCTTTTTTGAAAAAAATGAAATGATTGTAATACAGCCTATCCTTAATACACCCTTTCGGTACAACTCAACGTCTTGTTGAGTAGAGTAAATGCAGCGCACCACGTTTACAGTTCTAGCTGGGTGGAGGCAAAAGCCTGCCCGCGTATTCACTGAACTGAGCACGTTCGGGTTAAGAACTCAGCTCTCTATCACGTAGATCCCCTGTCTTCACCCACTCTCCCCCTCCATGAAAGGCTTATGAGACGGGAAAAAAATGATTGGCAAATAAACGTTTTGCCTTGCATCTGACTCACAAGTAGTGGCCAAAAGGTAAAGTTTTGTATTTCTTACTCAACTTTAAAAGAAACTCTGTAGAAAGTTAGTCAAAACTTAATCACGTTTTTCAACCCACAGATCACTTACAACGCTAGCAGAAGATTTTCAGAAAATCTCGGACTCTTGCTTGCTAGTGCTTCATCTGGAGATTAGATGCCATTGCTTTTATTTCTTGATGCGGACTGTACAAGAGGTCAGTTACGCCCTTCTGTCCTACAGAAGACAAAACGCTACAAAATGGTAGCCTTACCATCTGTTTCAATAGGAAATATTTAAAAGCAAGGGCAGTTTTTGATACTGGATTGAAGAAAGCTTTGCAACGACATGACACTGCTTTCTCTGATGTGCTTCTCTGTTAATACCAAAAACTGTAGATAAGGCGTGACGCAGGTTTCATATTATGGTAGTCATCATCAATATTTGTCACTCTGCAAATTCTTTTATTGCAATCGGCTTTCTGTCAGAGGTTGTATGACATGTCAGGGACCAGTCTTTAGTATGGGGGGGGATGGGGAGGGGGGAGTGAAGGATTTTTGGGATATCACATTGTTTTCAGGGGGAACGGAGGGGAGGGGCTGGGGGGGGGGTCAGTCATACCTAATAGAGCACAAAGGGGAACTATATGAAATTTACTGCTAATGATGGGGGTCATAAGAATATTACTGAGCCCCAATGAGATCCACCAAACCCCCTCTTCCTTCCCCTCCCTCCGATGAATAATGACCGGTTCAAACGTGAAGTGAATTGTAGACACTCATATTTGTCTTGTTTTTTGGAGGTGAGGAGGTTGTGCCATCTTCTAAATGAAACGTTTGCCCTTGTTCTCAGTTTTGTGTGAAATTTGGATTACTTGACAAAGTGCTGAAATGCACTCTTACGAATGATTCTCATTTGTTACTTTCAGTCTTACATGTGCAATTCAAACGCTATGGACCCTGATAAGAACGTGAATGACTTGAACAAGAGTTTGTCATCGTTTGAGGAAATTGCAACTGCTTGCATGGGAAACTACAAGTTTAGGTACTTAAATATACTTGCATTGTTTACTAAAATGGAACTTGTCATCACTTGTCACCTAACATTTGTTAGCTTTGTTTTCAGAAAATTGGGGTAATTTAATATTATCAACTGTGTTGATAACGTAAATTGGCCATGTAAAGAGTTTCAAAGCTGATGTTTCGAGCGTTAGCCCTTCGTCAGAGCGAAACGGGCGCGCGTTGATATGGAATTTCTCTTCGAGTGTTTAACTCGATAGCTCACGAGCGAGCGAAGCGAACGAGTGAGATGTCGATTTGTACACGAGAAGAAATCTTTCAGAAGAAATCTTTCAGGTACACGGCCAAAATCGGCCTGTGGCAAATCTTCCACTTTTTGATTTTCGTTCTCAGCCAGGAGAAATGCCATTACCAAAGCCACTGAATACGTAACTTTCGGTTTTTCTTTTCGTATTTTGGTTTTCTTCCCCTTCTAGGAAAGTTTGAACGTCACTGTCTGTAAGCGATACGGATTTTTCGGTGTTTTAGCAACCATAATCCGAAAAGATTCCAACAAACGTCTTTGTATTACGAATGGTGAAGGCTTTGCTGTTCATTCATCAACCTGACCGAGTGGCGCGAAAGGCAAGTGACGTGTCAGCAGCTGATTGGCGATATCAAACACACGTGAAAAAATATCGTAATTTTTCACGTGTGTTGTCACGGCTTTTCTCAGGGCTGGAAATCCTTGTATAACACCGTAGTTTATATGATAATACTAAATTACCTTGTGATACTCTCCCGCCGACGCAGCACAACAGTCAGTTTTTTTTAGAAACTTACCTCCTTTATTGTTTTCAGATACCTGTTTGAGGGAGTGGGATTCCTCGTCTCTTCTATTCTCATCTCAAACGTTTCGGAGATTAAGAGGATTAACCAAAACGGAATTAAGAAGATGTAAGTTTACCTTTGTGCGTTTTCCTTTGATCAGGGCAGTTTCAACAAAGGAGTAATCGGATGCTCATGTTTGCGTAAAGATTTCTGGGTTCGCCAGGGGTCAAACGTTGCAATTTTCCGGAGGAAAATAATTGGCGAAGGTTGCATCGACGTCCAAAGAAACTAAAAAGACCTTAGCGAGTTATTTCTAGCACTTCATAGCTTATTTTATAATATTTCGAGACCATTGCGCGATGTTAATTTTAGAATAAACTTTACTCAAGGAGAGCAGGTTACCGGTAGATTTTATTGCATTTTTCTTCATGATTATTTAAGCAAAAGCTTATGTTTCCCTCGTATTAACATTATTTTAATCCATTTCTTAAAACACAGCCGTCAAAAAAAGGGCTTTGATCTCTTACAAACGTTTTTTGAAAAGGACGTTTAATAATCTTTCGCCATATATTTCCTTGCAACTTGCAAAATTTCACTACTGACGATCCCAGAAATCTTTGCGCAGTCTAGCCTTGATACTCTTCCATTGACGTTATTTTCTGCTAATTTAGTGCATGGTTCACTATGAAATTTCATTTTCTAGGTGCCGTAACATCTTCGCTATTCAACAGAACTTGACAAACATTACCATGTCTCGGGAGGGGGACCTGGATCGAGCCAGACAGTATTATGAACTGTTATACTCTAACCCAGATGTAAGTGCCAGTCTACCGCTTTACTCAGCGCCCACTTTAATGAACTTCGGTGAAAGATGAACCCCATGCATTGTGACCCAAAATCTTCATCAAGCGGATCCCTCTGCGAGGTTTATTATGGAGTTTATTTCATTAAGGAAGCTATACAGTCTTAAAATCTTTTGCATCTCATCTTTTGCATTTTAAAGCTTGATATGGCGATCAGGCATATTCAAGCAGACAATTACCCAAACAGACGAGGCAGAACCTTGCCTGCCTTACACAGTTCAAACATATTGGTTTTTTCCAACCGAGTTGATAATGTAAATTGGCCACCGTATAGAGTTTTTAAGGCTGACGTTACGAGCATGCGCCCTTCACCCAAGCGAAAAGCCAAATTGTCTTGTAACTTCCCCTCCCTCCCCCCACCCCCACCCACACAGCAGCACTGCAATTTCTCTAACCCCCCCCCCCCATTTTAAATTACACAATTAAGTTTGTATACTTAAATTATACACAGCAAAAGTGACAATGGGTAAGGGAGATATAAATCCCTTTGTTTGACTTTTTCTGCAGGAAATCTTAACGTCTATTGAGGAGCAAGACGCCAAGTTTTCCAAAAGGGAGTACACTGACCTTTTGTCACTGCACGCTCGTAGTCAGGCGGTCCGAGATAACAGTGCGCATGAACAGCGAATGGAAAGACTTAAAAAAATCTTCGACAACAAGCTCAAAATGGAAGAATAATCGCTAAATCCACTTTCAAATCTGCAACAAAATAAAAAAAAACTGTAGTGGAAGTGTTAAATCATTGAAATGTAACTTTCTTAGCCAAGTTTTGAAAATTGAAAATTTTTTTTCCTGTGTATTTTGTTTTGTTTTGTTCTTCTCCGTGAGGCAAAGCCAACTATATGACGAGTTTCATTTGATAAACTCCTCATTAAGATTTTTTAGACGGTGGAATGTGCAGATTTCAATCTAATCTCCAAAATTCAATGAAAATCAGTTAGGTTTGTTCGTTGGCACAATTGCTATATAGTATAATTAATTCAAAGCAAATACACGCTCATTTTGAAACGTTGAAACGTTTCTACGTGTAATGTGCATCTAGGTGTCGTAAAGGATTAAATTTGTTGAGAACTTTAGCAAAAAATGGCAATAACTGCCCGTGTATTTCGTTTGATGGTTGACGGTGATTTGCGAAATATTTTCAAACTCCACCAACGGCTCGTGCTACAAGAACGGAAACTTTTAAAAAGTCACTCGTGCTTAGAAGTCACGAACTGAACTAGCGATTGTGCAATTTTCTTTTTTTCTTATTCAAACGGTCCTCTGACTCAACCATTTTGCGAGAACACAAATGCAGTTTTATTGCGTCAGCGGAACTCAAATTGATTGCTCGACGAACAGTTTATTGTGTTGGTTCATTTTATTGTTTTGCTGTCATGACATTAATGTTAGTCGAAATCTAAGCATAAAAACCTCGACCAAACTCTTCCTTTAAGGATGAAGATTTACAATGAAAAAGATCATTTGATATCAGTTTGACATCGTCGTTAAATAATAAAGTGAAATAACGATATAAAACAAGTTTTGAACAGCTCTATTTATAAGTGCTAATGATTAAAGCAGTTGACATGGAATACATTGCAGATAGAATTACAATTTTTCTCATCAGGATATACAAACTAAAATTCCTTGGCTGTAAGTATTTCGCCAACAAAACAAATAATGTTATAAATCTCCTTCATCTGATGTGGTTAATGAACATCAGAAAATAATTTTTGAAAAGCTAGTGTGTCTGTATCCGGCTCAATCTGTTTGTTTTAAACTTAACTTAGCAGCTAGAAGGTGTACAGAGCCCTGTAAACGTCCCATAGTTGAAGGGCGACATGTTCTTCCATACTTTGCCATGGTACCTCAATCTCGAATTTTCTAAATCCTGGTGGTGGATTCTGGTGTAGCTCTTGAAGACTGCATTTCTTCCCTTGTTCCTCAACAGCGTTTTCACCAAGTCCGGATACACAGCGCCTTCGATCATGTGTTTTGTAACAAAATTTATCCTTGCCTCTGCTTAGTTTCGCAACACAAGCTCCCATTATTAGAACCAAAAATGCTTCCCAAAGAGATGAATGAGCCGGTTCTGTGTAGCTGTTTGAGGCGTTTTCCCGCTTTCTTTTTTTCCTCAATCCAATGAACTAGAGGGCAGGTAAACGCTCGATTGACCTTTGGAATCGGTTAAAGGTCCATATTGCAAAACTAAGGAAAACTTTGGAGGCTCTTTACAATTTCTGAAACCCCATTAACTTTGCCACTCTGTCGGTGATTGGTCAAAATCACACACGGTGACAAGTCGGCAAATCATAGTAACTAGGGCGTAAACGAGGTAAACAAATAGAAACCTTCTCCTGTTCGCTCTATTTTCGGGAGGAAAACCTGCGCTCTCGTCCACGCATAATGCTCTCTTTTCTAGCTCATCGTTACTCCTTTAACCCCTAAGAGTGACCAGTTTCTAATTTCTCCCTACAATATCAACCCTGAATCAAACATCAAGGTCACGAGAATCAAGGAAATGATCACCAACTTATAATTCTCTTGATTCTTGCACAAATTCTCCTCGTCAGCGCTTTAGGAAATGTGTAGAGAACAGTATGGAGAATTTGCATACTGATGTTAGGGTGCAAACGGTTAAGAGAAAAACAGACTGCTACTTACGGCAATTCAGTTGGACTCAAATTGATAGGGGTTCAGAATCGGTGGAAACTTAGTTCTAAAAGATCGTCGATCAAAATAATGCTTAATGAGTGAAATGTTTAAAAAAAAAATTGTGAAAGAAACGGTTTTTAGAATTCAACAGTGAAGCGTTACCTTAAAACACCGTTGAAATTAGTGAGAAACACGTCCAGCATTTGCGCCCGCGATACAACCTACTCTTTTTCCCATGCCTCCGTCTGCCCCCTGCAAATTGAGTGCTATAGATACGTTGTTGACAGAGCTTGTTCGGTCAATCCAATACAACTTATTAGAAGTTAAACATACAGAAAAGTAAACGATATTTAGTAAAAAAACACTGGTGAACATTGGTGAACATCTAACAGAAGCTTAAATATTGGTGAACATTGGTGAACATCACCAATGACCATAACAGCTTAAGACGCGAACGAGTTATCGTGCGACAACAACACCGTAAAGACTCATTATGTCATGTCAGATTTTTTAACGAAAACTTGGCTTTCTAGACAAGATCTTTAGTAAAAAGCATTTCTTTTTATTTCAACAAAGTTTATAAGGATCTCAAGGCGAAAAAAGGGAAGTAAACATCACTAATGACTATAAAACAGATGCAAACAAGTAATTGTGTGACAACAACACTGTAAAGACTCATCATGTCAATCAGTCAGATTTTTTAAAGAGCTTTCTAATAAGATCTTTATCAATTCTTTTTATTTGCAACAAAGTTTATAAGGATCTCAAGGCGAATAAAGCGACGTTAACATCGCCAATGAACAAAATTGGCTGTAGACGCCAATGAGTTGTGTGAGTCATTGGTGATGTTTACTTCGCTTTATTCGCCTTGAGATCCTTATAAACTTTGTTGCAAATAAAAAGAAATGTTTTTAATAAAGATCTCGTTTTTCGTTAAAAAATCTGAGCGATTGACATGATGAGTCTTTACGGTGTTGTTGTCGCACAATAATTCGTTCGCGTCTTAAGCTGTTATGGTCATTAGTGATGTTCACCAATGTTCAAGCTTCTGTTAGATGTTCACCAATGTTCATCAGTGTTTTTTTACTAAATATCGTTTACTTTTCTGTATTTTTAACTTCTAATAAGTTGTATTGGATTGACGACCAACTCGCCGACGTCTCTACTCGATTTTATACGTCGGCGAGTTGGCGTCGGCGAGTTGGTCCGTCGGCGAGTTGACCGTAATTCACGTTGTTGACAGAGCTTGTTCGGTCAAGATGCGTGGATATTGGCCGAGTTCATTTTGGGGGTTTTTATGGACCGAGAGAAAGTCGAGATCCATGAAACGCAAAAAGGAGAACGAGGCTAATATCCAGCTGCCATCTTGGTCGAACAGGCTTGGTCAATAAAGGTGTTGTTGTATAGCAAAAAGATGTTCTTATAAAAACCAAGAATGACTTGTTTATTTCCAAAGCCGGTAAAGAAGGTCAACTGTGTCTGTGGCACAATAAACCTACGGAAGTCATTTATGTTTTCTATGTTTTGATTGTCTTTTTGCTGCTCCTTTTTGCGACCCCATCACCGACGTTGTCCAAAACTTTACTACTATGTAAGTCCGCTCCACGAATTCTGTTTTCTCTTTTGGTGCGGGATCAAAGCGGGCAGTCCCGAGCGGGGCCCATCTTGTCCGCTTGGGTGGCCAATCAGAACACGGGATTCGCTCCACGTTACCCACGAGCGTTACCAGCAATATGATGACCTATTATACTTGACTGAAAAGGAACTCTTCACTCGACTCATAAGATGACTTTCTCCGGGGCTGTGGAAACGTCAGTAACTATCACCATTATTATTAGCCCCCCTCCCCCCTCTTACCCGCAGCAGCACGATTAGACCGTACAGCACTCGAGTTAATTTTTAGCGGATAGTGAACAATGGTTGAGGACAGTCTAGAGTCACTCTAATGTAAGGTATGTGAGCGGTTGCATATATGGACCATCAATCTTCCAAAGAGAACCACGGATGCTGGGGTGAGAGAGGGCAAAAAGGAAAACCCTGGGGACATGGAATGCTTCTATGACTGATGCCGAAAACAGTCATTAAAAAATAGAAGAGACAAGAAGGAAAAGAGGCAACAGGGAATCAGTCAGCACATACACTTCATTCTCATGATGTCAATGAAGGTTCAAAACACAGAGTTGATCTAAATTGTTAAACAAGAATCTCCTTTCCTACTCTTTCTCTAATATTTATTTGTCCAACGGTTATCTCAGTGAAAAAGGTTTAGCACTGTCCTTAGTAAACTTAAATTTGACATATTTTCTATAACTACACGATTGTCACTCAGTACATGTACATGTTGACTAGAGACTAAAAATCCCTCATATAGGATATCTAGCTAGGAAATACTTCTCAAGAACCAATATATAGTATTCAAATTCAACAACAGTTGCAGATAAAAAATAAAGTGTCAACAAAACTGTGGTGTTCAATTCAAGGTAACTATTTAACTCAGTTAAACTTAATGTCTAGTTTATCAAAAAAAGAAAACCTTTAATCCAGTGCATTTACCAGAATTAATTAAAAAATTTCTTGTGAATGTTGAAAGATGTAATTGTTAATCACTGAGATTTTGATACCATAAAAAAATTTTAAATTCTGGCATTAAATTCATCTGCACAGATTAAACGCTCAATGTTAGTACTTTCTACTGCCACAAAATACACTTATAATGTAGCTTACTTGTTTTTTGCTTATGAATTCAATACTGGATGAAAATTGATCGTAGTCTGAAAATTTTAAAACTGATCGTCTTTCAGTTATGTCAATATTTCTACACTTCATGTACACTCATCACAAAATTTCTTCCACATTGTGTCAATTATTAGATTGAAAATAATATCATTTGTCAAAAATACTTCAAGGTCCTTTAATGTGAACTGTACAAAATTGAGAATTATGTATTAATATTGTATTGAGTTTGTAGTTCATAACATTGAGTCTACATTTTAAATTCTTGAATGTTTCAGTGAGAACACACGAGCTTTAGTTGACTATATTTCTAGCCAAATTTACTACCAAAATACTGTTTGAGTCAATCTCACTGACTCGGCATATATAAAATGCAATTGCACTGCATGTCTGTTAAAATTCCACCCCCAATAATGATCCATTCTAGACCCACTTGGAAAGAGAAGCTTTCCTTGTTAAGCACAAATTAAGTGGTGTGGAAGTGGACTCACAGGAAGTAATGTGTGATCTAAAGTGGATATAATTTTAAAAACCTTGTAATATGACTGCATTTATATAAAGCAATTTAATAAGATCAAGTTTGGCAGCCATTAGACATTTTACAAGGAATACATTCAAATATGACTTCTCTGCTCCCTGTGAAACTATTAACTTCTTACTAACCGAGTATGAGGGCCAAACTGGGAAATATTGACCCAAGATCATGACAATAAGGACCAAGCTCAGTGAGGTCTGTAAAAAACAAACCGGGGCCAATATTTCTCAGTACAGCTTGAGCAAGCAAAGCTAGTTAGTAGTTTATTACACAACACTCGCACCAAAATTGTTTATTTTGAATTTGCTAATTTTCATGCATAAAAATACAAGAGTTATGAGCATTTCTTAGTAAACACTCCATATAACAAAATACGGACCAAGTAATGACCAGTGAATCTACCTCAACCACTATCTTGACATCTAATGACACAGCTTTAACAACCAGCATCTTTGTCTCTACATTAGTACATATATCTTCCCTTGCAAGATTCCTTTCTGCTTTTTAAACTTTTCTGTGACATTCTAAGTAGGGCATCAAAATCCATCTCATCTGATGATGGCGGTCGGCTCAGCTCCTGTTCTTCAAGATAACTGGCATTCGAGTCTGAGAATCAAATTTTTCCATAGTCAGAAAATGAGAAAAATCTCTCTTTACCCACTGATGGGGCTAACAGAAAACTATTTGTCTTTCTTATCCTATACATTCCAGAACCTTATCTGAGTGTGAGATTCAAAAGGTCACTTTGATCTTCAGGGCCATTCTCCTTTCTGTTACAGCACAGAATCTATGAGAGACTATCCTCCAAATCAAAACCAAGGGTGGGGTGTGTTCATCTAATTGTTCATTCCACCCTCCAGTTGCTACACATTCCCTTGTAAATCAGTTACATGTACAAGAATTTGGTATTACATGTACATCAAGATAACAACTTTTATCTAATAAGTTTGAGGGAATAAATTCCCATAACCTGCTATTTGGTGGTTAATGTGTGGACATTAGAGGGAGAATTTACAGTTTAATCACTTCTGGGAGTTGATGGGCTGGTTATTTACATGACGTCTAACCTACATGTACAGTACATGTAAACCACAGTTTTATGCAATCTGCAGGCCTCAAGCTTTCTCTATAAGGGAGTTGATTTGATTACATGAATACCCTTCTACTGTACGCTTTTGGCCCTCATGACAATGTTCACAAAAATAAATGTTCAGGTATAAGGTTCAGCTAAATAGAGGATTATTTTAGATGTGGTTTTGTCAAACAACAGCTAAAACTTGTTTGAATAACCAATCCAATGGGTTAAATAAATAAGGAACAGGTGAAAGGCATTGCAAAATTACATGCATGCTAAAGCTCAAAAAATACTCACCAAAGTCTACATAGCTACCACCACAGAATTTCCTTCTTCCACCAAAGCAAAGATCCAAGACAGGAAGGCGTGAATCTTCATTTCCCCCTAAGGAAATAATTATCTTAAAATAAGAGATTTTTCTCATCACCTAAAATCATACAAAAGCTAAACTGAAAAAGGACTCTTAGAAGATTCTAAATTTCTAACAACACTCACTTTCAATAGCTTCAGCAGCAGAGGAGGTTTCAAAAAATGTCACAAAAGCATAGTTGTCCCTGTTGGAAAAAAGGTAAAAAAAAAATGCATTTTCAGCTGTGGACAAACAAAAACAAATCAAACCTTTAACTGTTAAGAAAGTTAAAAAAGAAACTAATGCTGAAATTTGAAACAAATCTTTTCAAGCAACTTATAGGTGTAGGAAGAGAACTGTCACAGCCATGGTGCAAATTAAAAATCTGTCATTAGCTAAACAATGGAAACTTTCATCTGGTATTGGAGTTTTCTTATAACAAAAGTATACCCTACCCTTTCTCTCTGAAGTGAACAGTAACTTTTTCAATTGGCCCAAATGGACGAAACCTGCTGAATACATCATCTTTTGTTGTCTTGTTGGATATTTTTCCAATGTACACAATACGCCTCTCTTCCTACAATCATATAGAACATTAAAATTTTAGAACGATCATCATTAACTATTATTTTTTTCTTGTTTTGATCTTCAACTGAAAGAGTTTTTGAACTTTTGGGCTGTCCACCTACAAGAATTAATCCCATAAGAGGACACTGAAAAAATTGGGAGGATGTCTGCTAAGGGAGAGTTTATGACTGGATTGTAATTACTAGTCATGTGAACAGACAGTCTGCCTTCCCCTGGACAAATAGAGATTTGACAAAAGTGATCCACACTTGTTTTTGATAATTTTCAAACTAAATACAAACTTCATTGCTATGAGTCAATTAACATGCATGGGGTGTTACTGGGATGCTGAGTGTCCATTAGCGGGGAGTTGACCATATATACAAAATGTGACTGCACTACAATGTAGATGTTCAACAGAATTAAATTTAGTCTTTTAACAAAGATATTTAATAATTAAACATGGAATGTCCATGAACTTGAACATAAATTTACCCTTAATCTCCCAACAATTGATTTTTACATACAATCCTTGAACATTAGTCACAATAATTTGGTGTTAGATCAAGTGACAACTTCAACCTGTTCAAGCATACTCAATCTTCCTAATAATTCTAAGAAGCATTATGGCAGTTTGCAGTTTTTCCCTATATCTAGGCAGTTCAGAAAGCCACGAAACTCTGGAACAAATTTATCTTTCAAATCGACACTCTTAATCTAAATATCATCATGAATACCATCAAAAGCGTTAAACGGATGCAAATTTTTTGAAACGGATGAGCAAACCGCTTAAACGTTTTAGCTAAAGCGTTAAATGGATGCAAATTTTTTTAAACGGATAAGCAAACCGTTTAAACGCTTTCATGAACCGTTTAAACGGATATAAATGGATAGTAAACGGTTTTGCAGCTTAAACGGAAAAGCGTTAGTGTCTGTTTTCCCGTGGAGGGTCACATATTCCCACCGATAGTGCAGCTCCATTTCTGCATATAAACACACACACACAACCCACAATTGCTCCATTCGCTCTGATGAAGGGCTAATGCTGGAAACGTCAGCTTTGAAACTCTTTACAGTGGCCAAGTTACATAATCAACTCAGTTGATAATATTTAATTACTCTCCAATACTCATTACCTATTTGTTGGCTAATGTATGAATATCACTGGGAGAAGTTACATGTTAATCACTTCTGGAAGTTAAAGGGGTTCAACCACCAATTGTTAAATTGGTGGTTGACTCTGACCAACCTAAAAATTACAGTACTGTAAAAAAAAAATCAAGCAATCACACAATGCACACAACCTCTGTTTTGGATAGCCACTGCATGGTAGTTTCAATGTAGCAATCAAACAAAACAACAAAAGAAAATGTTCCCTGTACCTTTGCAGTGTTCCTGATGTTATGGTCAAACTTGAACTCTAGTTTTCTTTCAAATTCAATATCATGGAATGTTTTGTTCTTTGTGACACCATTTCTCTTTTCAGTGGGGTCTTTACTCCGAGACCTCCTCCTCCTTCTTCTGTTGTGAGGGCTCCTGTGATGGTCTGCTTCTCTGTCACTACCACTTGATTGCTTGCGCCGCCAGTCAGATTCAGAACGTCTAGGATCATATCGGGATGTCCTTTCATTCTTACACTCTTCATCTGAACTGGAATACTCTCGTCCATCATAACTGTCATTTGAGCACATGCTGTGTCTACGATTGCTTCCTTTATAACAACTTCTGTCTCCATCAGAGCTGTAACTAAACTTCCGATAACTATTCTGTCTCTTATGGTCTTTATCTTTGTCAGTGCTCATTTCCCTGTAGTGATACTCTTCATCACAACTGCTTTCGCCACCACAGCTCTCCTCACAGTACGCACCTCTATAGCGCTTTGGAAGTCTCCTCTTTCTGTCTGGTGAATGATCATCACAGCTTAACCTTCTCTTGTGTGAGTAACGGTTTGGACCAGTTTCTTCAGAAATAGAGTGATGATGATTCTCCATGTCCAGAGACTTTTGAGGACTACATTTCAGAATAGACTCTTTCAAAGTATTGTCATCTTCTGGTTTCAACTGAATAGGTTTTCTCAGTGGAGATCCACTACAGGCATAGTTGTGATCTGTTGCATGATTATCAACATGGGAATTCTTAACAGTTTTAGAATTTTCATCCTGTCCTTTTACATCATTGTGAGAAGATCCACCACTCGTCGTTCCATGAACTTCTTGATTTTCTTTATTTTCAGCAGAATGAAAATGTGCAGAATTCTCCTCAGCAAGGGAAGGTAAGCCCCTATTTTCTACATCACATGGAATGTCAAATTTCAGCTCATGTTTCTCAGCAAATGAATTGATCTTGTCTGAAACAGTCTGCATTTCACAAGATGTATCTTTCCTGAAATTATCAAAACATACAATGCCCCTTAGGAGATTTCCATTTCACAACTTGCAAAAAAAGACAGCAGCACCTTGCTACAAAACAACTTCAAAGCAGGTTACAGCAACAACTTGTTGGTATGAAGAAAATAATTTTAGTGGAAATTCATATCAAAGAACACAAACTTAAAAAAAAAAATCTCAAAATCAAAATCTGAGAGCAACAAGAAAGTGATTCCTTAAGATTTGTCCTTGAAGCAATAGAGGCAAAGTGCTTCATAACAGCAACCTGTAAACTAGCATCTCTCTCAGGATTCAACCTACTACTGTATTTCGTAAACGCTTTACACTCCAAGAGTGATAAGCATCTAATTTCTCCTTGCTGTATCATCCTTGAATCACATATTAAGGTCATGAGAATAGAGAAAATGATCACCAACTAAAGATGCTCTTGATTGTTAAACAAATTCTCCTTGTCAGCACCTTAGGAAATGTATAGAGAACAGTATGGAGAATATGCATACTGATGTTAAAGTCTAAAGGGTTCAGACAAACACTTACAGAGAGGAAAGCTGAGGTGTGGAGCAATCCATTGAACCTATAGGGACAAACATGGAAAAAAAAATTTGAATAAAGAATTGACAAAATTTACAACCACTAAACTAAACAGTCACAAAACTAAGAGTTTTCTCTCATGCTTTTGCAATACCAAAGATATTTCAATTAAAGCCTAGTCCCTACATTGCACCTCTTGGGAAAACAGGAATTAGATAAGATAATTAACAATCCCTTGTCACACTAGGAGTCATCTTATAGAGCCTTTGACATTTTGACGGTACACAGGACCCTTGCCCCATAGTAACTTAGTTTCACAAACAAGTTTGCTGCAGAAGAGCTTCAGACTTCAAAATCTTGGGAGACTTTGCATTTATTTTGTCATTCCTTATTTCTTGTTGCCTGACCCTTGCAGGGCGTGAAATTGTGCCTAATACAGGCGCCAACGTGCCTAAATTTTTCACTTTGGCAACCAAATCCTGAAAGTTAGTCACCAAATTGGCGACTAGAACGTTTCATTATAACCTTACCAAGAGATATAGTGAATTAAAAGATTTGCAAAGATAAATCCGCGGCAAACGTCCTCGTTAAGTTTGTTTCCAAAACATAGCACATGCATCTCAATCGATAACTAGACGCCATCTTGGATTTACATGAGCCTGAACATTGTATATCATCCATCCTAGTGTCCACTTTGTAGCATGTTAAAGATCTTTTCCCTAACTTAATTTTGGAGGGTCTATCTAGAACGCTGACAGCGTAAAGAAAGATTTTGTTTGTCTTTGAAAATGGCGACCAACTTTTTTTGAATTGGCTATCACTTTGAAGAATTTAGGAGCCAAGTGGCTATCAGAAAAAAAAGTTAATTTCACGCCCTGCCTTGCAGCAAATCAATAATTTCCTATATGATTTGAAAAGCATACCAAAACTGACTGCCTATTCTTGATCTGAGTCAGTCAACTCTAATAACTCAACCCTTCAGGGGAAGTTGAAAAAACTTCAAGTTAATGGGAGATGAACATACAGGCACTATAATTTAATGTAACTTTAACCAACAAAACCTGAACTGGACTGACATGTTTTGGAGAAAACAAAAAAGGACAAAGACTACAAGGCTGCTTCAAAATAAATTACAGTAAATGTTTTGGACTGCAGTACACTGTTTGTTTTGATTTGTCACATATTGACAGTTGTGGTTCAACATGATTCAAGGTAATGATGGTAAAAATTTAAAAAGAATGACCTGAATGGAAATGAAAATTGCTCTGAGTTAAGGAAAGGTTCAAGTTATTGAGGGTTTGAGTTAATGAGGGTACAATTGCAGTAGATGTGTGATGGAAATCCAAGGGAAATTGAATTTGATTTAATTTTAAATCATTGGTATTTTCAAGAAGCTCAAAATCCAAGAAATTATGAGAGTGCAGCAGTTCAGGTATAGTTTAATGACCATGACGTACCTTGCTTTTCTTCATACTCTAAAAACTGCTCCAGTAAGGCGCTCACATCATTAGCTTCAATCCCTGTCAATGAGTGGAGCTCAAATGAGACCATTACACACTTAAAGAAAAATTAATATATACAGACAAGTACACGTGTACTTTTATAAGGACACTATCATATTAAGTAATCATACAAAAAACTTTTACCACCTATAGATAGTTGAAACATGTAAAAGGCAGCCATCAGACAGTGATTGTTGCTTTTACCTCAGTAATGAAATAAAGAAAGTTGTTTTTGTATTTTGTCACAAGCATGGGACAAAGCAAAAATTGAGCTTTAAGGGGAAGTGAACCTCAAAATTTTTCATTTCAGCCTCACAGCATGGAATCCTAAGGTTCAAAGTTTGTTTCCTTGTGAGAATTTCGCATTTTTCTTTGTACTGTGCTTGTGACAATAGAAAAAAAACCTTCAACTCCCTGAAGCAATTAACATTAAACCTCTCCCTATAATATCCATACAATATTCAGCAAACAGGGATTGAAAATGCTCAAACTTGTTAGGAAGATGTTGCTATCTAGATCTACCAACAAATTGTGGTAACTAATTTACAAGGAAATGTGTTGCAGTTTGCTGGGGAGGATGATTAACAGTAGGATCTTGGGAGTTAAAGGATTAAACAGTGAAGTTACTTATTATGTGATCAAAATGTCAAGTGTGGCCCTCAGCAAGAGGGGATTATGTGTAGCCTTGAGAAAATCAGGAGTCAAACAATTTGCACTGAGTGATGTACATGCCATGCTTTCTCTAAGACATGTGGTCATTTAATGTTTTTTCCTCTGAAGTTTAATCTTTGAGGCCAGTTTAATTTTGGTCTTTGGTTGTCTTGAATTATAGTACCAGCCAAGTGAAAATAAAAAAATTGGCTATCAAAAGTCACAATTCCCGAGCAACCCCAGGGGAAATTTTAACCAATGTATATAAATACATTAATTTTCACAAAAGTAAAGGATTTTTTGGGTTTGTTATAGCAAAGAGCAAGGAAAAAAAATTAGTAGTACTGTTACTTTCTTTTGGCTTATTCTGCTCTCAAAGGTTTCTTTTGTAGCTGGTCCTTCACAATTCATTTTCTCTAAATCTTTTTTTATGGTTCAAGACCATCTTTGGAATTTTTTACCTTCATTGAACTGGAATTAAAAAAAATCAAGAACTCACGACTTACCTTCAATAAGTTCACCATCTTCTAACTCGTTCGAAGAAGTTCCCTTTCTCTCGATGTCGTTCTAGTATCCAGAGAGAAAAAAAAACACTTTGTCTAACAAAGACTCACGTGAAGTCACGTACACATTTTGAAGAACATTGACATAGCATTTTGATCAAACATATGATAATCATAAAGACAATCATCTACAAAGGTAAGTTTAATGAGCTCATTGTAATGGGAAATTGATCAAGATTCTGGATTCTGAGTCGAGTCAACTTTTCAATTTGAGGAAGACATTATATTTAAAAAAAACCCGAAGTAGCTAAAGAGTCGTTTGGTGAAGATGATTTTCACCAATAATAGCTCAAATTCGACGAAAATTTCAATAACTCTGTTTAATCAATTCAATCAAAGTTGCATGGGTTTTTATATGGCAAGGATTTAAAGATTTAGAGCTCCTTTGACACCACGTGTTATAAACATGCCTGAACACATGACTTACGTTGCCTAAGAACGACTTTTTACCGGAGAAAAAATTATTTCACACAGCTATTTTGTGGCGGTCAAAAGTAGTTCTTACCTGAGACACTTCATGAATTGAAGAACTAGACACTTTGCCGGCAACAAAGTTCGGTGCGGACTCGAAATCCTTATGTTTCGAGTCGCTTTGTACATCATGGCACGAAGACACCAAACGCAGTTGTACGGCTTCACTTTTTCGCATACTGCTTCTTTACATATGTATATTTTTTCTATTACAATTCATAAGATTTACTTTTTAAAACTGACGAAGTTTATAACCGACCGAAGAAAACGCCGCTTTACGATAAGAAGTTAAATCATCTGTGTTTTTGACTTAAAACCACGCGGATGAACTTGTTGCGACACAACGTGTACATTCATCCTTTGTCGAGTGGAGCCCGGGACGAGCATACTAATTTTTTAGATTCAGCGGTTTTCCGCCCAAAACTTTTTATGTCATGTGCTGGTACATATATTGTACCTCATTCACTTTTCTTCAACATGGCGGACGCAAACGAGAAACATGACGAGGAGTAGTGACTGATCAGTCGTGAGAAAAACGAGGAACATGGCGCGTACTAGTGACTGATCAATCAAACGATTTTGGATCAAAATGTTTCGGCATACTTTGAAAGGCGTTAAGGTAGTGACTTGTTACGCTGTTCCGACGTTTCGTAAGTTGTGGTTTCCCTTCATAGGTAAGCCTTTTGTACTCAAGCCTCCTTTCCTGTCTATTTTTCAGTCCATAACTGTCCAGTCGCCTTCACTAGATTTAATTTGTCAAAAAAAATGAACTCTTTTTTCCAGAGAGTCAAGCAAGGTTGTTGTCAAACGTGATCAGCACCCTTGAGCCGCACTTGAAAAATCTTGTGAAACAACACGAAGAGATCACTGAGAGGTTGTCTGTTACTGAGGTATTATTTCTGACCAGTGATAATACATTTCTCTTACTAACCCAGTTCGAGGTCTGTACTGTAAGTTATGGACCGAGGGGAAAAAACGAGGTTTCGTGACTTACAGTACGCACTGACAAAGCGATGTTACATTAAAATATTGCCTGCTAATTTGACTAAGCAGAGCTCACGTACTATCTGAGAGATATAGTGAATGTATATAATGCTTTTACCACTCTACATCAATATCTTTTATATTAAGCCATTCCAAAGATAACGAGATTTATTCTTATTGGGTTTAACAAATCTCCTTGAAAATTTAATCAGAAGATACTTCAAGGAAATACTTCTTGGGAAAGTTGAAATAATTGTATTCTCTGAACTAACATCATAAAAATTGTATGGCAGACAGTAAGGAGAATTACAAATGAAATTTGGGGAGTGAAAGGGTGAAGTTACTTGACATTAAGACTCAACTTTGGGTCTGAGATGGTTCTTGGAATTTCCATGTTTGTAAGGGTGGTTTTAGTTTTAAACTCCTCCTTCCTCCAGCACTCTGTACCCTCAGCTGACTTTTTCAAATTATCATCCCCCTTCCCTTGAATTCAGTATCAGTTTTTTCTGATATTTTTGGATGGGATGTTACTTCACCACGAGCTAACCTCCCTCCTCTCCTAAGAATTTTGTCAAATTTCCCATTCAAACAGTTTGGTATATTCCATTTATAATCCTCAGTAGAAAGAGAAAATCCTGAAATAAAGTGTTTCAGCCAGGAACACTCAACAAAGTGACTATAACCAGGACTTGTAATGGAACCTTCCCATCTAGAATCCATTAAACCTTTACACCCTCACATTGGTATATATAAATATATATCCAGTGGATAATGCCATATGTTTTGCAATCACTTACATGCTGGATAGTGATTTATCCATTGGATAGGCTTATCTGCCCTTTATACAACAGGATCCTGACCAGAGATACTCCTCTTGTGGGTGTGAAAGGGTGTACACTAACCTGTTAGTCAGTGTGTCTTACTTTGTATTGTAGTGACCAGGTGAGTTGCCTTTCAGGGGAATATTCCAACTGCGAGTGAACACAAGACTTTATCCAAGCAGCTTTCTAAACTTTCACCTATTGTCCATTTGATAAGCCAAATTGAGACAAAGGAGAAGGTGAGAATAAGAAATGTCTTGAATTTGTCTTTTTATAATGATAATTGTATAGAACTAATCATGATGATTACAACTCAGTTTGATTGGGACAAGGGTCTTCACTGAGAGGCAACAGAAGTTTGATGACCATTTTTTGATGTTGAATCATGTTTTTGTGAAACTGGCTCCATTTTCATTGGCAATGTGTGGTTTGACCTCTTTTGGCAGGCTGTTATGTTTGATGTTAGGCAATGCACAGCTATTGAAATTTGGTTAGAATTGGAAATGGGGAAGGTTGCCTGTGTTAACACCATAATTTTATGGTCAAAACCCGGGTAAAAAACTTTTTCTGCCTGACAATCAAATGATAATTACAGTTACTGTAGTATTTTTATTTCTGTGGTAAGAAGGAAACATAAAAACAGAGACAAAGAAACTGAATGTATGGCACTGCATGAAATCCAATCAAAAAATGAGATGGACCCAAACCAGTGAATCTTGGTGTGAACTGGAGTGAACTGTACTTGTAACTAACTGCTGTAGTATCTGTTTCAATTCTTTTATCTCTAGGAAATCAAGGATTTAGATGAAATGATATTGGAAATTGGTGGAGAATTAGGGAAATTTGCAGAAGAGGATAAGAAGCAAGCTCTCAGTGATATAAAGAAAATTGAGGTACATTGGTCTAAGTTACTAAGCAATAAAATCACTTAAACTTGAAGGTACATTGTACTTTTAACTTGTTGGAATTTCCTATCAGTATGTGTACCCTTTTTTACAGTGATCATTTAGCATTGTTTCATTAAAAAGTTCTAGTAACTTTTTTAACAAATTCTTGCACAGTGAGCTAAATATAAGGATTTATACTAGTATAAACAGTTTCTGTTTCACTCTCAATGTAAAATCTGAACTAGTTTTGAATAAATACAAACTTACCTCACCTAGGTGGTTGTTACTTTACACCACGTAAATTTTCTGGGCTGATTTAAGGCAGTTTGGCTCAGTTTTAGTTTATCTGCTTTACCCTCTATATAATCTTTTCCCAAGGTAGCACACTGTATGACACCAACAAAATGAATCCAATGCAAGCAAAACATTATAAATTTGGTCCAATCACCATGAAACTCCACATATAATAGCAACATAAAGATAATTCACACTAGTATTCCTCATTCAGGGGTTATGTGTAATGAAAGGGATATAACCCTTTACAATCCAACATTAGTATGCATACTCTGTATTCGCTATACTTTCTTTATACATTTCTTAGTGTTCTGAAAAGGAGAATTTGTTTAACAATCAAGAGCCTCTTTAGTTGTTGATCATTTCCCTTATTCTCATGACCCTAATGTTTTACACAGGGGTGATCTTGTAAGGAGAAATTGGATGCCAGTCTCTCTAAGGGGTTAAAGGGTTAAACACAGCCAATTCTTAGCTATAAGTTTACTGATAGACTTTGGATGATGAGTTATTCAGATTTTGCAGGACCTTAAAACTATATGAACTTTCAAAGAGTGGGTGATTTATTAATTTTCTCCTATGCCACTCTCTTTGCACTTTTTGGATATTAATAATGTTACCCCTTCCCTCAATTTTATATTCTGACCATTCAGACTTATTCTGGTTTTGCATCATGTTAGGTGCAATAGCCTCTGATAGAAAGAAAAAAAGAACTGAATTGGTTAATTTTGTTAACTAAATTTTCTTTCCTAGGATGAGTTGCTTAAGGCTCTTATTCCTCAAGATGGTGATGATGAAAACAGTGCCATACTAGAATTAAGGGCTGGTATGTAAGGGAAATAATTTATTAGTATGGGTTTGAAATGACTCAACTGGTTGGGTACAAATTGACCTAACTGGGTATGGAACAATGGTGTATGAAACAAATGTAATTACAAAATGTTTGGTAATCCTGCTAAATGCTTTTTATTCTGAAGATTAAGAAACTATGAACACAATGATTTGATAATGCAAGGGAAATTATAGTGCTCTGACCAATTACAGAAAGTTTAGGACATGCAAGAAAAACTCTAGATCATAAACTTATAATTACTTAATCTGTCTGTTAAGTTTTCTCACATCTGATTGGTATTTTCCTTGGAATACATATTCCATAATTGCTTGTCCCAGCTTCTGCTGTTTGCAGTTTGCTGAGTTCCACAGAAAATGATGCAAGACTGATTAAATATCTTAACATCAGCCATTCTCTTTCAAAAACTAAAGATAGAGGTGTGTGGCACTGAGCAAATAATAATTGCTATATTTGTGGTCTGCAGGCACTGGTGGAAAGGAAGCATCCTTGTTTACTGAGGAGATGTTGACAATGTATCAAAGGTTTGTCTTAAAAACTAAAAAGTTGATATGTCTTTTAAGTGTGCAGTCAATGTAAAATTCTGCAAGTATCAATTTTATCAGACAATAGTTCCTTTAAATTAGAGACTGGTTTAACCCTCAGAAGTGCTTAACATATAGCCTCTCCCTATAACATCCATACATTATCCAGCAAACATATAATGAGAATACTCAAACTAACCAGGTAGAAGTTGTTATCTTGATCTAGCACCCAATTCTCATAACTAATTTACAAGGAAATGCGTAGCAGCCAGATGGGAGAATAAAGAATCAGATCTTGGGTTAAGTAAAATTTGAATTCAGTGAATAAGAGTTATATGTTTATGGCCCCTGTGGTGTAATCGCCATTAGAACGGGGTGAAACAAATGGTTTTAAAGAAGAACTAGAAATCAAACAATTTTTGTCTTTGTTGATTAAAGACTAGTCTATCCTTTCAAAAAATTGTCTTAAAAGGTGCCAAAAATTTGTGTGTCAGTATGTAAGGAGATAACTGTTGTATAATACTTTGTAATGGCTGACGTAAGGTTCTTTCAATTGTTTCTGGAGCACACTTTTCCTTTAATTTATCTTTCCTTGCCTACCCCAGGTTTTCAGCTTACAAGAAGTGGAAATTTGAAATTCTGAACATTAGTAAAAGTGAAGGTGGTGGTATTAAGGTAGACTTGAAAGTTTGGACTCTATGATAATTTGTTGGAACTATTTTGAATTTTTAATCTATCGCACGGTTACCCCTAGTGTTTCATCAGGCTTCCCTGACAATTTTCCGGTACCCATTTAGAGAGAAACTGTGGGAGTAAAGTGTTTTCCCATGGACACAACACAATGGTATGCATGGGGCCCGTTTCTCGAAGGTCCTGGTAACTTAATGGGCCCACATAGCTGTTCTGTTTTCATTCAAGATGATGGTTTCAAAAGTTTTAAAAGTTGTACAATAAAACTATCAGACAGCTAAATAAACAAAATGGAATAATTAGGGTGCCAAAACCTGCTTCTCTGTTCTTTAACATTTAATCTTGAAATAACTATGGCTTCGGGCCCGGAACTTTCGAGAAACGGGCCCCTGGCCATGTATTGAACCCAGACCTCTCAACCCGGAGTTCAGTGTGGAGTTTTGTTTGAATTACTGTACACATTGTACAGTTACACTGTACAAGTTGAATTTTTTCCGTTATGCTCTTAGGTCCTAATGAATGAATCTTGGAGAATTTCAACGAAAACCGAAGAAATAAAAACAATTTCTGATTGAACTAAGAACTCTTGGTAGCTTTGTTTTCACGCTGTAATTTAAAAATAAATAATATTGAGTTCAATTTTGTTCTACTGTTTGCAGGAAGCTTCTGTGAGTATTGTAGGGAGTGGTGTGTTTGGCACGATGAAGGTAACTTGAATGAGTATTTAAACATTAAACATTACTGTAGGTTCTAATTTACCTGGAAACGGTCGACAAAAAGACTCTTTGAATGTGCCAATAATAGATATCTCTCTTCTAAACTTGGTTAATGACGACCTTAGTTGTTATTTTTTGCTAGTTTGAAACTGGTGTTCACAGAGTGCAAAGAGTTCCGCATACAGAGTCGCTAGGCCGTATTCACACTAGTACTATGACTGTGGCAGTGTTACCACAACCTGAAGAGGTACAGTTACATTACAATCAAGTATATTGAAATGAACACATCGTGTGCGTTCAAATATTGAGAGTGTTGCCCAAGAGGTACAGTTACATTACAACTAAGTCAATTGAAATGACCACGTCGTGTGCGTTCAAAAATTGGGAATATTGCCCAAGCCTGAGAAACTATCCTCAAAATTTCTCACTTGTCCTCAAAAATTTTCTTCTCCAGCCAATGATATTTCATTTTCGAGCGTTATTTAGTCCTTAACGTTTTGGAACGGGTCGCAACCCGACCCAGGCTCTTCTCTTTTTTTCACTCCTCTGCTACAATCGCGCCATGTACTATCACGGTCAGTTTTTCCTTCCTGAACACCCGGAGCAGGGTAGGTGTTATGCGTCTTCTCGACCACCACAAGCGGTTTATTTACTTATTAGTATCCTACTATTGGTTATTATGGTATTACTAATCAGAAGCATTGATTTTTTAAAATATTTTTTTATTATTTTTGTAACACAGGCACTAAAATGCTAACATTCAGTTAATTAAATTATTTGCATACCCGGCAATACGCACATTACTTACTACAGACATTACTCTTTTTGCAATTACTAAAATGCTTCAGTACAGAGTAAACTAAATTAGTTACGATGCCTTTTAATACATATCATCGACGTCAATTAAATTACGATACCTCACAATACACACTGTTCCTTTTTTTTTTAAGTTACTGGCATTGCTTTTTCTCCAGGTAGATGTGGTGATTAATCCAAACGATCTCAAAGTTGATACATTTAGAGCGTCTGGGTAAGTAACTTAACAACAGTACAAAAACACCGGCAGTGAAGTGCTTCTCAAGCAGGTTTTTCTGGTTTGTTTCAGCGCCGGCGGTCAGCATGTCAACAAAACTGATTCTGCAGTCAGAATAACTCATTTACCGACGGGACTTGTGGTCGGTTGTCAAGAGGAACGATCTCAGATTCAGGTATTATATGATAAGCTGCATTATGTTCGCATTTTGATTGTTTCCTTCTTATGATCCATTAGAGCACAGGCGCATAGATGACATTCCACCAACAGAAATTTGCTTTGTTATCATTTAAAACAAGGACATTTCATGTTGCCGTTGGTCTGCTCAATAATAGATCATAGATTACGTTGAAATGTGGTAAGTACATCATTGACACACTCGATGCGACGGCATTGGTTTCTCTTCGTTACGCTACGTGATTGGCTCAGAATATGCGTGCAATCTTCTTAGCCAATCAGATGCAATACCGAAACCAATCGCTACTTGGTCGCTCGCGTTTTCCCGCGCTTTGAGCAGTTTCTTGATTTAGCACGATTTGCATCATCCTTATTTGCCGTTGTGATTACTCCTGTAATTGTTTAACGATACTCTTTAAAAAATGTATTCTAAGTTTTTTCCCCCCTTTTTAGAATCGACACAAAGCCTTACAAGTGTTACGAACGCGTCTTTACGATATACAGCGTCGACAACTGGATTCAGAAAGATCTGAAGCCCGCAGAAAACAGGTCAGCTGTAAAACGGAAAGTCTGATTGACTGATGCGATAAACACGAAACACAGCGGTCAAACGTTTGCGCATGCGAACTTTATATTGGCTAGTTAACGTGCTTTCAGACTGTCAGAACCAATCGCACGAGCTAGCAAGTCACGGTGTTTTAAAACGGTATAACTTCTAGGATAAATCTGAGAAAAAAATTTAAATCAAAAGGATGATCGAAAGAGTAAGCTTTATGTTCGAAAAGGTTCGAGTTCTTCTTTTCCCTGCATTTGTTGTCTTTTATAGATTCTATGAGCGTTTCAATTGCTTATTTTTAGTGATAGCAGTTGTACCCTATGTTTTCCTTTGAGATTTTGCGCGGGAAACTGGAGCGCGGCCGGCCAGATTAGATCCCCGTGCGCACGTCCAAAGTTTGACCGCTGTGTTGCTGCCGTAGTTGTTTTAGCTGTTGCGTTTACTTAGTTTGCTGTTTTACGACACTCAATCAAATGTGGCCTGAAACGAAACGTTTTCCATTTAATTAGATCGGGAGTGGAGGGAGATCAGAAAAGATAAGGACGTACAACTTTCCTCAGGTGAGTCCAAGGTTTTCCTCTGTTTAGGTTTACTATGGTCTTTTTATGTGAGAAATATTCAGTCGATACATTGTAAGCTTTACAAGAACGATAGAAAGTTGTCTGTTTTGCACATTTCTTACTTTATAAGAAAATCCAACTCATAAGTCGGGAAATTATGGTGAAATTTGAAGTGTTGGAGACATGATTTCGAATGTTTGATGTTTGTCCCCAATCGCTATGATCACCTGACCTCAACTGGTCAACTCTGGTCGAGAATTGTGTCATATCTCGCTATAATCACCTCGCGCGAGGTGATTAGAGCAGGAGTGCTACTTTTCAAAATGGCTGTATTGTGTTTTGTCAATGTTTTTCGAGGAAGTGATAAACGCAATAGTAGAAAATTGAAATTCGAAGAGCACAAAAGATGCGACTAACGTAACGCTCTTGTAACGTAACGCTCTTCGAAAGTAACTTGAATTTTTTACCGACTGATTAAAATAAACCTAGTGGAAATTGTGTGCCTGTCTTGAGACGAGTAATCAAAACAACCATAACAAAATATGCGTAGTGCTTTAAAAAATAGAGAAAGTAGTGCGCATATTTTGTTACAAAATAATTTCAACCACGTAACCAATTTACCAGAAAATTCGAAAGCAACGGAACGATTGTACCAATAACAATTATTGTCCTCTGGCTCAATGCATATTGTTGTTATTCAAAAATATTCACTTCGCCTTCGTGAATAATTGTAAAGCTATGGCGGTGATAAAAAAAAAATTGCACAGCTTCTTGTGCATATCCTCCTTCAAAGTCTAAAAACGAGCATGTCTTCCCCAAGGGCCGAGTGACTGATCACAGAATAGGTATGACTGAGCATGGAGCAGAACTGTTTTTGGAGGGAGAAGACAAACTTAATCACATGATCACGGCTTTGCAGTCTCAACACGAAGCCGAGGCGCTACAGGAACTTACCAGTCAATATGACACCGGGAAGAAAGGGAATAGGTAACCAAAGGAAAACACGGAAAACACGGAAAACACAGCCAAAGACAACAACACGGCGCTTTCTCGAGGGCCCATCTTACGAATGTGCAAATGGCCAGACGATGAAATAATAGTATTTATATCGGAATTGGTTATGTATTTGTTTCTTAAAAAAGAGCAAAATAGTACATTGTAACATAGTGAAGAAGCATTAAAAAAGAAAAAAAAGTCGCCAAGTGTTGTAAACTGCCTTTCCTTGAGGATACAGAGGAAAATGATAATGAATAACCTTTGGTTCAAATAGACAATCTTTGGTCCTAAAGGAAGAAATTCCAATCATCGTCGTTACCCTTTTGGAAGGGTCACCATTTCGTAGGAGACATTTTTTAACAAGACTGTCACCTGAATGTCCACCGGGGTAACCTTTCCATATGTTATCTTTACTAAAGGGAAACCTCTATTAAGGGACACTTTTTCTAGTCCGAGTTTGTCCTTTAATGTACGTTCCACTGAATGAACGATGCATTTCCTAACTTTACTTTGGGACATCTCTATTCGGGGGCACTTTTTCCAGCCTCAAGTTTGAATGTAGGTTCTACGGTCTAACTTGTCATCTCTACTGAATAAACACCTCTACTCAGGGACACTTATTTCTATTTCCGATTTTGCCTCTTCAATGTAAGTTCCACCTTATGAGCCATGTCTTTGGTAACTTTACTTTAGGACATCTCTATTCAATTACGTTTTTTCTAGTTCCGCGTTTTTCCCAGAATTTAGGTTTTACTGCATTTGTTGTATTTTTATTAAAGGAACACTTCTACTCAGGGACAGGTTTTTTTTCTACTTTCAAGGTTGTCCCCTGAGTGGATTTTCTATTGTTAAGAAAATCTTAATTTGAGGCTTATAAATATTACAGTGTCCGCAATTTTCCCCGAACCAAAGTTTATCATGGCATGATGTTATTTCAATTTTTTGTAGGTCGATCAAAGATTTAGTTTCTTTCCTTAGCAGGGCAAGAGTTGAACATTAATATTAATCGCTGATACGTTTTGTGTCACATTGAGGAAAATATAAAATTTCGTATCTATGTCTCTATTTACACTTATAAGATATAAGATAAGAGATTATATGCGACCATACGGTACGGAGACTTATTTCAAAATTATTAAATGAAAGGGCTGGTTTATGAACTGAATATATGTTTTTTTTTCATAATTTATTTTTATTCTCATAAGTGTTGGAGCATTAGCTTTTTTGCTTTGTTTCTTCACTTAAAGGTATATTTGCATATTTGCCTTTTTGTAAATTCTTAATTTCCTGCAAAATTGAAATGATAAACGTACAAAGAGAATTTCTATGTGTGATAATTTGACGATAAGATATTACGATAAGATGTACCTGCTACCGGCGAGCAGTAAAAGATTCCCTCCCGCTTCATTTTTCGTTTCCAGTATAATTTCTGGGAAATGTATGGTTTCTTGTGTTTATGAACCTAGATACACCTGTATTTACTATCTATGGGAAAGTGTTGACTAGGCTAGAAGCACGAATCACCCGTTTCAATGGGCATATCTTTAAAATTTGTTTTGTTTTTTTTCCTTTGTGATGGAAAAAGCGCACAGCAGTCAAAACAATGCAGGTAGATTTGAAATGTAATTTGGTGTAAATCAGAGACATTTCGATGATTTTCGGCGAACGCTCTCACATTTTAAGAGTTTTAAAGTTTTAATTTAAAAGTTTAAATGAATATGCATGTAAGCCAGAGGTTCTGTTATTAATTAGCGTCGTTTTGTTAATTGTAATCGAGTTTATGAAACTGTTTTGAAGAAAAGAGAAAGAGAGAGAAATAAGAGAAACAGAGGAAAATATTTTGTTTGTTTATGTGCATGATGTCGAGAAGAAATGAATTTTTTCCAATGATTACAATTTTTACCATTTAATTCATCCACAAGGTCCGTCTTGATAGTGTTTTATGTTTGTTTCTAGAAAGAACTTGTCTAAATAAACATAAAAATTAAAAGTATTTTGTCTCAGGGAAATTTTATGATAGTTTGTATAACCGGATGATAATCTCCCCCAAGAAAGATCAGTTTTGGACCTTTTACAACGAGATCAATTCGTTCACCGATTTCGATGGCATGTTTAAATTAGTACACGAGAGATGTTGTTTTTATATTTCTTAATTTATCTGTTCAGTTAAAGAAAAAAAAACAATAGTAATAAGAGCAAAACATATGCAGTGTGGATAAAGTAGCGAGATTTAATAATTGCTTTCTTGTATCCTACTGAGGAAATTTCTATTGTCATGTCCAGTATTTATCGTCTCCCCCGTTTATTGACCTCGTCAAGCGACGAGCGAAAATGACTATTATCTTTTTCAATGATGTTATATGCAAATCACGATGTCACGAGTTTCAACATTAATACAAAAAGCGAAATTTTAAAATCCTGTTGGCTTAAAGTGGCTTTTTCAAGTCTCTCCAATAAATGTTAAACAAATATTCGGGTTCGCTGGCACATCGGATGAGAAAGACTGTTTAGCGTTTGGCATTTATCAGGTGTGTATTTACGTAGAGTATAACAGATTTAAAAAAGAAATTCTTTGACCTGCTGCAGTCAAAACGAAATCAAACAGTCACACGGTGGAAACGTGCGAGGTGGTTGAGCGCCGCAACTCAGCGGTTAATCTTCCATGAAATTTTAATATAACAGAGGAGTCGACACATTAAGGCAGAAACAAACATATTACCGCTTGGTAATTAGTTCTTGTCTTATTCAGCCATCATTTGGTCGCGGGAAGCTTTTTTTTTCGAGAACATTATTTCGGATCAGTGGCATACTACGATGAAAGCAGCGCTGGATAATTTTCTCAAAAAGCACGCTGATGCCTTCGTGCGATATCGTCGAAAGAAGCTCAAGGAAATCGAAAACCTAATTAATCCATTACTGGAAGAAGTGAAGAAACTGGATGGAAAATTTGACTTTGAAATGGTCAACCCTAAAAGCTTTCATACCATCAAGTCACCCATCCATTACGAAGTACTTCTGATTTTTCACGGGGTGGACCCTGAAGAGATTTCTGTCGAAGACGGGCAAACACCAGCGGGATTTGCGCTAGCGAAACTTACTGGTAAAAAAATGGTGTCTAAGTGGAAATTTTGCAGTGGGAACAGTAATCCCAGCAAGGTTTACATGTCGGCTAAGATTGTCAGAGAGAAACTCTTCGAGCTTGTAAACCGAGTGATCAGCAGCTCGTCTTTTCTGGAATCACTCGAAGGGAGTAACTTTTGTGTAGAAGTCGTCGACGACGACGATGTGATTTCAATGCGGGTCAGCGGACAAGACGTTGAAGCATACAGCGTTGATCTTATCCCAGCAATTCCTTATCCAGGACGCTGGGTGCTCTCTGCGCATGGGTGGGAATCCAAGCAAGCTGATTGGATGAGCAAGACTTTGAAGGAAGAAGTCATTAAGACCGGATTTCACTTGGTAGCCAGGCCATCACCGAGTAGGTCATCGTACCAGTGGCAGATTGATTTTCCTGGCCCCATGAGGAAGCTACTGGAAATAGACATGGGCTGTCGCATAAAATGTCTGCTTATTCTTGAGATCATTATGGGCGACATGTACTCTCAAAGGGATGCATGCGACAGTTTCCAACTCGAAACTCTCGTGTTGCGTATAACAGAACACTATCCAGTCAAATCGTTCTGGAGCGAAGAAAAATTCTCCAAACGTTTCTTAGACACCATAAGAGAACTGCAACGATGTCTCTCAGAAAGACACCTGACGCAGATTTTCATCCCAGGCGTGAATTTGTTTCGAGATTTCGACAAAGTGAGTTTGAAAAGTTGCGAAGAAGTTGTTCAGAGTGTTTTAGAAAACCCAGAAAATTTCCTGAACACTTTCGAACTGTTCCAATATACAACTGCTTTGTAACCTAGAAAAATAGTAGGCAAAGTCTTTACTTAAGCCAGATAGCCCATCCAACCCGAGTTTTATCCCAGTTTCCTTAGCATGTAGCGAATAGGAAGTTACCTCTCCCCCTCCCCCTTACGTGGGATTTCAGTCCATCACAAGGTTACCCCTCGCCCAGGCATTTCATCGGGGTTCCCTGACATTTTTCCTGCACCTTTTTATACCTCCGGATGGAGAGAGGCACCGTGAAGAGATATGTTTTCCCAAGAAGACAACACAATGACCTGGCTAAGTCTCGAACCCAGACCTCTCAACCCGGAATTCAGCGCACACTGCGTCTCCCACCGAAAGATCGTTAGAGCTGAGTACTTTGACATTTTTATTCTCAAGATCTAGAGTGACCAGGAGGCAATTTCTCCCAACAATAACACTACACTAACAAGCCGATGGGGAATGACAATTAAGATAATAAGGGGATAATAATTTCAGTGATGAAAAACTAAATTCTCAGAACTACCATTATAGGAGATGCGTGGAAGACAGCAAGGATAATTATTATAGTCATCTTTCAGATCTTGCTTTTGTATGATGTAGCTACCACGTTCCACTGAACGATCTTTATCTGGGATCGCTTATTTTTCAGTCAGCATCTCTCTGTAGGGAAGCTTTAAGATAAACAGAAACCTTAGAAAAATCATTTACTTAGGTACACAATCAAAAAGAGGGAAAAAAATTAATAAGGAACGAAGAACTCTTCGTGATGGGTTCCAAGTGACAGACTTGAAAAAAAGGCTACATTGAAATGTAAATGAAGCGAAACTGTTTGAAATGAAGCTTGCACTGGCAATATTAAATCATATATTTACCAAGCCCGCTTCATGGGAAGTTGTAACAATTTTATTTTAAATCGTAGTGCACCAGGAGCCCATTATATGCACTCCCGAGTGCACTGAGAAGAGTTTTGTTCATAAGTAACGTACCCAAGACCTCTTTGCTTGATTTTTTCCAAAGATTAATTACCAGCTTTCCGATAGGATTTTCAGAATTTTAAATAATATTTCTCTATCGTTCCTTTGTACAATAACCAAGGCGATAGTGATCGATAAATACGTTTCTCCTAAAGCATACCTATCAGTACTGTGGGCTGAAGTTTTTTTAGACAGTAGACGCTTTGATATCTGTCCAAAAGAGCCGGTGAGGAAATAAGAATATTTGAAATCAGATGGAAAGCAAAATGGAACCCACCAAATACATTAAATTTATGAAAAAATGATGCCAAAACAAAAACAAAAAGAATTAACGAGAGGACGGAACTGTGGTCAATTAATGTTTAATATGAGGATTAATGTTTCATAAGCGTGGAGAGTTTTTGTTCCTGTTACCACACCAATCAAATATATGTTATTTTATTCTATGAACGATTGATGTAAACCAATACTGTGAAGTCTCCCACACGTCTAGCAATGAAATTTATCTTCTATAAAGAATTTTCCGAGTTGAATTGCCGGCGTTTAATGTACTGAGCAATTGTCTGCACCATCAACGATTCTTTTGTTGTGAGCGTAAAGAATTTTGAAATAATACAGTTTTCTAACCACGCGAGTGAACAGCCGTTGTTGTGCTCAAAGATAACACAGTTTTTTTGCTCTCAACGACCGAAAAAAGTTTTGAGAACCGGATGCTGTAGTGGGTGAAACTACGCTTCATCATTAGTAATGGCGGAAAATTTCGAACTTTCAGCATCAGACAACGAGCACTGGTTAAACGGCTTTCTCCAACAAAACTGCGAAGAGGCGAGAAAACGAGTTTTAGAAGAACGAACTATGATGAATTTTGCGGAAGACGGAGGTTCTCAAGACGAATGTGATCTGTCTGGAATGTTCAACTTTAATGAATACGAAGAGTTCGACGAACAGAGAGTCTATGAAAATATAGATTTTTCGATTCTGTCCGAAACAAAACGTGCGACGTTCAACGGTGGTATATCGACTCCCGTGGGCGATACCTTCCACGACCTAGACGTAAAACCTGACATGGGTATTGTGGCACTGAACGGTAATGTATCGATTCATGAAGTTGAAAATCGATCAGTACACGACACTAACGATCGTCTATCGACTCCCAGCGACGACACTATCCGCTACCGAGAGGACTCTGATACGAATTTTTCGACATTCAATACATCGATTTTCAAAAGTGACAAACGGTCTGAATTGGACGCCAATAGTACTTTATCGACCCTCGAGGACGAAAAACGGTTAGAGAAGGAGGTTCTGCATAGTAGAGACAATCACTCCATTATGAATGTCACGACCCTGGACGACAGCATGTTGATTTTCAAAGATAAAGGACGACACGACGCCACCCAGGATCCAGTTAATTCTATTCCACTAATTCAGACGGGCACGTTGTATTGTGATGAAATATTGACGAAAGGCGATGAACCACGAGCTAGCCTTGACGATTATGGAAAACGCGTTGGTAACGTGCAGCCACCTTCCGAGCACGCTCCGCCCACGACAAACAATGGAGAGTTAGCCTTGGGCTTTGAAACCGAACTGGTTGAGGTGCCAAGTATGGGAATAGCTCACCCTAAAGAACAACTCTTGAAGGCAATAAACGACTTCAACAAGAATGTGGTAGAGATTCAGCGAGTTCGTTTTAAGCAGATGATGTTCCAGATCCAGGAAATAGTCAATGAAATCTTGGCGGAAGTAGAACGACTTGAAAACACTTTTAAGTTCCAAAGAATGAGCCCTGACAGTTTTTATGAAATGAAGTCGCAAAACGAAGTGGACATACTTGTTGTCCTGGAAAACATTTCGCACACAGAATTTATCATCGAGGATATGAAAACACCAACTGGATTTGCACGAATACGTATGACGTCAGCATACATGACGTCATTAGATGCAATGAGGTCATCAGATGTAACGTCAGAACCTAATATGGGGTCGTCAGGTGGCACCATTTTCCATTGGTGCACGGACACTGATTCTGGTGAGGTCTATTTCTCACCTAAAAAGTTGTGCATGAAATTTGCTGCCTCAGTTTCTCGAGCAGCGGCGAAAATTTTACGGCATGGCTCGAGCCCACTCAGAAAGAAAGTGACGTTTTCGGACAGAGAAGAGACATTTCCTTTCGTCGTAAATCTAATACCTACAGTCGCCTGTCCGCAGACCTGGCCGCTGTGTGCGTACTGGCTCAGAAATTACACTAAACAATGGCCATCGCCACACGTCAAAGATGAGGTCATTAAGGGGGGAATGCATCTCGTTGCCATGGCGACTAGCCAAGAGTCTGATCCTCTATGGCGAATAAGCTTTTGCTCCGCACGTCGGCGTCTTCTCCAGGCTGATGGTGATGGAAAAAAGAATTGCTTGCGCGTGTTGAAAGTTCTCCTCGTAAAAGACTTGTCGAGACCCAAAGGCATCACGCCGCTGTACCTAGAAAACATTGTACTATGGGCGAGTAGGAAGCACTGGCAAGAAGAGGAATGGGCCGAGTCTATGTTAGTCGACAGATTCTTGGAGATGTTGGTGGCGCTGCACAAATGTCTGGAAAATAAGGATTGTTATAACTTTTTTGTACCAACAATGAATCTTTTCAATGAGTTGAAACCCGATACTTTGAAAGTGTTGGCTTCGAAAGTTGAAGACATCTTGCGTGATCCCTTCAAATATCTGAAAACCTAGGGAGCCATAACCACCCCCTGACGTAGGACGTTTTGCTTGCTCCAGAGTGGCATGTTATATCAAGACAACTTTTCCTATTTTGGTTGTCGTTACCTGCATGACTGACATTGTACAAACACTGTTTTTTTTAAATTTCTAAACTGGATCACCTCTAATCATTCCTTGGGGTAAAAGTTTCAAAGGTCTTGATCTTAATGACACAGTGTAGGTCCAAAAGCTGTCCTACGAGTTGGTAAGTATTAGAGTGCAATCCACTACCACGAGATTGTGTCCCACCAGCGGGGCCGTAAATGATCTCTTGAAGTGGCAAAAACTCATCTTTCGCACAATTTATTGGGGCTTTCTTAAATGATTGTCAGTGTAATAATTCCACATATACTTTCTGATAGCACCGACAAAAGCTTTTTTTCTGGAGTATACTTTGTCATGGACAGAAGTAGATTAGTGCAATGTGCAGTATGATATTCTGAAATATTTGCTGGTTTAGGGATACTCACACCTTCCCCCCCCTCCACCGCTTTTAGAATATTGTTTCTGAAAGACGGACAAATCTATTTGTTTTTTTACACAGTTTATTTATCTACTCATTTAAAGTTATTGTATTTTTTTCTTATAAACTATCCTGTCACTACACTTGTTGCATGATCTCAATATAAGAAAGAATGCTTTTATCATATAAATTACACCTAAGTTGGGGAAATTAAATACTTGACGTCAAATAACTGCTTATTCTCCCTTGTTATTTAAATAAATCGAAAGATTTCTAAAAAATGTTTCACCTTTTGGCAAGCTCTCTCGTTAAAACACCGAGTAATGCGAAAACCAAAAGCATTTTTGCTCGTAGGCTAGTAAGCTTTCAACTGTATCTAATTATATATTGATAAGATAATTAAAACCTGATCCAAATTACCTGCCCAAATTACCGTTATGTTTATGTATTTTGTATGTTTTTTGCTATTGTTACATATTTCATTATTAATTATATACTTGAAGCAAAACATTGTATTCCGCTGTCAATCTGAACAGCTCATACAATAAAATGGATGAAAAGGAGAATTTCTCTCACTTACAATGCAATGGCTTTAAATCAACAATTCCGTCGGACTTAAAACGGAACTCAGAAAGACTGAGTTCGACCCATAACGCTACGTTGAAAAACTTATTTTCCTAAATTTTTTACCAGTTCTAGAAAAATTTAGCAAAAATGTTCCTCAAAGATAATTTCTCTTCAATTCAGTTCCTTAATCTCTAAAGTGTTTTTCTTAGTTATCTCTTTAACCCTTTTCACTCACTTGAGTGACCAATACAGAATTTCTCCTTACAACATCCACACAATATCAGGCAGAGTAGTGATGAGAATAACGAAAAACATCAAATAAGGAATTGTTAGTTAATCCAATACCAAATTCTCTGAACGAACATTGTGAGAATTGTATGACAGACGATGAAGAGAGTTGTAAATGAGATCTTAGGAGTAAGAGGGTTAAGATTGTTCCGGCGGCCTAGTCCTGAAGTACTAAAATAAAAAAATAGCAAACGTTTATATAGGGAAGCTTTAAATCCATTTTGATAGCCAGGGTTTCAAAAGTGAGTAAGAATCTTACTCTTCTATTTGAAAATCTTTGGATACAAAATTTTTCCGCTACATCCATTACATTTCAGAAACTAAGGGAAAATTTAGTTGCTCGAGAGGCCGTTTGGTATAGTTCTAGGCTGTTTTTCAAAAACATATTAAATGATATTTATAAACGACAGTGAAAAAGCAAAACAAACTATATTACTCCCTAAATTTTGAAATGGGTAGCTTCAAGGATACAGAGGTTATATATTACGCAAGGTCATCTCTGGCCTTGGCCAGCTGTGGATAAAATTTACATCTGAAAAAAGCCTTCACTTTTCAAAAAAAGGAAAAAATAACTTCGCAGGTTTTTCCAAGCACCAAGTAAACTCCTCCAAAATGATAAAGTCTAAGACTGATTCGATCTGACTTTGCGGCTAACTGTCCATTGTTCCAAACGAAACTGTTTGGGGATCGCTTGTAGTCGCTCTGTGAAAGAATCTTCTCCAACGCTGATCTGTATATCCTTGGCTAAGCGTGTTTGACTCTCAAACAGAAGTATCACCAGATTTGTGACCGTTACGCTGTGAGAACTTCCTGGTACCAGGAAAGCTGTTGTTTGAGCCATGAGCGCTGTGTGCATATAAATGCTCTTGTCTGAGAAGCAAACTTCTGAATAACGTGTCGAACCTCGAGTCCATGTGCTCGAGCATGGCCTGGAGCTTAGCTTCAACTCGCCCCATAATTCTCTTCTCTGCGGCATAGATGTTCGTGGTGATAGAGTTATAAACTGATAAACATCCGGGGCATCCGCATTCGGCGCACCTGAGTAACAATAGAAATGCATTTTGATAACATGGGCACTCTCTTTTTTTAAGGTGAAATGCTGCATTGTGTTAGTTTTTAGTGGAGTTGAGAGGGAAATTGACGCAGACCTTTGAAGGGAAATTCTGAAATCAGTCTTTCGGTACGTCGGCTGGCAAGTTTATTTCTACCAAAGTGAAACTCTAGGCAGCTTAGCTGTCCCATCAGTGTTGCAGTTACCATCAACACATCTCCTTCTCCATCCACCCCTCCCTCAACTGCCAAACGCTACCTCCCCCGACCCCTACCCCCATTATCATATTTGCCCTTACCTGGACTTACTCCCGGGATCCGAGCTGTCAGACGAAGCCTTTTCTAACGGAGCAGGCGCTTGTTCAGCCATAACTCGTTCTACAGCTCGCTTGTCTTCCAAGCAGAATGACTGTGCCCGTGGATTGATTGTAGTCTGTGTCGCTACAGGAAGTGCACTGCCGAGGGACACTGGTCTGGCTTTGCGCACCATGTTGCGGCTTGCACGTACACGAGACTGTAAGTAGGTTTCCCACCGGTGCTTAGCGAGCGTGGGTGATTCCGGGGTATCAGGTGCGCCATTTTCCACCGACAGAGTAGCAGAGTTCTCCGCTGATTCGGGTGACTTCTCAACCATCAGGCCTGCTAGCATATTAATAAAATCTTCATCGCCTTCTGGACTTCCTGGCATATTCCGCGCTGTAAGGAAAACAAAAGATAAGTTGGCTATCTAAAGCAATTTTAAATTGAGAGTCGAAATTCATCCGAGATTGATTTCGTTCTGCTTCGCGTCGCTCTGTGATTGGTTTTGCACCACTCTATCAACCAATCAGATGCAAAACTAAAACCAATCACGACTTGGTTGCCCTCGTTTTCCCGCTCTTTGAACGGTTTGGTTTTCATCGGCTCTTAAAGGTAATTTCCTGTCTTTCGATTGGCCATTGTCCGTTGTGATTACTTTGGTTTGGTTTTGCGGCACTCAGTCTAAAGGGACTCTAGAAGTCGAAGTTGATTACACCTAACTGCAATAACATTGAGAAAGTAAAGAACGTTTTAAAAAAAGCCAGTTCGGAATTATTTACATCGTTATAAATCATTTCATTACACAGACTGATGCTGAAAGTACGTTCCTGCCTCTTTCTATCAGACTTAGTCTCTCCCAATCAGTAGAATTTTTCATTAAGCAAAAAATGATCAAACCTGTTAACCTCTAGATTGCTCTTAACCTTTTCACTTTGTATTACAAGTTTCATTACAGAAGACGGGCGAGGAATTGAATTATAGAAAGAAAACTCCAAAAAAGGGTGTTGTCCATGCCAAATATTCACAGCATAACGTTAAGGGAGCCTGCCTCCTTCAAAACGCGAATTGGAGAAAACCACAAAACATGAACATTGAAAGATGGAAAGGTATTAAAGATCTTGAGAGGAGGATTTCGAACCAAGGTGGAAAAGGATGGAATAGTTTAATGAGGCCTGAAAATTTTTAACTCACAAAATTTAGACCAAAGTCGTAGCTTGCAAGACGGATTTCGCTTTTTTTTTTGAGGGGGGGGGGGGGGGGGCGCGTTTTCAAGCAAGCGCAAAGTCCGCTCAACTGAAAAAGGGAAAAGACAACTTGTTCTGTAGGCTGAAAGTTCAACTCACACATTCTTTCTGCTTTCTCCTCCTCTTCCAGTTGTTTCGCTCTTGTCATGGCCTGTGATAAGATGCTAGTTTCACTCCCTGATAAATTCATGGCACCAAGGTGTTCAGGCAGAGACCCACTGCCATGGCTAACAGATCTGACATGCTCAGCGACACTTCTACTTTGACTCTGCCGAAAACACTTCATAATTAGTTTACCGAGTCCGATAAAAAGGTTCAACTTTGGTTACAAGCGTAAGAGATAAGTAATGCAAAATAATTGGTAAATATAGATCACTAAGCTACCTTAAATTATGACATAAAAAATACAATATTACCAACCATTTGCTTGCTTTCCATGGACTCCAAGAGTTGCTGAGCCTCTGGTGACAGTTGTTTACCCAGACTACCCAAATAGCTCCTCACATTAGATATATCCACTTGGCCTGGTATCAAACCCTGAAAAAAATTGCATATCATTCCAATTTATCCGACAAGCTGAATGATAATTGCATCTTGATTAGTTTTTACTAATCAGTTATGAGATGGCAGTGCATTATGGGAAGATTGGGTGTTATGACATCAAATACATTAATGGCTTTTCAGCATTCTAATTGACCGTATTTCCTACACCATGGTGTACATGTCTGCATTCAACTGACCGAATAACTTCCCAGAGAGCTTATTTTTGTCCTGTGTTTGGCTCATTTCCAGTAGCTGAAGTGTTCAAAATCAAAACTCTAACCTGCAATGGCATTCCTGGGCTGGGAGGGAGCGTAGAGACTCTGGCAACTCGCACAACAATGGTCTGAAGTCTCATTGATTGCTCTTCTGCATATGATAGGAACTGGACATGAAAAATCAAAATCTTGTCAGCTATAATTTTTCAAATTGTTACTGTTAAAACTACAATCTGACAAAAATTTTAAACCAGATAATAGACCTAATGCATGAATGGCAGACTCGACTAGTATTCTTTTATAGTCATGTAGATTACCCCAACTAGCCTTGTCAGTATGTCTCAGAAAAAAAAAAAACCTCAACTCAAAGAAAGGTTGGTTGGGCTAATTTATATGAGTACAGTAGAATACCAATGCGGCCTGCCATTTATGCATACTGTCTACTTACATCTTTACTAATTTAATTTTCAGGAAAGACAAGAAATCCTCAGTCAACTAATTGTAATGCATTAATGCAGAGTACCAAACTGATCACTCAGTTGGGAGATAAAGGGTCACTATCACAAAGCAACTTTAAATAGTGGCAACTAGTTTGCTTAATTCTGTCGTACATTGCAAGAGGAGGAGGGGGGGATGAACCTGGCCAAGGTGACTTATTTAAGCTGTTAAGTATTATAAGTACATTTGCAGCTATCATATTGTCTTATTTGAGTGAGAGATGTGGGGGGGAAGGGGGAGGGGGGGAAAAGGGGGGAGGGGGGGTTGTGAGCCCAGCCAAGGTGAATGTAACTTTTTTAAGCTGTTAAGTAAAAGGGTCTTTGCACCTGTCATATTATAAAGTTTGTGAGAGGTAGGTGTTAGAAGACTTTGTTAAAAATATGAAAACTGGTCCAAGAACTGAAGCCAGCTCACTTTTTTAGGAGGGACAGCACCAATGGTCAAGACATTATCACCTTTGAAGGAATGATACCAAGTCAGTGAGTTTAAAGAAAGGGGTGGTTGTTAATACACATTTTTTAGTGCCTTGATAATGGTTCCCATTCTCTTGAAAATCATAGGTTTCCTAACAACAGAGTGCCCCCTGCACCAATTTACACTCTCACTTACCTTAACTAAGCATCTGCAAGTTCCATGAATGAACTCAGTCAAGTCAAACTCAGTCTCAAATAAGGATACTTTTCTGGGAAAAAATACAGCATGATAAAATTAATGTGAAGATACTGAAAAATAATTCATACTCATTGGAAATGATTGTGTAATAAATACAGCTGTAAAATAATTTTGCACAAAAGTGACTGCCACATCTGTTGTAGAGTGTTTTGCCTTCAGCCTTAACCCTCAAACTCACATGAGTGACCAAGACAAAATTTCTCCTTATAGCATCAATACAATATCAACCAGATAAGTGATGAGAATAAAAAAAATTTCAATCTGGGGATAATTAGTTGATCCAATACTAAATTCTCCAAACCAACATTATAAGAATTGTATGGTTGAGAGTAAGGAGAATTACAAATTTCATCTGGGAGTTAAAGGGTTAATCCTCGAAGAGTGACTGGGATATAATTTCTCCTTAGCTAAATCAAACTGTAAGTTCATGAGAATAAGGAAAATGATGGCAACTAAAGGAGCTTGTGATGTCAAGCAAAATTCTCCTTTTCAGTCCCATAGAAAATGTAAAGGGAACAGTGTGGAGAATATGAACATTAATCAGGTTAAACATTTCCCTGTGATTCTGTTAATGGCTTTAAGTCTCAGATCAATTTTGTAATTCTCCTTACTGTCAACCATACAATTCTTAAAATGTTAGTTCAGAGAATTTAGTGTTGGATCAACTAATTATCCCCATATTGATATTTTTCTTTATACTCATCACTTATCTGGTTGATATTGTATTGATATTGAAAGGAGAAATTCTTTCTTGGTCACTCATAAGAGTTAAGGGGTTAATGATGTATGACAATTATAAGATAAATTTACCCCAGGATGGAATAAAATACCAAAGTGCATTAATTATGGTTTAAAAATAATGTGATCTTCATACCTTCCTTTGCGAATTGTAAGCATGATACCCTTCGCTGTTCTTTCATAGTTTTCATCAACATACAGCTCAACGTTCCTTGCTTCAGAGACAATGACGATGTTTTTAATGTAGAATTCCTGAGCCATAGGGTGTGCTGTGAAGCTCATTTCACATGGGACTACATCACTGTGTGGTTTTGGTTGGGTTAGGATCACACCTGCTCCAGCTGTCTGAACACACCCCACAACAAGCTGATCCTGAGCCCTATGGAAAAGAAAAACAAAATAAACATACAGGAAACTGTGAAAGAAAACTGCCTAAAACATACAATAAAAATACAAGCACAATGGCTTAAATATGCTCCCTAGAGAATGACAGGAGATAGCTGTGAAACCAGTGTCACACTTGACTACATATCATAGAACTGGGCAAATTAAGTTTAGATTCCCTTGTTCTTTGATTCTCAGTTCTCAATCCTTGCTTCTCAATTCTTGATTTTTGATTCTTGATCCTCCAATTAAGTTTTGAGGATTGAGGATCAAGTTTCAAGTCAAGATCGTCAACTTACTATTACATTTGTGACACATGAAATAGGTACTTTCAGTTTAAAGTGTATGTAATGCATGAGTTTTTCTAAAATTTGTGCATGAAACAGGATTAGGACCCAAGCTTGCTACCTTCTTAGAACTGGGTTGTATCAAAGAGAGATAATTAACATTAAATTCCATCACAAGCATGAGAGAAAGAAAAAACCTGGGTTGTTCTACCAACAGAGCTAAATAAAACTTGTTGGTAAGATGGGTTATACACTAATTCACATGCATAATGTTAGCTACAAACTGTAGCATCAGCAATGACAAAAGCATGAGGATAGAGAAACTTATGAGCTCTGTTGCTGAAATGTATATCATGAATGCTCAGTAGAAAAAATTTTGGATGTTTCATCACAAATTTACTGCAATACAGCTTTGAAGAAGAAGTATATTACTGTACTTCTCTCAAACAACACAATTGTCATCTTCCCTAATGAAAAATACATTTTTCTCTGTGGTTTGAGACAAGAGAAAAAAGTAACCTGAATTTTTGAAAATTTTTTCAACCCTTTATATCCAAACATCAGAATCCAATTGTCAGTCTACAAAGACTTTACAATGAACAAATTATAAATCAGGAGTTCACTGTAGAATAACTTACTTCTAGTTTTAAGTTGTTTTAGCTCTTTACACCCTAAAATCAGTATGCATATTTGCCATGCTGCTCCTAATACACTTTACCAATCAAAAGCTTCTTTTGTTGGTGATCATTTCATTTATTCTCATGACCTTAAAGTGTGATTCAGGGGTGATTTGTAGGGAGAAATTTGATTCTAGTCACTCTGAGGATTTAAAAGGTTAATAAACATTCCAATGTTACATGTAAGTGAACAATAACTATAGTGCAGTTCAGTACCATCACAAAAGTTGATCAAATGTATATCACTATGAGATAACAGGAAATGGAACAGTGAGACTATATTTGATCATATTCAAAAGAAATTTTCCCACGCCATATGTCAACCACATTTAGCAAACAAAGAAATATGTTTGCATTTAAAATACAGATTAATTGTTTACAGAACAAACAAATCTGGATTAGTCTACTTTTTAAATTTGCCACCAATGGAAAAAATAATTTAAAAAACTTGTAGAAAGAAATGGGTTTATTCGTTGTGAATTGTAGGTTATTTGCATAGTTGAATTTCTCTCATGCATAAAGTGAGCACACTCGTTTTTTTAGATTTAGCTATAAAGTATCGAAGTTATTTTATACAAACTCTACAGGGAGGTTCCAAAAATTTTATACATCCATGGTTTAAACGACATAAATTAACATAAAAAACCCACAAGAATGCACTTTGAGATCCTTGGACAAGAAAGGAAAGACAAAAAGCCTTTTAATCCATGTTTATTAAGGCATAAAGATAAACATCTGGTAATTGTCTCTAGAATCCTTCTTTGGCTAAAATTGCTCTTGACCTTCGTCAAGATATCGAGGAGATGCTTTTTCGTTTCGATCCGCCTTATCAACAAGAAGAACAGTTGGAAGATCGACGATATCACGGAAATATCTATAATATCGTCGTAAAAAGTGAAAATATAAAATCCATTGGTTAAACTGTATTCTTTATTGTGATAAAACGTATTTAAAGTGCTAACAGAGTATTCGTGGCGTTCACTAAGGTTAAACGTAATTGTGGTAGCGCTGCTTGCTTTGGAATGAACTGTCATGATGGGTGTTCTTGAACGAAAAGGAAATTGTTTGTGATAAAAATTACCATCGCGTGATAATAAATTCAACCAGAGTTTTACAAAGAAGGACCTCCTGTGATTTTACCTGATTTGTTTGGTTTCTTTATAAAGGCAAAAGTTAACCTGCACTCGCCAAGAGAAAACGAGACAGTTCATCATAAGAGATTTTACATTGTTACAGTGTGTTTATCTAAGCACCTCAAAGGATTAATCGAATGAACCTGTTCTTAGAAAGCACGAATCACCGTGATCGATTTTATCACAAAACACAGTGGGAAATCAAAAAGGATATCAGCCTAAAACTGCGATTTTTATTGACAAGTTATCAAAGGGATAAACTTCACCTGCAATTATTATTACTGTTAGTGCCGTTATCATAGGTAATAAAACAGTGATGTTCGATCTTAATCTCACCTCGTTTCGCTGTCGCCTACAACATGAAACACGGCTGACTGCACAGCTTGTATATCCCAGCCTTCTGGATAATCCCACGAAAAGGCGATCTGAAATCTCGCCCAAAAGCTCGATAAATCCTCTAGATCCATTTACCAGTTGATTGCTCCACAGGGCTCTTCGATCAATGCGATGGTTTGCTTTCAGCGATGATGGATCGCTGCCCACACATGGCGCTACTGAAAGCGAACGAGATCAGACAACGAAGAGGCGCCTAATCCTTTTATACAAAACAAAGAACTTGTACGCATTCAACGACGAAGCATGAAGCTTGTCAGGCTTGTTTTGGTTTATGAAGTTGCGGGCTTATGTCAAACAAAGAGCAACCCAACTTCCGATGTGATAAATAGGAAATTCTGTGTGCTGCGAAAGCGCGAAATGGAAGACAAGCTAGTGCTCAGGCTACGGCCGCGAGGTGACATATAGAAATATGGAATGGACTCATACAAGGTGGAAACTAGAACGAAGTCTATGGAATTTTCAGCTTTGCATCTGATTAATCAGGCTTTAGAAAAATAGAGCTATTTCTTCCCAAATTGGATTTGTGGTGTACTGCATAAAATACATGAATCACAGTTTTATTTCATTGTATCACAGTTTTATTTTATTTCTTTCTTGAACAACTCTTGCGTTGTATCGTAACAATCTGTCAAAATTAATTAACGCTTCTTTCCCAGTGCACATAAATTTTAATCTAGAAGCGGCATAAATACGCTTTAACACGTTCATTGTTTTGCAGTTAAGGTACATGCTTAGCTGATACTGTACAAACTCAATTTTCTTTCAGCAAGCCATCTTACGGAACATTAAACTTCGTTTACTTCAGAAGAGTCTGCGATTAATAATGTGTTCTACATAAAGTTCTCAGTTTTTACATAGCCCAGGCCTCGAGATCTTTCAGGTCATCATCATCACGCATAGTTTTGTTTTTCATTAACGGATCTGTCGATGGAACGTTCGGTAATCCTGCGTTAGGACGTTCCATTCCAAGAAGTTCTTTGTTGAGACTTTCTTGTTCGATGGCTTCCAATTCGGCTTCGAGTTCTTCATCATCGAAGTCTTGATTCAGACCTACACCACAGATTGCCTCCGAAATCTCTTTAGAAATTTCTGTCTGTTCTTGAATATCATCCATAATGTCGTGAACATCCTCCACATCGAGAACTTGATGAATGCTCTTCAGTGTTTTAGCAGCATAATTCATATTCTTCAAAACTTCGGTGTTTGTGTTAGCGTTTTCCAAGGCTTCACGCTGAAATTCTATGGTCGATAAAGTTCCATCAATCTGATAAAGCTGTTTTTCAAAGCGTTTTCGCCTTTTCAAGGCTTGCAGCGCAATTCTCTTGTTCGTTTTGGCGTGCTTTTTCGCTGTTGCGTTCTCCATATCGATTTTTTTCTCCAAGAATTCTTGTTTTTTTTCTAACATTTCCTCGGTCTGTCTCAGTTTTTGGATTGCATCTTCAGTTGTTGGAATATTTTCCTTATTCTTACCTCCAAACATTCGCTGCAATACACTCATTATGGCAGCGAAAGACCAGAAAAAAACTGCTGATATTTGATCGATCCAGAAACCAACGACTGCTTCTTTCAAATTGTGCGCTAAAAAAGGAAATGAGTAACGCGTCAATCAAATGTCACGAGGTTTGGTTCTCCGATTACTATCGATCTGTCACGGTTATTCTGGAAACCGGAAGTCAGCATGGTGTTCAACATGGCGGTACGGACGCTGTGTATTGGCTGCCTTTTTGTGTAGTATTCTTCAGCTTCAAACCCACTCAATGTGAGCCATTTCAAGCGCCAAGTTATACCATTGACCTCGATCTTGCTCCAGAAGAAAGATGGCTCAATATTACCCAGAAATACCTGAAATACACTCCGAAGATTTTAGCAAATCTGCGAAAGAAGATTCCACCGTTTGCAATACCGCTTGCAGAAAAGCTTGCTGTTGTAATTGATAAACATTTCCCCGAGGAGTATAATAAAGAGATGATGGGTATATCAAAGGGACTTAATCTAAGCTTTTCAGACACAATACTTCTCAACATTTTATACGACGTAACAGCTTTTTGCACGAGTATCGTTACACAAGACAAGGATGGAAGTGTTTTTCACGGAAGAAACCTGGATTACTCTTTTACAGATACGCTGCGGGATATAACTTTCATATCCAACTTTCAAAGGAAAGGTAAATTATAGATTATTCTTTAGACAGTAAGTGTGCGATTCCTCTATCATGTTCACATTCCTCGCACTGTTGTATAGCTCAGTGGAAAAAGGCTATGGTAGGAAATGACTGATCCGGTAAATAGGCAAGAAAGCTTATTTTGAGTGACAATGACAGTCTTTACAACTCAAGGATTATGTGAATTAAAGGTTCCAATTTATAAGCTTCCAATGCGTTGATCAATTTGAAGAGTTAACGCCACTTGGCAATCCCCCCCCCTCCCCTGCATTCGGACTTTTGGAGATTAAAAATTCAAAATTCCTACTCCCTGCGGGGAAAAATTGTACTTGAATACCCTACTCAACGACAATTTTTTATTGGAGGGTTCTTTGTGTGATCAATGAATGTTGTAGTATCTAGCAAATTCATGTGATAGTTTTTGGTGCTGCTGTTGAGTTTTGCACTTGTAAGCATCATTCCTTGATGTAAAAATTTATCACATCATGTTGCATTTAGCAACTAAATGCAATAAATTGAATGATCATATTCAATATTGTTTGAGAGAGATTGTCATTAATTTTTCAGCCTATGTTCATTCACTATTTAATAGCACTTCATGCTCTGCAGACAACAACTGTTTTACAATAAAGACAAGATCAGCAAATGTGACTTTCTACTCATGGACCAGTGTTGATTTGATCATTGAAGCCTTTAACACCTGAAATGCATAACCTTTTAACCCTTTCACTCCCATGAGTGATCAAAATAGAATTTCTTCTGACAATATCCATGCAGTATCAAGCAGACAAGTGATGAGAATAAAGAAAAATATCAGTTAGGGGATTATTTATTGTTCCAATACCTAATTCTCCATACTGCTATGATACAAATTGTATGGCAAACAGTAAGGAGAATAAATAGTGGGATTTGGGAGTGAAACAGTTTATCATTGGTCTTTATAGGTAAGGTGGTGTACACTGGTGTAACATTTGCTGGCCAGGTTGGTCTTTTGACAGCACAGCGACCGAACAGTCTCACAATCAGTCTGGATGAGAGGGACCGTGGCCACATATGGGATAATGTCTTTGAAGCTATCTTTAATAAAAATGCAATTCCTGTTACATTTCTGATTCGAGATGTGGTCAGCACAGAAGGAATGGACTTTTCTCAAGCTGTGAAGAAAGTATCTCAAGTGTCCTTGATAGCAGCTAGCTATCTTATTTTAGGAGGAGTTAAAGTTGGGGAAGGTGCTGTGGTAACACGAGGCAGAGAAAAAACAGCTGACATCTGGAGGCTGAGTCAAGATGCAGCAAAGGAACCGTATGTACTTAACAAATAGATGTCATGTTGTGGTACATAATTTTATGTTTAGTGATATATCTCAGGTTATGTCAAAATGTGGAAGAAAACAAGAACACAAGAAAGAAAGTTGCACATAACATGGCCAAGTTTGTCACTGATACTCTAACCCTAAGCATTTTGGTGTCTTCTGTGATCTATTACTTTCCAGATTTACAGAGCCATAGTAACATGGAACCAAATGAATATATTTTATAAAAGAAAAAGAAAAAAGTTGTTGCTGGTGACATCATTTTTGTGTCTGTCCTTCAATAGGTCATAAGTAAGAACCAATCAAATGGTGTGTAATTCAGCTTATTATATACTAGTAAATACAAAGAGATTATGCAATTTTGAAACTTTAGAAAAGTGAGAAAGTACATATGAATTATGAAGTTTGAAAAGGACGTTACTTTTATCTTGAACTTTACAAACTACCCTCATATGGATGGTTACATCTCAGGATTGAATCATTTTTGTGTTGAATATGCAGGTGGTACCTTGTAGAGACCAATTATGACCATTGGACCACACCCCCTCCATCAGATGATCGCCGTGACCCGGCTGAGAAGGCATTGAAAAAGTTGACTCAGGCAAAGCTCACCCCTGATGCACTGTTCAGTGTCATGTCCATCCATCCTGTACTGAATAATAAGACTGTCTACACAACTATTATGCAGGCAAAAAATGCTGATCTATTCAATACTTGGATTCAGACGCCATAAGATAACAATCTTGTATTCCTTGGTGAGCCACTTATTTTCTTGGAGATAATTCAAGCTTAACCCTTTACCATTGATCCTAACATTGGTATGCATATTCTTGATACTGTTCTCTATACATTTCTACATTACCTACAAGGAGAGTTTGTTTGAAAATCAAGAGCATCTTTTGTTGGTGATCATCTCCTTCATTCTCATGACCTTAATGTTTGATTCACGGGTGATATTGTAAGGAAAAATTAGATGCCAGTCACTCTTAGGGATTAAAGGATTAACCCTTAAGCTCCCATGAGTGATGACCAAAACAGAATTTCTCCTTACAATATCAATACAATTGTGAATTGTTAGTTGATCAAACACCAAATTATCTGAAGTAACATCATAACAATTGTGTGACAGATAGTAGGGAGAATTTCTAGTTACATATTGGAATGGTCAGTTGCAAACTAGGAAAAGTATGCATTGTTTTGCATGTAATTGTGAAAAAAGAGAAGAAAACAGAGTGCTAAAGAAACTAAATTTTTGAGACAAATTGGATCACATGAATGTTAAGAAAAATGAAGCAAGCATTTTTTGCAACTTATTTTCAACATAACAAAAAGAATGGAAAAAATCGTTTTTTAAGTAACACTGAAGGTAGCTTCAACAGTATGGATAACACAACTTTAACAATTATAACGTAATATATGTTTCAGTTTCGTATTGAAATTTTTTATCGTCTTTTTTATATCAATATTTTATGATGAATAGTAACGACTGGTTAAGTCTGCATAATAACTGAGTTAAGCACTACTCGAGAGTTAAGGAACTGGATGTGGTTGGGAGAAAATCAAGAAAATTGACTGTTAATTTTTTTTCCAGAGAATGGCGAAGTCAGAAATAAATTATTGTTAGTGGAATGATCTTTTTCACTTTTTCACTAAAAATGCACTGAGTGCACTCCCGTGTCCCCGTTCCCCGTTCTTAATTTTTTTGTTTTGTTTTTCATTCCCCGTTCTCCGTTCCTGATTTTAGTAACATCCACAGCGGGAGTGGCGGATAACGCTTTTGCATGAGGTTCATATGACTCTCATAAGGGCTATCAGTCTCTTCGATCGATTCTCTCTTAACCGTGGTGAAGATTGCTTTGAAAATTACCGTTACGCTTGCAGAACACATGAAACAGCCGTATTTATCTCTTTGCCAATTATCCATCTGTTCGTAAAGTATTCGAATGAGCAAAATCAATTATCTTAGCTTGCAATGCTTTATTAGATACAACTGAATAATTTACACTTATAGACATATTTTTTTTTATATTTACAAAAAAGGTCGTGCAACGAATACCAGTAGTCTGGAGGATGCAGGCGCTCCTAAAATTCCCAGCGTGTCTTAATAAAAAGTATAGTCTATGATCGATCGCGAAGAACTTAAACCTTTGTGGGTGGAAATTTGCTAGAGCGATCCCTTAGGAATACGTGGCGATACTTGGGCAATCTCCATGCATACACAAAGGGATTTAAGGCAGAATTAAGGAAAAGAAATCGCGAAAACACAATCTCCAACTTTCTAAAAAGTATTGATCGTTTGCACGACTGGCAAAAGTACATTAGATGTAACGCAACGAATTCAGGTACGACTGTCACGTAGAATAACGCCAACACAATCAGAATTGTCACGACCATGTTCCTTTCGCGGTCTAACGCTTGTTTGCTTTTCATCGTGGCGGTGATTCCAGCTTCTTTAAGTTCGCGTTTCCTTTTTCCCAAAGCGAGGAAGACTTTACAGTACATGATTGTTAACAATATGGCGGGGAACGATGCGTGAGTATGCGCATACACGATCTTGAATATTTCTTCAGGAACATTTGTTAACGGTAGAAAGCACACAGTCGCGGCAATTCCCCAGATACTAGCGATACAAATCCTAATTCTTTCCTTAGTCATGTTGGTTCGGTATTTAAACGGATGCATTACAGCAATGTAGCGATCGCAGGACAGAGCTATGATAGACCCACTACTGACAAACAGTGATAATCCAAGCACCAAACGGATTATAGGATCCAGAAACTCGGGAACGTCCAAACCTTGATATCGATAAACATCTTTCACGCCTACAAGAGTAACAGCAATCAATCCAACCGTTAGATCAGAAACACACAAGTTTGCGATCAGCAAAGACGGAGGCGTTTGAAGTAGGCGACGAGTGTCACGACTAATTGTCCACAATAGCGCTCCGTTCGCTGTTGTAGTAACCACAGACAGAGTGAAATCCACCACCGCTAGAACGAGAAAGAATATTGGGCTAATCATCGTCAATGGATCATCTGTTGTTTGTACAGAATACTTCGGTGAAGAAATTGTATGCTCCATTTCTAAAGTCATAGTTCGGTGAGTTACATGTACCGACGCGTTACAACCGATGTATTCGATTTTAGAACGCAAATGGAAAAAGTATTCCTTGAAAACTGCGATGAGCTGATTTTGTTTATCTTTTAGTCCTTACAGTCCACTGTTCAGCGAGTATATTTGACTGGTGCAATTAAGGGAATGAATGGGCTATTCAGGCTTTTATCTCACGCTGGATGCGACGTGCTTCTTCGAAAACGAGGAAGCCAGCATTCATAGTATGACGTCAATGAAATATTTGCTTAAGACTCAACTTGGAAATTTTGTTACAAGCCAGCGATTCTTAACAATTGTTTAAAAGAAAGTTAATTGCATGACAAAGAAAACGGCTAATTTTAATACAGGTTACGTTAACTCTCTTTTGTATTTATTTTGAAATTCAAGTGTTAGCCGATGTAATTCCGCCAAACCTCTTCCGGTTAAATTGATCGTTCTAAGAAAACATACCAGTCACTTAGTGTCACCCCAACAGAGGATCCTGAAAGTAACCCTCCGAAACATTGTAAACACAGCAGTACTTGGATTCTTTTGACAATTCAACCTAGAAAACTGCCCGAGGATGGGTATTTCAAAACAACTTTACTTCACTTGATTGTTCAAGCGCGTCTTAGTTGACTGCAGTCACGATTTCCGCTTGTTTCTCCTGGGTGGGGCTGACGGGACGGAAGCACGGGATCGTTTCCCGTACAGTGGCTAGCTAGTAATCGAGTCTTAAAATGTTTCACCCTAATTCTTCCCGCGTACGACTTAACGCTTATGTCTGTGTAAGGGAGGTTATATTCATCGATCAGATGATCAAATAATCACTCAAAATATACAAGAACATTTATTGCGATGAAGGGACAGGCGGATACCAAGATCCTGAAATTAGTTGATCATTAACTACAAGCGAACGTCACCGTTGTTGTCGTGCTTAAGTGAAGTCATCGCTCTCGACCACAAAGTAGCACAGTTTGTAGCCATACGTGAAATTCAATTACTCAACTCCAAGTCCCTCCAGGAAAATACTCTGAACGTCACTACTATAGAAAGGCCATTTATCTGTTCTACCGAAATCAGACTATCACTTCGACCGGTATCTCATGATATAACGATGACAACGGCAGGTTCAGAGCCTCGGAATAAGAAGCTAGCACCATGAAAGATCATGATGGGAAAATTATCCCCTGATGAGGTCATCTTTCCCTATGCTGTGGCTAGTAATTTCCTCTCTAAAAGAAATTAAGCTATTGCAACTCACATGAAATGCTTTAAACGTCATCTTTTCCCCTTTGTTTGATGTGAGTACATGTGTGACTGCGTTTGCGTCGTCAGCGAGTTTCAGGCTAGACTTGCGAGACAGAAAAAACTCCACACACACTAACTGTTTACACGTATCGTTTAATGTGAACACAATTCGTTTCCTATCATCTACCCTGGCTGAAGTTTGAATTGAATTGAATTGAACGAAAAACGAAAAACAAACGAAAAAAAGATGTCTCATGATATCATTGGACAGACAGATCGTAATCTACAATTTTCTCTGCTATCACCGAATTCCTCGAAGCTTAAGTATAGGTTTTCATCGAAAGACAAGGCCAGCACCGAATAAGACAAACTAAACGCAGTCCCACAACAACGGGAAGACCAAAGTTATGACTGAAAACCAGCGAAATAGACGTAACAACCGCGATCATTTTTGTAAACATTCACACTCCAAATATGACTGACATAATGGGTCAGCTATGAACACATCCGGTTAAGCGCCAAACCAAGGAAGCATTGAGTGGCTTTATTAACTCCTTGCCAGGGTAGTGTATTAGTATGAGTTGATCACTTGTACTGTACTGTGGTCCAACCGTCACCATCAGATTGCTCCGCAGGGGGTCTTTCTCGACCGCGACGGGAGGCAGACCAGGATTTACCTGAGTATAAAGCATATCAAAAGTCAGAAAAAAATTACTTCCAATCCTTTGTCTAACACTTCTAAGGGCCTATTTACACGGTACGACTTTGTCGCATGCGACAAGCTTACGACAGGCTTACGACACGAATTGTTTCGTGTAAATCAAACCTACAACTCGCTTACGACTCTTAAGTCATGTCGTAGGCCTGTCGTAAGCTTGTCGCATGCGACAAAGTCGTGCCGTGTAAATAGGCCTTAACAAACCTTCAGAACGTGCAGGTGGTGGGTCTCGTCTCCACTGATCACGGCCAGGATCCTCCCCTCCCCTTCTCCACGCATCACGATCACGGTCACGATCACGGTCACGATCATCTGGGCGTTCGTTCCTCCAACCAGAACGATCACGTTCATCACGATCTCCTCTGTAGCGATCTCCTTCACGGTCCCCTCGGAAACGATCATCTCGACCCCCCCCATCTCCACGATCACGGTCACCGCGCCAAGAATCCCCCGACGGACGGTCACGCTCTTCTCGATCACGCCCACGCCAACGATCATCGCGTCCACGATCGTCCCTCCCACGATCATCGCGTCCACGATCATCACGCCATCGATCGTCCCGTCCACGGTCGTCCCGTCCACGGTCGTCCCGTCCACGGTCGTCCCGTCCACGGTCGTCCCGCCCACGGTCGTCCCGCCCACGGTCGTCCCGCCCACGGTCGTCCCGCCCACGGTCGTCCCGCCCACGGTCGTCCCGCCCACGGTCGTCCCGCCCACGGTCGTCCCGCCCACGGTCGTCCCGCCCACGGTCGTCGCGTCCACGGTCGTCCCGTCCACGGTCGTCGCGCCATCGGTCGTCACGCCCACGATCATCTCGGCCGCGATCGTCACGATAGGAACTGGGTGGTGGACGGTCACGGTCATCACGGTCTCGCCACCCGCTACCTGAGGATGGACGATCACGGTCATCTCTCCTCCAAGGACCACGATCGTCCATTCTAGGGCGGTCCATATCTAAATAAGAGAAAATTAAAATATCAGTTTCATTGAAGGAGAGTATTTTATAACTCTCCTCTGGATTCAGAAAGTAACAGTGCATCAACTCTACGTGTAGGGAGCTACAAGTTCTGAAAAGGCCACTCGCACTCAAGTCTATGATGATCTCTAACCTCTTCTCGGACCATCTCTTTCCCCAGACCTCCTCCAAGTTGACCCCTCATCACGAGGCCCTTCCCTGTCACGATCATCTCGTCTCCAGCCTCCACCTAAAACGAATCATTGCTGCTTTAACATCGTTAAATTTTGTCCTATGACATATTCACTAATTAGGTCAGCGGGCAACTTCTTTACCGCTGGGATCGATGAATTCTCGAGCAGTTTGACGACGCCATTCCACAGTAATCCTGTGCGCTCTTTTTGCGGTCGTCTTAAAGCGTTCCCCCGCCCCACCCCTCCCTTCTTGATGAACGGGTACCTGAAACAAGGTTTCACGGCTGGGCATTTCCTGCTTTAAGAGTAGTATTCTATCCAAGGGCCTTCTGGACAAATTAGGAGCCCCTGAATACCTCAGACCCGAATTTCATTAGGGGAAGCTACAGTCACCATAACAACAGTTTGCCTTAATCCTTAACACCAAAAAAAAAACCCGAACACTTAAAACACCGGGCTATACATCTCAAAATTATAGTTTCAAATTACCTGAACCCCCATCACGGAAACGGTCGTCGCGCATGCGATCATCGCGATAACGATCGTCACGGGAACGGTCGTCGCGGAAACGATCATCACGGCCATCACCACGACGCCATACACCTGTAGATTCACGGTCCTGTTCGCGCTCCTCCTGGTCACGGCTTGAGGGTAGCAGTTCTCGTTCCTCACGGCGCCTCTCAACATCAGGTGGTGGCCTCTCCCGTTCATCGCGCCTCCATGATCCACCTTCGTCTGTGAAGAAGGGCAACATACTAAGTGCAAGTATTACACTCCGACATAAACGCTGTCTGGCCGCCCGAATGGTTTGCTGTGGGCCTTTTGAAAACCAACTTGGAACATTCCTTTTGGGCTCCCAATCTTGAAATGAATTCTCCTTACGATCTATCGTACGACTATTACAATGTCAATTAAGAGAATTTGCCGTCCAAACAAAAACCCTTGGTAAATATTTTTCTTTATTATATTCCCCTGATTGCTTGAGAATGTATTGGCATCAAAGGGAAAAAGTACTTATTGCTCAAAAGGTTAAATTTCTGCGACTTAAACCTGTGTGCGTGGATTATCCAAAATAGAAGAAAAAACTGTAAGCTTGTCTTTCCGAATCATTGTAACGGAGCGTTATGAATAAGTCGAAATGACGAGAGGAACTTTTACAGATTATCCTTTAAAAGAATGCTGAGAGAGCTTAAATAGCGAGAAGTTTTCATCAGAAGACAGAAGAATTGGAGGGGGGAGGGGCTTGAGATGTGGGCTACGAAAGACTTCAAAAGAATTTGCGAGGAAACAGGTATGGTTTATTTTTATCAGCCACTTACTTTTTTTCTCCAAAAAAAAACGCTTGTTTTTTCCATCACTTGAATGCAAGCTCATTCAAGATCTTATCTCACAGTTCCGTTCATAACACTGGGTAATGTCTTACAACCGAATGAAAAACAAACCAACCAACCAACAAACAATTCATAAGAAATAACTCGAACCTTTCTCTTCCCGGCGAGGAGGTCCATATCGGTCCCTGTCTCTGTCTCGTTCCAATCCCTTTGGTGGACCATCCCGTTCACTGTCAGGCCTGCTCCCTCGCTGGTTCTTTTCCTCAATTTCCTTCTCTCTCTCTCGCCGCTTGCGCTCCATCTCGTCCAGCTTTGCGACCCTCTCGCGGTACTCACGTTCTTTCTCTTCCTTTTCTATCCTGGCCTTTTCGTCGGCTTCTTCGCGTTCTATGGCAGAGAAAAGAGGAAAACGACATACTCTCCTCTCCTTTGACTCTTGAGGCACGGAAAAAAAACTTAGAAATCGGTCATTATTTACTGCCTGAGGCAAAGAGGTGTTGGAGGGGGGGGGAGGGAGACAGAGCATTTTGATTGTATCACATTAAAAATTTACATATTTTCCCTTCCCTCAATTTTATCCAGTCCCCACAAATGCTGTCAGAGACGACTCCTCCGTTCTCTCTAAAAAACCATACGATTCCCCACATCCTTCGATTCCACCCACCCACTAACAGGCGATAAACAGCGACTGGTCCACAAGTATGCACTTTTTACTTTGATCAAGTAACAGTAGAGGAAGGTATGGAAAATTAGGACATGAGAAAAATTTTAAAAATTGTCCTCTTACAAGAATAATTTCTCTTTGAAAAGATAAAACTACTTAACCCGGATAGATGTGCACAGCTTATAGTTCAAATTTTCTGGGTCGAATTAGAATTTGAAGCATTGCGACAAAGTGACATTGACAAACGTAAAAAGTTTCACCTCTCTTTTCTTTTTCTTCCTGTTCCTTTCGTTCTTTCTCTTCCCTTTCATGTCGTCGCTGCTTTTTCCTCTCCAAAATGCGCTCTTTCCGTCGCTCCTCCAAACGTTTCTTACGAGCCTCGTCCAAACGAGCTTGAAATTCTTTCATTTTTTCCTGTCAAAAAGAAATAAAAATTAAAGTATTCATACAATGTGCAAAACAGGCTCACCACAGAAGATACTTTTTCCAATTGAAGGCTGTAAATAACAATCACTAAATATTATATTGAACGATAGTTTGCATCAGCACCCACATAGGCGTCTTTCACTTCACAAGCAAGTAAACTTCCGAAGTTTCATCAATTCCAAGGACAAACTCATTAACCTTCTCATCCAGTCAGATGCAACCCTTTGCTCAGCCTCACCTAAGTTACCTCTGATTTCTAACGCAGTTTACTCTTACCAACAACTTTAACTTTTCGCGAGTTCCTCGGTGTGATATTTAAATTGGTAAACCCTTCAACTCCTAAGAGTGACTGGCTTCTAAGTTATCCTTACAATATAACCCTTGAATTAAATGCAAAGCCTAAGGTCACGAGAAGGAAGGACAAGATGCCCAATTTTAAGAGCCGCCTGACTGTAATACTACCTCTCCGTGTCATTACCATTAGCGATGTAGAGAGATCAGCGTGAAAAATATGAATACTGATGTTTGGAAATGAAGGGTTTTATACCATTATTTAACTTTTCCCACCTTCAATCGAAAAGCGCTCCTCGTTAAGGACAACTTCGTGAGTTACAACTAATTATGTTAGCGACGATGAAAGCTCTAAAACAGAAGCATTGCATTCACCTCGTGAGACGCCTGACGAGCTTTAAGTAGGCTGTCAACGAAAGTCTCCTTGTCTGGTACCATTCGCTGCAGCCTTCCACTGGTTTCTACTAGCTTCTTATGCTCAGACACTGCTACACTGATCTGGAATTCAAGCCGAACAAAGAAGAACGTCAAAGTTAAGTAATGGATTATTCGTGATCATTCATCATTAGTTGAAATGTGTCACGTGACCAGTATGACGCGAGGCACGCTGGTCGTGAGACCGCTAACCGTGAAGGTAACAGATACAAATACGTGTGAACTGCAGCAGAAATCGTATTCCTCGTTATGGAGAGCTTGATGCCTCCCTTTCTAGCCTTGTCAAGGTTCAACTGTACATTTGATCACAATTCAATGTCCACTCACCCTGTCTTCTTCCTGTTCTTCCCAGAACTTTTGGTCCTGCACGAGGTGTTCCTCGTACTGTTGCTTCAGTAAAGGAATCTCCTCCATTCGCATCGCTCGTGCGAGGTAATCCATCTAAACCAAGGGAAAACACTAATCTCGTTAAAAAGCAACAGCTACCCATGACGCGTGACTATAAAAGAAATCTAAAATATTTCCGAGTTGACCAACGTTTTAATTTATGCTTAACACGACTAGAAAGGATATGGACTCCAGCTTTTCCTTTAGGATTAAATTGAAAAGTGGGTTGTTTGGGGCTTTGAAGACTGGGCAAGAGAACGAGAAAAGGTGCTTGTCTAACAGGAAAATCCACTGGCATGGTCCTGGAGAAGTACGTAAACGTGTTATCGCTTTCAACTACCGTAAACGTCCATGTACAAGCCGCACTTTTTTTCACAAAATTGAAGCCAAAAATCAAGGTGTGGCTTATCCATGGATATATCTGTGTTTGGAGTTCTCAAAAACCTAATTAATATTCATAAAACTTCTTAAGATGCCAAGAAATAAACATAACAGAAACTGAGAGCGTGTTGCTGTAGTTCATTGACTTTTTCTTTGAGTGGTGGCTCCTAAAAGAGCCGTTTGTGTCTTCGAGTGTTTATCGGCGAATCTTGCTCTCTAAGAGTTGTTTCAAGCGATTAATTTTCGCTTTACTCGAACAACTTAACACCAACACAGTGCTTTTAATAACACCCGGCACCCGCCGGGTATCCTTTGCCACGTCCAAGTCAAACTTACAGAACAAAAAGGTAAATAAATAACATAGAAAATAACAGTCAATTTAGTACTGGAGTATTCACCCCAGTTATTTTTTTAATTCTATCGTTTTTTTTTTAGATTCATTCTTTCACTGGTAGTTTTCTTTCTTTGCTTGTTTCGCACGTTCCATAAAAGTTAATCACGCTCGAAGGAGAAGTACACATCGTCGGTTACCTAAATAACTTTCCAACAAATTTGTGCTGAACTAAAATCATTAAATACTTTTAGACAAATAAAACAACAGCAGCACTTCTCAACTGCTAGTTAGAAAACAAACTTGAAAATAAAAATTAGTGAAAACAGCTCGGTTGTTAATAGCACATGTAAATCAAATTTGAAAGATGTTGACCTTGCTTAAAGATGCTTAACCTAGCTAGGCTTGGCTGTGAAGAGAACTATAAAAGGCTATAAAACACTTAGCGTTTAAACTTTTATAAAAAAAAAAGCTGCATTTGCTGAAAAATTGAAGAAGACCTTGTTCTTCGCTGACACGACCATTGTTTACGATCCGATATAAAACACGAGCCGTGGGCACAGCTAAAATTCATTGGCTGATTGATTTAATTTAATTATCTTTTGTAAACATTAAATGAACAATTCTGCGGAAAAGAAAAATCCTGAGGTTTTTCCAGAAAATAAAATTGGCGGAAGCCACTGGCGCAAATCTTTAATTTCACTCAATAACCAACCAAACACAACACATCAAAAAACAAAACAAAACAAAAACTTGCAATCACAAAAAATGCGTTCACAGGGCGTGAAATTAACTTTTTTTTCTGATAGCCACTTGGCTCCTGAATTCTTCAAAGTGGTAGCCTACTCAAAAAAAGTTAGTCGCCATTTTCAAAGACAAACAAAATCTTTCTTTACGCTGTCAGCGTTCTAGATAGACCCTCCAAAATTAAGTTAGGGAAAAGATCTTTAACGTGCTACAAAGTGGACACTAGGATGTATGATATACAACCTTCAGGCTCATCTAAATCCAAGATGGCGTCTAGTTATCGATCGAGATACATGTGCTACGTTTTGGAAACAAACTAAACGAGGAAGTTTGCCGCGGATTTATCTTTGCAAATTTATTTAATTCACTATATCTCTTGGTAAGGTTATGATGAAACGTTGTAGTCGCCAATTTGGCGACTAACTTTCAGGATTTGGTCGCCAAAGTGAAAAATTTAGTCGCATTGGCGCCTGTATTAGGCGCAATTTCACGCCCTGGTTCAGCGTTCGAAACAGGAGACTGAGAGGTCTGTTTCCAATTGCAAGCAGAAGAAACCTCTGTAAACAAAGATCAGGCGAAGAAAGGTTTGGATCGTAGCCTCAAAATTTGAGAACATATGCAGACGGAAATTTGATACACACAGGATATTATCTAGTTTTGTTTTTGTTGACTGCCTATTGAAAGTGTTTAGTATTATGCGATGTTGGATGGTTAACACCATTCTGGATCTTTCTGTTACTTTTTGGAAGTTTAAGTGAGACCTCAAACACCTGGAGGTCTTTTAAATTTCTTTCAGGCGACTTTTACCTTTATAAACTAGTTTTGAGTAAAAAACTATTGGTACTGTCTTATAAATTTTCTGGAAAAATAAGATTTTGAATTTACGAGAACATACTGACTAAAATTTCAGTAACCAGTAATCACATGTCCTTTTAGAGGACTTTTTGTGTGAAACTCAGGCAGCAGGTTTGCAAGTCTGCAAATGGAAGATTTTGATAAAAATAAACAATCAGTTTAACAATTGTTACAAAGGAGACCAATATTTAACGATCATTTACCAAAGTCCGCCACAGAAAACTCTGTTTGAAGCAATTTTACTCTGATAGAACTAATGGGCTAACGAGATCGAAATTGTTTTTCATATTATCCTCCACCGAGTGCTTTACCGAGGTAGCCACCTACTTCAAACCTTACTGAAAGCACTGCCAACATACAAGGAATCTCTCGTTGTTTTTTACTACCTTCATGGCAAATTCGTCGACTGCATTATCAGGATCCTGTTCTACATGAAGTTTTTCGCCTATTGCGGGTTTCCAAACATCTTTGGAAAATTTTCCCTGAACAGCTAAATCGAAAGTAAATTTCTCCATGTTGGAACTGCGATGATGCAAACAATAATGCTTTTCATAGTTTACTCGACCCAGTCCCCAAATCAGATCTATCCAATCGTGATTTGAAATAGAAACTGAAATGATTGCATCAGTGCGCGTGCTTTCTGTTTATGCCCAGACGATGGCTAGGCCCTAGCCCAGACTCCTCCCAACATTTAAAGCTTGGCTACTAAACACTTATTTGCTTTTTGTTTTTTTTTCAATGCCGAAGGAATTTCAACTTTATGGCGTGTTTCGAAGTGATAATCTTGAAAAATCGGATCGAAAGAGCATTTTAAGTTAAAGATGGTGTAAATTCCAATGAAAAAGAAAGTACAACAAATGAAATTTCGCTTTCTTTAGACTTGATAAATGTGAAAGATAGCCACAACTTCTATATCCGTGTTTCGAAACCTTGATTGTTTGTAGCAATAAAACTCTGAAACTTCAAACTGTATTGTTTTTATTTTTTTTTCCAAATTCTGCGCTTCCAAATCGGGGGTGCGGCTTATCTACGGATGCAGCTTATACATGGACGTTTACGGTAGTTGTTAACAGGGCTCACTCCAATCTTGGTTAAGAACTTCAACAGTTAGGTTAATTCTCGGCTGACAAACGTTCAGAAGCCGTTGCTTCTCCAACGGATTGGTAAAACATGTTGGTCAGACATGAAAACTCTGATATGACTGTTTTTGTTTAATACTTTTCAAGGGTGCGCCAAGTGTATTCACCTTCTTCTCCTGAGTTTTAAGCCTTGTCTGCAACTCTCTCTTCTCTTTATCCAGCTGTTCAACTTGTCTGGCCAGGATATCATCTGCATCCATGGCTTCAATTTCCTGTTTAACAAGAAAGCAACAAAAGTTTGAACCCAACCTAACTTCACGTTTGATCACCAAGCAACCAATTTGAGTCATACGGAAAAAGTACCCATGGAAAAGGGATAGAGAACAAAACTTAGTGAATGGGGGTAGCTTCATTGCCACTCTTCCCATATTCTGAAACTACGGCTCACTTAGGTTAACAACTCATCTACTTTACGATTTGCGTGTTTGTCTGTAAAAGTAGAGGGACAGTAATCCTAACAGCCGGCAAGAACGCCCACAATTTTAGCACCTCAATAGGGGTGTTTCTTAGCTCGCGAAAAAGTTTGAGGCTTTGAACAAAGCTATAGCCAGCGAGAGATCTGTAGATGGTGCAACACTGACCATGTCAGACCCACAGCACACCTCTTCCCTACTCATCTCAAATCTTCTGTAGATTGGGAAACACTGAGCACCCAACTCTGCTAATGAGGGGTTGCTCACAGGCTATAATCCTAACCTTCGTTAATTCATTTACATACTTTATCTCGAGCTTTCAGAAACTACAATCGTCTACTATTTGACAAGTCATTTGAATAAGAAAAGCAATAGTGAAACTTTTGAAATTCTTCTTTTTCTGTTCTTACCTGTTAATTTGGATGTCCAAGTTTATCCATCAAAAGAAATGGCCACGAAAGAGGAAACAGAACAGAACAGAACAGAACGATTAGTCACTGTAAAGACTGGCTGGGCGAAAATGTTCTGAACGTCATACAGACTTGCTGTTAATCAGCCTATGGGTGGTTCAATCTTATCCTCATAACATTGGTGGATGCTAGGACAAGTTGATGTTTGATTCTGTCATCATTTCTCACAGCAAGAATTGAGATACATTGTAAGGCAGTGCTTAAATTCACTTGAAAGAAACTTAAATTGTCTGAAGAAATTCAAAAGTTAAGTTAAGTTTCCTAGTCTACAACATTTTTGCAACGTTCGAAACATTCCCTTACCCCTGACAACGATGGCGACGAACGATGGGAGGGGAAACAGTGTTTCAACAAAACCCTAGAGGGTTGTGTGTAGGGTAGGAAGGGCATGTTGTATTGTTGTAAGAAAGGAATTGATTGATTGGATTGTGTTGCTTTTTTTTTTCCAAAGTGACCGTAATAAAAGAAAAAAAAATCAAAATATTCTCCCAGATTATTGTCTTTTTTCCTCATGGAAATTGCTTCCAGGAATTGCCTCAGGCTAACTGTTTACTTTTACCAATCACCATACCAGAGAAAGGGCATCACATCAATAATAAAAAAAGAAAAACGCATCACCTCCTCTGTCAAGTCTTTCAGAGCCTTTGCCCCCACAGTTGTTTTCTTGAGAGCAGCAATCTTGTCCATAGCTTGCTTCTTCTCAATCTCCTGAAGTTCTTGCTTTCTTCGGAGCACCTCTCGTTTCTGTCTCTCTTCATTGAGTCGCTTCTGTTCAGCTTCCAGATTCTCCTTCTGCTGTAACCTCAGCAACTTCTGTTCTTCTCGCTCCTAGTACACACACAAAAAAAAGACCACTCAAGTCAGCATACATTATACTCAGCATTACACATGTTTGGATGTACTGCAGAGCAAACATTCAATGAGCAAAACAGTACACAGAGTAGCCTGCACCCTGGCCCTCATTGACACAAACGTTTCTCAGCCCACATTAAAGTATAAGGCCTTGAGCAATGCAAGTTAGCCAGTGCTAACAAGCATAATGTCACATTCCCGTCCAAACTCTCCCCACCTGGTCTTGCTGTGCTAATAATGAGAGTCTGCACTATATAGAGAGTGAAAAAACCATGGACAATTGTAACATGCCTTCAAGTCAATGCATTGTCTTTTACTTTTTTTTTTTTGTACACAATTATCTGTTCATTTGTCTTGCAATCATCAAAATAATAGAACAAAGTTGCCTGTTTCTTTTGATGACAGTTTAATCTGTTACATGTAGCTCTTGAACCTATTGCAAATGTTTACCTCAAATTTGTTACAGAAATCATTAACCCTCTTATGGGAAACAGGAATGTTTCCTTTGAGAATTGAACATAAAGTGTATAACACTTGAATTTGCATCTAAGATGAATGTAATGAGGAAAGTCTCAAACAAACTCAGAAAACAAGTGAGAAAAAAACAAAAACAAAAAAACAATGGACTTACTCTTTTAACATGGAGTGACTCCAGATATTCTTTGCGAGCCTCAATCACAGCCTTCCTTTCCAGCATCTGTTTGTGTTCTTTTTTAGATGAACGTAAATACACCTGAATGATCTTCTGCTGCTCTTCTTGGCACTTTTGCTGAAAGTGAAAAGGAAAACAATCTTTGTTAACGAAAACCTCTAACCCTGTCACATCACCTCACAACATGCTGCATCATCATGCCACACCACATCAAATCTGCTAGTTTACCAATAGTTATCTCCCATCAAGTCATATCAATCATTTGAACCCTTGGGTGACTAAAATTTATTTTCTCCTAACAAAACATTCAGGGTCACGAGAATGAAGGAATTGATCCCCAACTAAAGAAACACCAGATTGTCAAACAAATTATTCTCCTTTTTAGTGAGAGTAGTGCAGAGGATATGTATACTGACGCCAGGGTATAAATGGTTAAATCACAGCAAACACATAAACAGAGTCACTGTTCTTACCTATTGAAGATTGAATCCATATGAGAGTTATCCACAGGAGCAATTAGCATGAAATAGAGGACAAAAAAATGCCATATTAGTGATCTACAAGATCAATCTTTCAAAAGATGTTTCTTGCATAATGCAGACTTGCTATTTATCAGCCTATGGGTGGTTCAATCTTATCCTCATTACAATGGTGGATGCTAGGACAAGTTGATGTATGATTCTGTCATCACTAAGAGCAAGTCTGGAGAAGAGGCTAAACATTTCCAATTCAGCTTCCTCACTGTTCTCCTTTTCAGGCAGTAGCTGGTAAAATCTACCACCAGTGGTACTAATCATAATTTTCTAAAATTGCTTGAAATTCTTGAAAATTCAGTCCATTTGAAGATTCATTTTACTGTCCTGTTTAAAACAAGGGAAAACACTGCTTCCAAAAAGAGAGCAGTAAGTAATGTATGGTAGCTATATTTGCATACAGTTAAGCCTCTTTAGATTGTACAAATGATGATAAACAAATACACAACTTTTACCATGGGATGGAACCTTCATTAGTCTTTGAAAAATATTATAAGGCAACTGTCTTTGTACAATATTGTGCAAAAGGAATTTTGTTGAATTTTGTCAACAGATGTTTGCATGACTTATGTACATGAACATTTAAAATATTTTACCTTGATGATTTCAGGCTGAATTTTATTAATGGACTTGTGCAAAGCTGTTGACATCAGTGTCAATTGGTTTCTGAGTCGCTCAGATGGCATGGACTGTGAAAGCAAAAAGAAAAGTACAGTGTAGTTGACTAAGACGATAATAATGATAACACTAATAGTCATAATAATTGCACAACATTGCAACGAATAAAATGTTATCACAAAGAGCCAATGTTAAATAATGTGAAAATATGTTAACCGTGCATAGAAAAGCTACACATGGGTCACCAAGTCATGACAAGTTTTAGTTTTGAAACAATAGGTGACAGAAAAGTGAGAAAAGTTTTCTTGACCAATCAACACAGTTGTGAAGTAAAACAGTACAAAGCTGGATTATTATTAACACTCAAGAGACAACTGCATTTAACCAAGAAAAATGCAGAAAATTTTATACCTGGAGATATGGCCCTTCTGGCACCTCCTCTTTGTGAGCCACATGCAAGTCAAGTCCAAAACTGACGGCTTTAGTTCTGTGATCAATACGCACCTGCAAACGAAACAAAGTGTTTGTGCAATGTTTTGTTTCATTTTGTTGCACTTTTGCTTCTAAACATTCAACAGATTTGGTTATTTCCAATGACTGCATCATGAGTAACAATAAGTCTACATGTTTGTCTGCATACAAAAAGAAATTTCTCACCTCAAATGTTTAAAGGATCCCTAATAAATCTCCAGACAACTCATCCCAAACATTTAAGTCAGGAAGAATCACCATTGGTTAGTTAAGTACCCTATGTATCTCCTCTGTGTGTTTTCCCCATAAATCAGTTCACTGATCAGAGTTTTGTATCAACAGACATGTTTCACTAAAGCATACCTGAAGTTCATTCTGTAAAGCAACATCCACAATTGCTCTTTCCAACTGAAATTCTGTGGCAAATGGCACCAAGGATAACAGTCTTGAGAACTCAATGGTTTGGTACACCTGAGACACCTACAACAAAAGTACAAGTTCTACTGAGTGACTTGTTGTTCTTATTGTAACATCTTTCAGTTCATACATGCACTACAATTGGTCAGTTTAGTGAGCCTTGTTTCACACTGCCCCCTAAATTCAAAAGTTTGTTTGAATTGAAATCTTCCTCCTCTATTTAAACCTAGAGATATAAAAAATATCTCTGAAATGTCACTCTGTGCTGTAAAATACAAAAAGACATTTTTTTCCCACTAAGATTTATGGCCCCTGCACTTCAGGCTGGGGCTTAAAATCTGAGCAACAAAACTTAGACTGACCTTGAACTCTTTCTCACATTTGGAAAGCCTGATTGTTTGAATTTTTATGAGTAAGTACATGTATAAACACATTTACAGCAACAATACCTGTTTAAGCAGCCGCACAATGGCAACATACTGCAAGGGTTTAATGTACTGATTTAGTTCTAATTCTTCATTCTCCTGTAAGAATTCAAAGAATTCATTGACCCTGGAACAAAACTGAAGAGGAGAGAAGTCCTTCTCAAGGTTCTGGAACAGGTCTTGCAACTGTGGCATTATGTGCTGGTGGACATTCAACTTCAACTAGAGTAATCAAGGAAAAAAAAAATTATTGAATGTACCCTGAAACCCTGTACCTTCCAGAAGTGATTAACATGTTACTTCTGCTTATTATATCTATACCTTATTCTGCAAATAGAGAATGAGAATACTCAAACTCATTGGGAGAAAGTTTTTCTTGATCTAACAGCAAATTCTCTTAACTAATTTTAGAGGAGATGTGTAGCAGTTAAAGGAGGAAATTAACTAGGGATTCAAAATTTAAGGCAAGATTGTTCATAAAATCCTATTTGTTGGGAAACACTCTCCCTCCTAATCAATGCTTGATGTAAAATAGAAAAATCTCTGGATGGATTTCCATGCTTGCAAACTTCAATCTACACATTTTTGTTGAAGTCTTTGACACTTAGCATGCAACTTCAAAGGTCTTTCGTGAATTCAGGACTGCATGTGAACCTTGTGGCATAATTTTAAAATGCCATTTTTAAAATTGTTAAAATGTCATGATCCCTATGAACCTACCATGTCATTTATAAGTGTTGCTCTGGTGGGGATGGTCTGCAGCCCAAGAAGGCTGGCTAAACGACGAGACTTTTCCCGTGCAATCTCATCTAACTCCAGATGTCTCTCTGTTTCACTGAGGGACACAGGGATTGGAATGGCTAGGGTTGCTAGAACAACTCTAGTTGCCATTCTGACAAGGAAAAGGAAAAACACTATCAGTTTAGTTTCAATAAAACTCTTCTTAGTGTCTATAAATCTGTATATAGCACAATGAGGGGCACCAAAAATTTGATTTCATGTGATCTCAAGGACACTCAACCAGAATGAACATGGAGCACTAGTGTTTCCTTTCAGGCCAACATGTGCCAGTATTCCACAAATCTTGGAGCTAAATGTATATGCTGTTAGGCATTTAATGAGCTTTTTGCTTTTTCCCACCTTTTGCCATCCCTTTTTTCCCATTTTATGAGTATCATTTTACCAGTAAGAAGAGATGCTGAACCGAAATCTTGGTATTCACAGACAAACCAACTAGATATACATGTGATACTGAGAGAGGTAGCCCCCTAAATGAAAATGGGGAGGTTGAATTGTGCTAAAAATAAGCAACAAATGACTAGCACACCACCCTTACATGTTGAAAGGAAATAATATTACTTTAAGATCTGATTTCCAAAATCCTCTGATTCTTCAATGACCAAAACTTACTTTCCTATCCCAATCTGTAACACTGTAATTTTTCCCCTCAATGTTAAGCACTGAGATCCTTCTCCCCAGCAGGTTGGAAAAGTGAGATTTTCTGTACAAACAAAAAAAACATTCCAAAGATTTACTTACTTCTGCTGTTCCTCTGTTGTCATTGTACGTTTCTGTTCCTTTGACAACACATATAGCCGATGCAGAGTGCATGCATGAAATAAGTAATTCTCGGCTTTCCAGAAGACAAGAGCAACCTTCTGATAATAATTGGCCATCACTTGGGGCTTTGGAGGCCTCTTGGACAGCTGCATGAGTCCGTAAACATCTTCAACTGCTTTGAATGCCTCCTGCAAGTTGAGAACAGAACCAGAGAGAGGAAAGTCTTAATTCCAAATTAACATAACTCAGTGGAGTTCATAATCTTTTCCTGAGGTTTATCAATAGATGAACATTTTTTAAAATAAAAATTTGCAAATGTTCTTAACACATTTTGACATTCACAATGATCTATTATTGAAAAGAAGCAATGACAGTAAAAATCTGTTTGTTGTAGAGACCAAAAGATGCTGATATCCTTTTGTAATGATCATTAAGAGCTAACAAACCTGCCAAAGCTCCATGTTGATGGCACTTTCTAATTGTGCCAGTCGTGTCTCTAGATGAAGTTGCAGAGTCTCAGGGTTAGTGAGGTTCACTGTGTTTGGTTGCCCTTGGTGCTTGATGGCATTATTCAAGTGATTCCTCAGCTGTGTACAAAGAAAGAAAAGAAAAATCCCTGCTTAGGAGTATAGTGTTTCTTTTTGGTAAAAAGCTGTGTGAAATTAAACTAACACAATGGAAAAGATGGGCATAATGACAGGGTCTCCATCCACTTTAGTTCACACCTTAATAGGACTAATGATCTAATTTTTCAATAAAGTATGATACACGTGACAAAGTTTAACTCCACATGATGCATGCACATTTAGTTGACTTTTGAAACATGCCCAACAAACTTTTTATAATTGCAATGCAACTCTCTCATCCCTCTTTTCAAGCTGCATTTATCAAACATCATCTTTATTTACCCTATTCTGTTTGACCTTGTACAACAAAGATATACACAAAATATAGCTGCACTTACATTGTCACAAAGCTTCCGAAATTCTGTACGACGGGAGTACTTCAAGCAGAATTTAAATGCTACGAGAAGAAATTAAAATAAAACATTAAATAATCATTTACAAGAAATAATGACTTCAAAACCAGGTACTGCCACAATTCTTTAGCTCTTTCTCACCTTGTTGAGCAGTGTCATGATATAACTTCTCCACTCGTGCATTATTTCGTAGCAATTCTAACACATTACGATAAGCCTCCCACAAAAATTTGACCCAGGGTGTCAACATAACTCTGTCTGTACGATCCTGGGTGTCTTCACCACTGACAAAACTGAGCAATATGCTAAAAAAACAAAGTGGACCACACATGTTGAGTAAACTTAAATAATTCAAACACTTAGGGCTAGCAATAGGGTTATACATGTGGTACAAATGGCTTGCATTCACGTCACAATATTGTTGAAAATGATGACAATAATTTTTTACCTCTTATTTTTGACCTCTTATATAGTAAATACACATGTTGTGGTTGAGTTCATATCCTTGGTTACGATGTGAATTCTTTACATTTCAAACAGGCAGAAAAACATTCAACAATGTATTCAACAAAGCAGGACATGACGGAGGTCAAGGATAAGTCTAGACCATGACAAATCTATGTAAATATATAAGCCATCTTCAACCCTTAGAAGTATATCTGGATAAACATGTAACACAGCACTTCCTGCAAGTGTTGTACTCAATCATTAATAAATGCACATGTATGATTAACAAATAGTCAATGGAAAATTTAGGTCCACTTGTTAAAAAGATCACTGATAAATTATATCTAGTATCAACCCACATTAACCCTAATTAAAATATGATAATTTGGTTTTATAAACCGAGTTTGTAATCTAAAATGGCCACTGTAAGGAGTTTCTAAAGGTGATATTTTGACCATTAGCCCTTTGTTAGAATGAAGAATAAATTGGATTCACTTTGACAAAGGCTAAACTAAGGTATATAAATTTGCATTTTGAAGTTTGATACCTCTCTGGTGTCTGCAGCTGATCCAAATCATCCACTGTGGGAACCTGCTCGCGAGACTCCTGCCTGGCAGTCTCGGCGCGGTCTTCAGCAAGCTTGAGAAAGTAGCGAATGACATCCTCAAGAGACGCAATATTAACTTGCTGACAAATTAGTTTGTACTGGTACAGCCCTTCTTTAGCTACATGGCTTCGCTTGAGATCAACACACAGCTCCAAGTACTTGAAAAGAATAGGCTCATGAATCTTGTTCTGCCATGTGCGATGCTTCTTGCTTTTAATGACATCATACAATGCATCCAAAGCTGGTTCTTTCTTTCCAACTTCAATAAACTCTGGATATGTGGGATTTTGAAAAAAAGCATATAACTGTTACCATTGGTAAGATAATTATGGAGATTTATGGACTATATGACTGTTTGAGGATTGTGTTGTATCTTGCAATCAAAATGTTGCATACTGCAATTACATATTTTATCAGAATTACTTTTCAGAATGACCACAGTACTCCTATGTTGTGATGATATGCACTGTTACCATATTAATGTCAAAGTCAGAATAAATGCGCTTCTGAACATATTTTTACCCTTTTCAAGCAGGCAACAAACACAGCTGGTCAAGAGCAAGTAATTGTACCAGAATAATTAAAAAAAATATCCTCTTTCTCAACCAATCAGCATTCAGCCCCGTACATGATAAGATGCCAAGAGCTTTTTCCTTGTTCAGAAAATTCAATACTAAAAGTAAATGAGCCACCTGCTTCCAGGTTCAAAGGTTCAAATGTGATAAAAGGTTGGTAATCCTTGGTCAAAGCCGAGGGAGAGGTCACTCCAGACAACCGAGTAAAATTTAGATTAATAATTATAAATTTAACAGCTATAGCGATTTTCGTCTTATAGGTACGTAAAGGGCGGCTATTTTAAAATATCTGTATGATATGTATGTAGATAATAATAACAAATGTACGACCTTTGATACACTTTAAATAATACGTTTTAATACGGTTTTAGTGGTACCAGCAAAATCACGTGGTTAATATTACATTCAGTGAAGTACACGTATAAATTCGATTTGAAAGCGAGAACTCTTAAAGGACGGCGAAGAAACACGTACGAATAGAAAAAAATGAGTCGTTAATAAATTAACCACGGGTATAATTCATAAAGATTGTGCCCATGGTTTCACCGGCGATGTTATAAATGAATCAAATAAAATTTACCAAGCCTGTGCGCTGGTGAAATCGGCCACACAAAGGATTATAATACTGTACAATATTTCCCTTTAGCTGCTTTAAAAGCCTTTAAAACAGGTTTAAGATAAACTATGAAAGCTGATGGCGAATGTACGATCGATAGTTCTTACCGTTCGCTCTTTTAAGAGCATTTTCCGGTCGCTGAAAGTAGACCGGCATGATTAAACACGTCGTCCTTTCCAACCTCCTTCGCCAAGAATCGAAGAGAAGTGACCGAACTGCGTTATGGTCTGGATTTTGCCTCGTTTTCAAAACACGTTCCCTACACGCGCGAACACGCGTGACGGAGGCGCGTGTTTCCACTTACGTGGCTCAGGTGTTCACTCCAGGAGCACACAAAAAACAAAGAAACGAATTAATGTTGCAAAGACGTAATCAAAGGACTAAGACAGAGGGATTTCGGGAAGCATTCGATCATTTCTTCACTCCAGATAAAAGGCATTGAGTAAGCTTGATCACTGAAGATATTGTGAAATTCTCAAACTCGTTCACAAGGAAGGAAAGCAGAACTCCTTGGAAACAAAACTTGGTGTCTTGTGGTGTTACATAAAAGTAAACCGTACGGGACACAAAACTCTTAAATCAACGACTGGTCGAGAAAAAAAAAAAACACTCGATTTCCGGCTGTCTACCCTGTCTCAAAAGAACACAGCGGTCAAATGTTAGGCATGCGCAAAGGCATCAGTTCTTGCTGCCCTAGCCCTCCCGCCAGTCTCCTGCGCAAATATTTTAAGGAAATCATGAGAAACAAAAGATTTTTCGCGGAAAAAAAAGCGAAAAATTATTGAAAAGCTCATAGAAATTTGGGAAACGGCTAAAAAGTAAGGAAAAAGAAAACTAAAAAAGGTTCATACTCGCACGTTTAGGAGTAACGCTCGACAAGGGTAGTTGTTGTTAAGTGGAAAAAGACTATTTGGTGACAACGTATTCAGTTACCCGAAATAAGTAAACGAAAGCCTCGCTAATTTGAAGCTTGAACATGCTAGCTTATTTGTTCGAGAACACTAAGCGAACAGTTTTGCGAGGACAAAGCTCTAAGAAAACTGTGGTCCTCAAGAAACGCATGATAATGTCGGTCCAGGGCAGAGGTCAGAGCTCATAATCCATCGAATATTTTCACTCGTGTGCGATTGGTTGCAACATGGCAGGTGGCCGAAACGCTCAAGCGAGCGATAGTCACCAGTTTTTCAAAATGGATTAACACTTCGTTGCAACAACCATTTCGACGCTACTCTGTTTGCAACCGTCTCCTTACGCGCGCAACCAAAGACACTTTAAGGATTCCAAAGGTTTTATTTGGCTTGAAAACAGATGAAGTCGAATTTTTAACCCTGCGTACTCGGCTCTTTGTTTTTATCCAAAATGGTGTCCATCCGCCGGTGAAAGAAAAGAGCTAAGGAAGTATCACCCTTGTTTGGTGGGAAAGGCGAAAGTATCAGGCTGATGAAGCCATATATATGGCGATTAGGACTGAAATAAACATTTCCCCTCGCTCAAACCGCGCTTCGATTTAACTTTATTGAGATATTCAGACCGAGATGTTACAAAGATATGCAATTTTCAGAGCTTTATTCACAACCCTCATAGATTTTGTTCGTCTCATGTCAACGATTATTAACCACGAACACATAGTTTAGTGTGGTCTGCCTGTGATTCTATTTCAGAAGTTCTGAGTTGATCAACATCTATCCGGAAATTTGAGTTTATTAACCTAGTTAGGATAATGTTCAAGTTTTCTTCCAGTTTCCTCACAACTACAGAAGGGAAAATTACAACACATTTGCAATAAGGGATGAAAGGAATTCTTGGGTCCAAGCTGGCTGGGGACATTTGCAATGCTTTGCTTATGTGCTTGGAGAGCAGGGTAAATATCTCTCACTACTCGTTGGTAGTCTGGTCTATCTGAAGCAATGGGGAAACTCTCTGAAGGATCATTGCTCACATCAAAAAGAAGTGGAGGTTCTTGAATTTTCACGTGCTCTTTAAAGCACCCACAAACTATTCTTTTTCCAATACACGATTCTGTTCCTTCAGTCCATTTTGGCGTCGCAAAATGAGCTTTCCAGACAGTGTCACTGTCCTTAGGATGATAACGAACAGCATGGATCTGATTTCCACAATAGTGGAAGATAAATTCGTGGGAAGATTCCTGTGTCTGGTTCGTCAATAGTGGTAAGAGTTCTTTTCCGTCAATAACTCTGTCCTGTGGAAGATCTGCGCCAGTTAGTTTGGCAACTGTAGGTAATAAGTCCATAGAACTGGTGGGCTGATCAATTGAGATCCCAGCTGGAATGTGACCTGGCCATGATACTACTGTAGGCATCCTCACCCCACCATCCCAACACTGTCCTTTCCCTATAAAAGACAACAAAAAATGAAGATTTAACTTTTTATGGTAATTCAAGATTCATTCATCAAGAAATTTAGGTAGCAGCTTTTGAAATTTTGTTAGCAACTTTTTGGATTTTTGGCATTTTTTTAGCATTTGTCTTTCTAGTGAGCAACTTTCCAGCATATAAAAAATTTCCATTCAAGCTTTGCAATTCTCATCAACAAGAAAACGGAAGAGGTGGATGAGCGAGCGGTAACAGTAAGAATATGTCTTGAAAAAATCGAAGAAGAGTTTTTCTCTCGCCTAGTGTGTGCGCTTTTGGCTAATATCTTCTGATTTTTCAGTCTTACCTCCTTTGAAAATCCCGTTCCAGCCACCATGGTATTCACCTGTGTTACTAACTTCTTCTAAGTGAGGTCCATTATCAGATGTGAAATACACAAATGTGTTTTCTCTCAAATCAAGTTTCTCCACAGCAGCCATAATCTGGCCCACGCTCCAATCCATTTCCTCTACATTGTCACCATAGCGACCATGAACACTGTGATTGACAAATGCTGGTGTATTAAACAGGGCTGTATGTACCTTCGCAAATGACATGTACAACAGAAAGGGCCTGTCTCGGTTTGCACGGATAAAGTTAACAGCTTCATCTGTGAACCGTGCAGTCAGACTCTCCAAAATGACAGGTTGTTCCACAGTCTCGTAATTTTTCATTACAAAGCAGTTGAATCGAGCTATCATCATGTCGTACCTTAAAATAGTAATGCTAAGTAACAAGATTGTTGTTAACAAAAGCGCACAGGTGCTCTTGTTCAACCAGGCAGCAAAGTAGCCAATGAACGATGTTATTGCAACCACTGAAGCCGCTATGAGAATTTTTGCTGGTGTGAGTCCTCGAGATGTAAGCGATTTGGGGTGCTTACCGCCGAAGAGACAAGAGTTATGGTTGGTTAATGGCAGACCATAAAAATAATGAAAACCTTGTTTCAGAGGGTGGAAATGAAAGTCTGAGTTTGAAGAGGAATGAAGACCAAGATGCCACTTCCCTATGACCCCTATGATAAGAAAAAAAAAAAGACGAATAGTGAGTTATAGATGTGGGCAGGAGGCAATGAGGGGAGGAGGATGTCAGGAAAGATCACTTGGTTTTCAGGGGAAACATAAGGGAATCAGTCGTCACTAACGAAGTATAGAAAGTCCGGGATAGTTATCAATTTTGTTGACGCAGGCCAAAACAAAACAGTAACCAGTTGCTGCTCAGTTTCACGTTCAAGTGACATGTTACTTAGGCAACAATAATATATTCAACATGGCGTCCGAGGACCGAACCACACTGAGTTTACTACACCAATCAGTAGGGGGACAATGAAATTGACTGTCATTTGACTGCCAATGAGGGGGGGTATGAGATTATTACAGAGCCTTATAAAAGAATCAGGTCGATTTTATCGTGACACAAAACAGCCAGTGAATGTAGGGGGAGTAAGTAAGAGTATAACAGGGTAATTTAGTATTATCAATTGAGTTGATAACGGAAATTGGCCACCGTAAAAGGTTTACAAGCTGACGTTTCGAGCGTTAGCCCTTCGTCAGAGCGATTGGAGGAATTGAGGGTTATGTTGGTAGTTATATGCTGTAAATGGAGCTACGTTATTTGTGGGAATATGCAGAAAATGGATCTACGCTATTTGTGGGAATATGCAGAAAATGAAGCTACGCCATTGGTAATTGAATGTATTTCCTCAAGCGTAATTCTAAGAATTCAACCTCATCGCCCGACGAGGACTGGAGTGGTAACCTTGTGTTGAGTTCTCGAAATATCATTCTCGTTCCCAGATTCGATGTCTCTAATCGACTTTGGCGAGACAAAATTTAGGCTAACTTAGGAACCGGTCATTATACATATCATCCGCAGAGGGGGAGGGGGGGGGGGCAGACGACTTAACTTGTATCACAACCAAATTTACCTGCTCTGTACTCTGTAGTATTCTAACAATATTTCTCAATTTTCAATAGTCCCCCCCCCCCCCACTTAGTACCCCTTTACAAGGACGACTGATCCCCTCTCCGGTCCCCTTGACAATCGTGTGATTCCCTAGACATCTGCCGAACCCCACGCGATAACTAAGGACTAGTAACTTGGAGCCACAAGTTCTTTAAAGGAGAAAGGTTCCGATCCAGTTCTAAAAAACTGAAACAGTAAGGTGAGAAGGAGTCATACGATGTGTGAAAACGTATCCATTAGACCCGGACGATAAGCAGTAAATTGAATTAATTCACAATCAATAAATGTGAGTAATTAGCATTGCTTTGTGATGCGTTCAGCTACGTGCGGCGGTGTTTCGACAATTTTTCATCAGATGATGCTATGTCAGTGATATATTTTTTCGCAGTGTTATGGTATTCTAAACTGCTTAATGTGCCCCAATGTGTTTATCTTCACAGTTCCAAATTCTGGCATGGTCCATTTTAAAACGCGATCAAATTACATGGAGGTCTCGCAAGCGAGACTCAGAGAAACTCATGCGATATCATCGGTAGTCGAAGTGGTTTAATAAAAGTGGCTGCTCATTTCTTTAAAATGAGGTTGTTTTCCGCTTAAAAGGTAGTTCAATCTTTCATAAAGCTGTATAGTTTTGAATACTTGCTAACCTGTTCTGTAGCCAGCAGCAGATGCGATCTCAGCGAATGTTGTTTCATTTTGAGGCAGACCGCCGGAAGCCGAAGTGAAAACTAAAACCCTTAATTGGCCTCTGCTTGCAGCCAGTCCAGATCGTATGGGATATCTTCCTGTAAGAAATGCGGCCCTGTTTGGTGTGCAGATTGAATCTGGCGTCACATCATGTCGCAAGCGAGCTCCTTGTTCAGCCAACCGATCAATGTTTGGAGTTTTAATCGTGTCATTACCAAAACAACCCACATCTCCGATTCCCATGTCATCCACAAGAAATATAAGAACGTTTGGCTTGGCCGATGCTTTTTTCATCACGAGAACGAGAACAATAAAGCTAAGGCAGTTCTGCAGCATAATTATCGATGATTTTAAACTAGCAACTATGGTTGCCTAAACCAATGTCGATTTAACATATTGAACTGAAAGACCGAATGACTCAGTCACGCTATTACTGTCACGTGATTTCTATTATTGTTCCCATGACTAGCTTTGCTTAAGAAACAAGACGATCTAAGATCATAAGTCGGGCTACAGGTAGAGGCGCTGTTACAAGTGTTGACCACTCACGGTATGCAGTGGTTCTAAAAGAAATACAAATGTACCATGGTCTTGGTTTGTGCGCATGGCGTAAGATTTTTTTCAACCCTGTGAGGCACCAATTCTACAACAACACACTGTCACATATGTTTGGTGCAATACCCTGACAGGTGGCAGCTGCTGTGGACCTTTTGAGGCTGAACAGCCCAAGTGGCACTAAACCCGCCCTTTTTAACCTCTAAAAGCTATGATGAGCACCTCAGTCCCTTTCTGACAAAGTGTAGTCAAAACGGGTCAATTTTTCGGTGTTTGTTTGAGCGTGAAATATTCAACTTTGTCTAGACAAACTGTCGTGCTTCATCATTTACAGGTATGGGAAATCCGTACTGTCAAGCAGCGACTTTAATTTGAACGCGTGAGAAGGCAATACAAACGACATTAAACAGGATTTGGCGGAAAATAAATTTTGATTAAAAGTAGTATGTACGTGCAGAAACATAAACACGGTAAATTGACGGTATGGACACAAACTTGCATGTTTCACGCTTGAACAAATACGTAAAAGCTGAATTCTGTAAACAAGAATACTCCCTGTAGCACGTTTCAAATTTCGAAACTTTTTACTTGTTTACGTTTCCGGAAAGCTTTTAAAACGGCAGCCGGCTGTTATCTTGAACCCTGAAGATAATACCGGAAAACGATGTAGATCAGAGTATTCAATCATGATTACTTACAGGGCTGATAACTGACTTATCTTTCAGGCTGATAAAAGAAATGATAATCGAGTGACACTGCCATCTGCCAAGAAAGTTGTTACGTTTTTAAAGATACCCGCTTTGAAAGATTTCCCATTTTGAAGATTCCCGCTATTAGAGATCCCCCGTTTTAAAGATTCCCGCTTTTAAAGATTTTCCGTTTTAAAGATTCCCGCTTTTAAAGATTCCCGCTTTTATAGATTCCAGTGAGACCTTCGCTAAATCATTTGATTCTCTTGCTATTTTGAATTCGCGGAACGACCCGTTTCGAAATATACGCTCATTACACAAGCCATCTTTTAGAGTGGGTCTACCGCGTGTGTGGGTCTGTATGCTTGAGCGTAGAAAAAGATGACACCATTCGTTAAGATACTCGACAAATCCGCCATGTTCGACATGGTGGAAAGAAGGTTGCGCCTCTATTACGTGTCTGCGGTATTTCCCATTGCACGTGATTGAGCTTTGTGGAGAGACCCTATGGTAAACCTATAGTCGGTCGCCCGACTAAAAAATTCTCACTAGGGAAGCGTAAATTATCCATAGGCTTGTCAACGTAAAGCGAGAGGACTCAATTAGCAAGTGAAAGAGAGGTGTTTGGCTTTGCACTTATCTGAAGGCAGAACCTTCCCTTTTTTTTCACCTGGTTCTGTCTCTCTTGGGTAGTCAGTCCTATTTGGGCTGTTGTTATCTGAAGGCAGAACCTTTCTTTTTACTTTCACCAGGCTCTGTCTCTCTCGGATAATTGGTCCTATTTGGGCTGTTGTTATCTGAAGGCAGCACCTGGCTCTGTCTCTCTTGGGTAGTCAGTCCTATTTGGGCTGTTGTTAACTGTAAGCAGAACCTTCGAAAATAGTTGACTCCACGCGAGTGAAGCCGACGCTTTAGGTCGGTGTCGATCCTTTATTATTCTTTGAAAAAAATTTCGATCATTGAGTCAAATTGTAGCATTTCTTTGGATTTCATTGTGCACTTTAAAGTAAACACGAGTTGTTAGTTCCACGCGAGGGTTTAACCTTGAAAAATGCAATCACGCGAGTGAAGCTGACATTAACGCGTGTCCCTATCTGGAAAACATTCATATTATGACAAGAAAGGTCTGCTGAATTCGCCATGCCATATTTGGACGCCGAAAAGTGCCAAAAAAGTAATTACCGACAATTCATCCGCAATACCTTCATCGATGTAGAGGTGCGGTGGCCACATGGTTAATTAATGCGCTCGACTCCGGATCGGGTGGTCCGGGTTCAAACCCTAGCCGGGGTCATTGTGTCGTGTTCTTAGGAAAGACACTTTACTCTCACAGTGCTTCTCTTCACCTAGGTGTACAAATGGGTACCAGCAAATGTGCTGGGGGTAACCCTGCGATGGACTAGCATCCCATCCAGGGGGGAGTAGCAATACTCCTAGCCGCTTCATGCTAAGAAAACCGGAGTTAAGCACCGGCCTCATGGGCCACTTGGGCCTGTATAAAGGCTTTACTTACTACCTTCATCGAACTATGGGCGCGAAGTCAGTTCTTCTCTTACAGTTAATGATTGCCAGGCGGATCTCAAATCTGCCTCAGCCTAATTTTCATAAATGTTTTCGGTGCGCAAAGCTCGTCATGAAAGTAAGGCCTCGAGATTGGAGCGAAGGCTACGACATGACTAGTAAGGTCCCAGTTCTCGACTTTGACGAAAAAAGTCGGAAAGACAGTTCAGCTCTTTTTGTTTATGGTAAAAGCTCTTTCACACTAAATTTCAGAGATGAAAGAGCACATACACAAAGACAAAAATCTGATAAAAAAAACCCAAGCCAATCTCAGATGACTTTCGACATTTAATTGAAAATTGCCCTAACGCAAGAAAAAAAAAACAACAAACGTCTTTATCTGTAAACATTGCATGACTGAAAGGTCTTGGAGGGAATGATGAGTGGTTCTAAAAGCATTGCTCCGTGTTTTCCAGATTGTGCAACCCCGGGAAACATGCAGACCATCATCATTGAATACTAATACCATCAAATCAATCATTCAGTACCTGTTCAGTAACATTACGTGTTATATAGCTTAGTATAGCTTCTGATACCTCATCCCTTGCAAATGTTCTCTTGTATAACATTTTGGACCGTGGTCGAAATCAACTTTTCTTTTTTCTTCATCATGCTCAAACTGTCTTGTCACCTACTTCAAACATCCTTAGGATAATGTTTAATTTTTTTATCAGTTTCTTCACAGGTACAGTAAGGAAAATTACAGCACATCTGCAATGAAGGATGAACACGATTCTTCGACCAAACCAGCTGCTCTGGGACCCTGTCAATGTTGTCGTTATGCTGTTTAACTGCAGGGTGAATGTATTTCATGGCTTCTATATACTCTGGATTATTGGGAGCAATGGGGGAGCTTTCTGATGGATCATCTGTTATGTCAAAAAGCAGAGGAGGATCATGGACATTTACTAGATTTCCATGACACCAACAGATACCCCTTCCGCGGCAGCTTTCAGTTCCCTCGCTCCATTTAGCCGTCATAAAGTGTGCCTTCCATACAGTGCCACTGTCCTTTGGATGATAACGAACAGCATGGACCAGATTTCCACAATAATGGAAAACAAACTCGTGAGAGGATTTTTGTGTCTGGTTGGTCAATAGTGGTAAGAGATCTTTTCCATCAATAATTCTGTCCTGTGGAAGATCTGCGCCAGTTAGTTTGGCAACTGTAGGTAATAAGTCCATAGAACTGGTGAGCTGATCAATTGAGATCCCAGCTGGAATGTGACCTGGCCATGATGCTATTGTAGGCATCCTCACACCACCATCCCAACACTGTCCTTTCCCTAAGTAAAACAAAAAAACCTTATCAAACTTGAATCATCCTGTGTTCAGTTTGAATGATACAACTGGCGTTGACATACGCAATCTTACTAAAAAATCAACTTCTGATAGAGTAATGCAAACGAAGGTTACTTCACAATTGTTTCCTCTCCTTTTTGACGCTTTTTCCCCCAAACCTAACCATTCTCCCTTTCCCCCATCCCCCCTCCCCTCCAGCATGCCTGGGGAGAAAATGTCATCCATTCATCTTTAAAAAACAAACATAACTCGTTTTCGTGTACTCCCCCTCCCTTACTTGTACTAATGTAACACGTGACCTTTATGAAGATAAAGTGATCTCGTATAATCCTGTCCTAGTTTCAAGAAATTAATGACAATCTCCTACCTCCCTTGTAGATTCCGCTCCATCCACCATGGTATTCACCAGTATCACTAACTTCTTCAATGTACGGACCATTGTCTGATGTGAAATACACAAACGTATTCTTTCTCAGTCCCAGTTCCTCCACAGCAGCCATGATCTGACCCACGCCCCAATCCATTTCCTCTACATTGTCACCATAACGACCATGAACACTGTGATTGACAAACGGCTTTGTAGTAAACAAAGCGGTGTGAACTTTGGCAAACGACATGTACAGGAGAAAAGGACTGTCTTTGTTTCTGTGGATAAAACCTACTGCTTCATCTGTAAACCTTGCTGTCAAGTTTTCTAAAAGGACAGGTTGCTCTACAAGTTCATAGTCTTTCAAAACAATGCACGTTAATCTGGAGAGTATTAAAAGCCAACCGGCCTGTGCAGAGGAGATCAAAATAACGAGGGTAAGCAAGGACAGGAAGGTAATCTTGTTAAGCACACCAGCCAGGTATAGGATGTACAATGTTACTCCAATGACTACCCCAGAAGCAAGAACATTGAACGGTTTCAGGGCTGGGTAAACAATGTTTATGAGATATTGGCCGGGTTCACAGGTTCGTAAGTTAGTGAGAGGCAGCCCATAGAAATAATCAAAACCTTGCTTCAAAGGGTGGAAGTGGAAATCGGATCCTGACGACTTGTGGAGTCCTAAATGCCACTTTCCCACAATACCTGTCGAACAGAAAAAAATAGGAGTAAATTGATATTAACTGCTGAGCTTTTAAAAATATTGACGACAAAATAGAATGATTGTGGCAAATTTCTTGGAGTTTTCAATTTGAAGGAAAAGACGTCAAAAAAATGCCAGATCCTACGGCCAAATCTTTTAAAATTGTCCAACTCCGTTTTTGTTTATTTTAATTTTGTAACGAATGAAGTCGTTTAAGACTGAATCAAATTAATCGATTTAGAAAGCCGTGCCGAAATCAAGTTGATTGTCATTTTCTTTCGAAGCGAGAGCATGACTTTCTTGTCTTAGTTTTTATCGGCGCTGATCAAGAATTTCAAACATAAAAAAAGTGCATACCTGAGCTATTCTCAATTTTATTTCATATCTGACTTCAATTCGCAGAAAAGTTTTCAATCACAGTGAAAACGACAATAATAAAAGATCACACTGAATAATACAGGAGGTAAGCGTCGTGATAATTCATTTTGATAAACTTCAACATGAAGCAAGTTTAATTTATTGATGAAATGATTCATGATAAAATTAAAAGCGTCCCATTCTTAGAGTTTTCATACAGGATTAAAGAAATGTATCAAAGTACAGCCCTTTCGCTGTTTTAAGCCTTGCTCAATAACAAGTGTGCTGAGCCCTAAAATCTTGGATCCGGCGTTTGCCAACGATTGTGTTTCCTTTCGAGAATTTAGCATAAATGAAGCGGTAAATTTTCCCAAAATACACCGAATAAACCAAAGGAAGGAACCAGGTTATCCTGGAAATGAGTTCTGAGATAATTCCAAACAGCATTATCTCGTTTATAAAATTTACGCAAATCCCAGGCATTTTGATCGCGACGGGAAAACCTGTCTAATGACGTCCTGAACTTGTTGCGGAGAACGGCAACGCCAACACCGGAAGTCGAAATAGAGTCGTGTCCAGACTATCCGCGCGCTTTCCCGTTCTGAAATGACGTTCCCGTCCTCTTACTAAATCAGTCTATTATTTAGTACAGCTGAAACAGTCAAACATGCAACCATGTTACGCATTTGTTGACATCAAATCCGCACGACGAAAACTGCAAACGACAATTACTATGGGCTTACTAATAAAAGTAATAAACAGAAAAAGGTGCGGAGGGCCTTGTCAGGAAAGGTACCTTTAACTAGCATCGTCTTGGGAAGTAGTCGTCTCCTACTCAGCCGTTGTTTAGTCTCGTCACGCAACGCGCTCTCTGACCCTATCTTCCGGAGAATGCGAGTTGCGTGACGACACCAAACGATGGCAGCGACGAGACTAAATAAGTAGCAGATAGGATTTCAACGGACGCTTCACGCAATAGCATGTTTCATTAGTCGATCAAAAGAAGAGAAAACAAACTGACTTCTTCAGAGAGGTTTTCGGTTTATGTGGCTTTGCAAGATGTTGGCACCATGTTGGCGTAGTCGAGTAGTCCAACCACAGAAAGACATAAGCACTCAACAATTTTACCAACATAGAATACAATTACATGTAAGAATGGAAAAGAAAAATCGTTTCGTGCCGCAAGGAAAACTAAACACCACGTAAAATACATGTTCAAATTTCTATTTAGAACAAAATATACCGTGATGAGGTCATGACTAAACTGAATTCAAACATTCAACCGAACGTTTCCATGAAAAAAATTCTGAAATCTCTAAAAGCACCCAAGTTATTTAGAAAAACGTATTTTCAAATAGAAGTTAGTAAACCAGAAAGGTGTCACAATCTCGGACCTGGGCGAATCCCCTGGGGGAATTTTCGCGGCAACCACTCATGTTGGCGCTCGATTAGGCATGATTTTCATGTTTAATTTATATCACACAGTTTACAAAATTCACACATGAAAGTTCTATGTTTTTGAAAAAAATCTTTGATCGTGGAAAAACTAAAGCGGAAGAAAGTCCTTGGTAAGAAAAAAAAGACAAAAAAAAAAAAAAAAAAAAAAAAAAAAACAGACCCAAAGAAAGAAAGAGTACCATTCTGTCAGGAAAAGAAAAAAATTCCTTCGTGAAAGCGGCTGGTACTGGCAGAGCTCCACGCTGGCGTCCAGATTTCGAAAAAAAGAAGTCATCATCAAACCAAAATTTGCCAAATAAGATGTACAAAACTAGGTTTCCTTTTGATACAAAAACATAAACAATCGCCTCGAATCGTAATCTTAGAAGCTGTATATCAATTCGTTGTCTTGCTCCTCAGCACATTTTTCGGTTTTTCCATTTTTGCCGCGGGTTTTTCCTTTGCCTTTGGCAAATTTGCTCATTATTGTGTCGTCCTCCTCCACGCTCCGCTGTGCGATCGAGATAAAAAAAATTAAGGCTTTCGCAATTGGTTACTTTTCCCGGGAAATCTTGATGATCGGTATCAATTATTGCGTGACTAGCTTATGATAAAAAAGAGGGAGGGGAAAACAGAACGCAAAACCTGGGCTCCTGTCAAAAAGTAATACCCAGACGTATTATAATAATCGAAACGGCTAATAAAATCATAAATAAACAAGGTAAGATTGTTATGTTTGATTTTTTGCAAATTGTAGTGATTTATGCCAGTTAACGGTGGCAACAACTAGGCGCACCATGTACATTCCATAGTCGCTATCAAGTAAATTTTGCCGAACTTTGAGTTCGTCTCAAGATAGAACAACACAAATACACAAGGAAATTTTTTACAGTAACTTTATAAACATCCTTCGGTCTTTTAAAATCTTGAAGCTCAGTAGATTCTGTCATACCGGTCATTGTTAAAACTGTCTTTGTTTTGATGCTACTTTTCGACATAGGAAAAGTATGTCGGACAAAAATATTCACCAAAAAATAAATATTTCTTTGCCAGCTTCAATAACGACAGGGAATTAAGTTTAGATGATAAAACAAAGGATTATGTTCACAGAAATACCGTAGGTCAAGTACATTCGTTTCATGAGGTCACACAACTCGGGTAATATTCACGGAGAAAATTTGCATATTTGAGCGGTCGAACGAAAAAAATTATTTCTCGAAAACTAAAATAAATTTTTACAAAAAAACTACACCACAATTATTAGAACATATTGGGCTATAAAATATGAAAGTAGGAGTGAAACAAATTTGGGTGACTTGCCGCTGTTTGTTTGATGCATGCTGACATTAGCTCTTAAATTATATTCACAACGCTTTCTTCTGACATGTAATTTGCTAAGATTTTAGAAAAACTAGCGCGCGTACGAATTTTTTCTCGAAGGACACCCGTGACAGTAAAAATTCATGGAAGAAAAAAAATAGTTTAACCTAATCACATGACACAAGACCACACCAACCTGTTATGTAACCGGCGGCAGACGCTATCTCAGCAAGTGTAGTCTCATTTTGGGGCAGACCGCCAGATGCTGCCGTGTGAAGGAACACTCGGTCTTGTCCCTCATCTGAAGCCAGTCCTGATCGAATGGGATACCTTCCTGTTAGCAGTGCAGCCCTGTTTGGTGTGCAGATTGCATCTGGCGTGACATCATGTCGCAGGCGAGCTCCTTGTTCAGCCAACCGATCGATGTTCGGAGATTTAATCGTGTCATTGCCAAAACAGCCGAGATCTGAGATACCGAGATCATCCACAACAAATATAACAATGTTTGGCTTTGCAAAAGCGACGCTTATCATTATTATTAGTGGGACTATAGTTGTAAACCATTTCGGCCACATCTTGACTCGGCAGAACCGTCAGAGGGTGTTCGGTCACAAGTTGCCGTTGGGCTCGATGTGCTTAACGCATGCGTTACACGCGTCTATCAACCATGCCTATCGGCGGGTTCACAGTGATCACTCAATTCCCGTAGGGCTTGAAAAGTCCTACCTCAACCAACTGCTAACATATGTCTACACCAGTACTTTAACAAATTTCCTGTCTATTCTTACTGAAGCTGGCGTCTTCTATTTCACACAATAATTTTAACAACTTTGTACATCTATTACTGCAGGAATAGTTTGCGCGCGAATTGTTACTGGGATACCTGTGGTAGCCCAGTCATAAAATGCGTTTGTTTTTTTGTCGTCTTTTTTTTTTTTTTTCCTCCGCCACAAAATGGAAAAATTGCGTAATAGTACCCAGAGGTCATTGGGCCCTCAACAACATGACAACTAGCTGTGATCCAATGAGGTGTTCACATGCTGATCACGCGTGCTATCTTGATGATGATTGACGTTGTCATGCACGGACAGGGCCGGGTCACATGACGAACACGAGATTTTTGCCCATAAAACTCTTTTGTCAGTCGTTTTGTATTTCAATGTGTTTGGATTACGATCATCTGGAGCATTATGGCGCAAACGCTCAAAATACTTGTAGACGCATACACAAGTCGTATTGTTCGCGGTCAATCCACACAAAAAGATGTTATTGAGCGGTAATTTTGGAACGGACTGAATCGTGAAACTTGGTTTCAAACGTTGTGCTACTGTCGCGCCGAACTCAATTCATAAATTAATTTAACGGATTAATAATAATTTAATTAATAATAATTTAATAATTTAACCGCTGGATGGATGGTTTGTTTTGTCTGAAAGCCATTGTTTAAGACAATTTTAAATGCCAGAAGGCAACGCAGGCGAATGCAACAGTCCATATTGAATACTGTTATTGTAAGGAGAGGATTACTTTTGAAAGTTTTTTCATTTATTCTTCTTCTGGTTTCCCTTGACGAGAGCCAGCAAGTTACTGTAATACGATCGTGCCGGCGTTTCCAAACCCTAACCCTAACCCTAACCCTAAGCAATTTATTGTCACCGTCGAGAGCATTGAATGCCTTGTATGTCTTGTATGCTAAGTATGCCAATGTCTTAGTTGAAAACGTTAACTCGTTGTAAAACGTTAACTAGCAAAATCTGAAATCTGAAACCAAACTGCATATACTCTATGCAATCTATTGAACAACACTACTACCGTGAGACTGAAGAACAAAATTCAAATGGATGCAAACTGCTTGTGAAACTAGCGACTAAATACAGGAATGGCTCCGACCTGTGATTGGATGATAAAAATAGTAAGGGTGATAACTTATATCTTAACTCCTTGCTCGTGAGTATGGTTAACCGCGTGTCTCGAATGAAATATCAATGTGAGAACACCGATGAGTCAATCAAGAAATGGCTACTTACATAATCAAGAGAAGGCAGAGTCTAGCTTGTTCAGCGAGGTCGTTCAGCGATATTCCGGCGATGAAAAAGTCATCCGCTGACAAGCTCCGCTGACAAAACTCATTTAGTCAGTTTAGGCGGACGACCAGAGACTGGAGCCATTCATGTATTTCACCGCAAACAGGAATGGCTCCAACTCATGCGTATATTAATTTTTTTTTTCGTTCTGGCTAAATAATTCATACACCGAGATAAAAACTGAAAAAGCAATTTATTAGATTCTTCTTATGTTGAAGTCTACAGTGTTTGCAAATGAAGTCCTCTTTTATTACTACAGGGCCATGTAGTTCCTAAGTTTTAAAATAATACAGCAACTGCATCTCACGTTTGGAAAATCACGCGATGTTGCGTGACGCTGCGCCCGATGTTAATTTACAGTATGCTCTGCTGGAGAAATATGGCTTGGCCACAATCGAGGGAGTTTTTTTTCGTGGAAAACTGATTTTCTAGGTTATTGTTCACATGAAGGACAAATCCATTCATCGGGCTCTTCATCTGTTTAAAACTACTGTTCGCACAGCGCTGCTCACTAGTTTAGTTTTAAATTTTTTTTCAAAAACTGTTTAAAAAATTATTAGAAAATCATTGAAAAAAAGTTATTAAACGTTTGAGTCGGAGCTATTCCTGTCAGCGGTGAAATACAGGAATGGCTCCAGTTCTCTGGTTGTCCGCGTGAGCTGACTAAATGAATTTGGCCATTTCTTGATTGACTCATCGGTGTTCTCACATTGATATTTCATTCGAGAAACGCGGTTAACCATACTCATCGGTGTTTTCACATTGATATTTCATTGTTCCGCTTCGAGACACGCGGTTAACCATACTCACGAGCAAGGAGTTAAGATATAAGTTATTAACTTTTACTATTTTTATCATCCAATCACAGGTCGGAGCCATTCCTGTATTTAGTCGCTTGTCTTGTGAAAAAAGACGCCATGTTGGATTCACTTGATGCCAGGGAACGTAGCTACGATAACAGTGCGAATGGTATTAATTTCACGATCAGAAAGGTGAATCTTATGTTTTTTTTCATTGTAGTTGTATGGATATTCTTTTTTAATAAATACATGATCCAAAATCCCGTGTTTTTTGTGTATAATGTTATTATGTTAAGTATTGTTTACGCAATTGTCTTGTCACAGGCGACCCAAGGTCACGTCTCGAGAAAGAGCCAACGATTAATTCACGAACGCGTCACGCGTTGTGTGACTCAGAGTAAGTTATACAAGGAACCGTTGAAAATTTGAACACGTTATAAGGAATAGTATAGGGAACGAAATATGGTCGATTTACAACGATAAATATTTCGAAATATGAAGATTTTTCTCGTAAAATCAATAAAACTTACTCATACCCTGTGTATCCGTTGTAGTTTCTGGCGATTGTTGCCGTTTTAAGCTTGCTTTACCATCAATATTATTCACGTCATCTACTTTTATTACATTGGTAAAATCTGTACAGACATCACACCAACCAACTATGTTGAAGGCTTGAAATTATATTACGATCGATTTTCATCAAGAAATGGGCCAGGAATTTTCCACAATAGTGCAAATAATCGTGAAGGCTGATCGCGGAAAAGCGATTGCGTGACGCTTGGTAAGCTGTAAGATGACATGTTATTATATACCAGACGTAAAAACTCTTCAGATTTGCAGTCTGCATTTTGTACCCACTCTGCAGTCTATATTTTGTATCCGGTCTGCAGTCTGCTGTCTACATTTTGTACTAACAGGTATCCGTGGCACCAATACAGTTTATTTTTGGTTACATTTATTCGCACAACACACATAATCTACCACAAAATACCTGTGTGTGAGGTAATTCGACATTTTCATTCTTTCCCGCGTTAATAATCTTCTTTCCTTTTCTAAGAATGTAGACCACTTACAATGTTTCAAGTAATCCACCCACCCTACAAAAAATAACTCTTGCATGCATAGCATGCCTATGTTTTGAAACAGGTGTATGCCTATGGCCAAACTTGAGCTCACTATTTCAGTATACTAGTCCGACAAATTATTTTGTTTATTATTTCACATTACAGAACAAAGAGTGCGACATTGTGGAGAATGGTGTTGACATATGAAAATGTGAGAGGTCCTATCACTGACCAAGTGCTCACGTGCGCATGTGGATAAACGTCGAGAGGTTTCGCCGACAGTGCAGGCAGTACAGCCTGCACATAAAAATTTGTAAACCACACACGTATGGAGCCCACAAGGGATAGGATCTTTCACACCAATTTGCCTATTTTGAAAGATGAAAAAAACCAACTTGATATCGATGCTATTAGTTAATTGTAGGTCCACATCAGCCTCATGGCTGCCGCTTTTGTAACCTGCATCACTAGATAAAATGATTGATTGATTGGTTCACGCGATTTTGCCGTAACGCGAACTCCCGAAGACACGATTTTGCCATTACACGAACTTCCGGTGACACGAACTCCCAATAAATCCAGTTACCAATAGTCGATAGTACTTCAGCGCCATCATTACATGTCATTCAAAATCAAGACATACAACATTTGAAAATGAACGCAAAAATAATAGATTCATTCGCCAATAATAAAACTCTTGAAATCAGATAAATAACCTATTATTTTCAGTTTATCTAAAATAAAGCCTCATACGTTTTCAGGAAAATGTTCCAGTTGTCCGTCTTTCTCCTTACAACTACAGTAAGGAAAATTACAACACATTTGTAATCTTGGGTAAAACATATTTTTATAACCCAACTGACCAGGGACATTATGAATTCCTCTAATATGTGTTTTTAAAGCCAGGTAAATATTTTCCATAACCGCCTTGTAATCTGGACTGTTTGAAGCAAGTGGCGAACTCTCTGCGGGATCATCTGTCATATCGTAGAGAAGAGGTGGATTTTGAACTTCGACAAGATGTCCATGACAGCCGCAAATACCACGCCCACTACACATTTCAGTTCCCTCAGTCCATTTAGCCGTCATAAAGTGTGCCTTCCAAACAATGTCACTGTCCTTTGGATGATAACGAACAGCATGGACCTGATTTCCACAGTAATGGAAAATAAATTCATGGGAAGATTCCTCTGTCTGGTTCGTCAATAGCGGTAAGAGATCTTTTCCGTCAATAACTCTGTCCTGTGGAAGGTCTGTGCCGGTTAGTTTGGCAACTGTGGGTAATAAGTCCATAGAACTGGTGAGCTGATCAATTGAGATCCCAGCTGGAATGTGACCTGGCCATGACGCTATTGTAGGCATCCTCACACCACCATCCCAACATTGCCCTTTGCCTATGCAAAAAAAAAAAAAAAAGAAAAAAAATTATCATAAAACTTTTTCAAATATAGATGCATTAAATTTGAATGATTAACCTGGAATTGGGGAAAATGAGTATAAACAATTTAAATTTGTGCCCTTTGCAACACACAAATACTTTCATGGGCAAAAAGTAATAAACTGGATGCAATTAATACATATAACTAAAAGACTGAATGAGTTATCTACTCACTAACTGAATGGATGAATGAAGAATGAAAGAATGAAAAAGTAAGAGAATAGAATGAGAGCTCAAAGGAATAAAAGAATGAAAGAGTGGAAGAGCAAAGGAATGAAATAATTGAAGAATAAAGACATGAAAGAATGAAAGAATGAAAAAAATTACAGAATGACAGAATGAAGGAATGAAAGAAGAGAATGAAACAATTAACCCTTTAACTCCTGTGAGTGACCAAGACAGAATTTCTCCTTAGTTTATCTATACAATATCATGCAGACAAATGATGAGAATAAAGAAAAATATCAATCATGGGAGTACTAATTGATCTGATACCAAATTCTCCAAACTAACATAATGAGAATCATTTGGCAGACAGTAAGGAGAATTACTAATGAGATCTTGGGAGTTAAAGGGTTAAAGAAAGAATGAAAATATGGAAAATGAAAGAATGCAAGAATAACAGAATGAGCTAAGTTAGCAATTAGAATAAATTGAATCATAGAAACAAACAACAAACAAACAAACCGACAAACAAAACAACAAAAATTACCACACTACTTGCTGACCACATCCCTTGTCTTTGAGTTAAGCAATATGGCTTACATAAGGGGGGCAAGTTTCTAAAAAAAACTGTGGTCCTGCATCAGTGGGAGAGTATAACATGGTAATATAGTATTATCAACTAAGTTGATGATGTGAATTGGCCATTAACCCTTAACTCCCAGATCAAATTTGTGATTCTTCTTACTGTCAACCATACAATTCTTGTAATGTTAACTCAGAGAATTTAGTATTTGATCAACTAATTATCCCCAAATTGGTATTTATCTTTATTCTCATCACTTATCTGGTTGATATTGTATGGATATTGTAAGGAGAAATTCTGTCTTGGTCACTCATGGGAGTTAAAGGGTTAAGAGTTTCAAAGCTAACATTTTGAGCGTAAGCCCTTTTGTCAGAGAGTAAGCACTTTGTCAGAGAAGAGTCAGCTTTGAAACTCTTAACGGCAGCCAATATGGCTTACAATTGATTTTGGAAACTCAAACAACCAAGAACAAAGAACCAAATTATTTCTCCAAAAAAAAAATGATGGAGCATTACTAAAATTGCATGCAAGTGTTTATCTATCTTAAGTTTTGGACTATATACACTAATTAAAAAAAACACAAAAAAAATGCTAAGCAACTGCTAGGCATTATTCTCTTGATTGGTGACTTATGCCATAAATTAGGTTGCCAATTTTTTTGCCTTGCTATAGACAGCAAGACTGTTTCAGCTTGACTAAAATTCAAATCAAAGCTATCATTTACACACAACAGATATCTGTACATCATATAATTTTTGTTTTTCATTTACCTCCTTTGTAAATACCCTTCCATCCACTATGGTAATCCCCAGATGGACTTATTTCTTCTAAATGAGGTCCATTATCAGATGTGAAATACACAAATGTGTTTTCCCTCAAACCTAGTTCCTCTAAAGAAGCCATGATCTGACCCACACTCCAATCCATTTCCTCTACATTGTCACCATAACGACCATGAACACTGTGATCAGCAAATGGCTTTGTAGTGAACAAAGCTGTATGCACTTTGGCAAATGACATGAAAAGGAGAAAGGGGTTGTCTTTGTTCTTATGGATGAAGTTCACTGCTTCATCAGTAAACCGTGCTGTTAGATTTTCTAGAACAACTGGTTGCTCTATAACTTCAAAGTTTTTCATCAGAAAGCAGTTGAATCCTGCAAGAATGATCAGGCCCGCCGATAGTGTGAAACAAATAAAAACAGTTATTGTAAGTAAGGAAAAGAAAACTGACTTGCTTATCAAACTGTTTAGGTAGCAGATGTGTAGTGTTAATCCAATAATTGTTGCTGCAATTAGGATATTTGTGGGTCTGAAGCCTGGGATGATGTGCTCTATAACAAAACTCCCAGGCTCACAGTCTCTCAAGTTGGTAAGAGGCAGACCATAGTAATAGTGAAAACCTTGCCTTAGTGGGTGGTAGTGAAAATCAGAGCTTGTCGAGGAATGCAGTCCCAGATGCCATTTTCCAATCATACCTGGTAAAACAGAAAGTGCAATAGAATTCTTTATTCAATCATTTTAAAAACAAGTATATAAAGTTTTGCTGAAATATAACCAGTTATTATACATAACACATTGAAGATTTTTACTAAGAATGCTACTCAAGCCAAACTTTGTTCAACATGGCCACTTTCATTAGTAAAACTTGGGCATCTGTTTCAAAGGCAAAGGATGTGGGAAACTACACGATTTAAAGCCTTTACACCCTAACATCAATATACATATTCTCCATACTGTTCTTTGTACAATTTCTAAGCTGCTAACAAGGAGAATTTGTAACAATCAAGAGCTTCTATAGTTGGTGATCATTTCCTTTTTTTCTCGTGACCTTAATGTGCGATTCAGAGCTGACATTGTAGGGAGACATTAACTGCTCATCTGTCCTAGCCCCAAATCTTATTGTAGTTGGAATACAAAAATTGAGGAAAATACATGTACCCATGAATAAAACGCGAAATATTTGTGAAAAGCGAAACAACGAAAGGAATAAGTCGAACATGTCGTTAACAACGGGTTTATGTTCGCTAATGAGAAATGATTGCTCAAGAGCGTACCTGTTTTGTAGCCAGCAGCAGATGCAATCTCGGCGAATGTTGTTTCATTTTGAGGCAGACCGCCAGAGGAAGCAGAAAAAATGAACACTCTTATTTGTTTCTGATCTGAAGCCAGTCCTGACCGAATGGGATATCTTCCTGTTAGAAATGCTGCCCTGTTTGGCGTGCAGATAGAATCTGGCGTTACATCATGTTGCAGACGAGCTCCTTGTTCAGCCAAGCGATCGATATTCGGAGTTTTCATCGTATCGTTGCCGAAGCAGCCCAGATCAGCGATTCCAAGGTCATCCACAAGAAACACAAGAACGTTGGGCTTTGCAAATGCCACGCTGAATATCTCAAGTGAGAAGATTACTGCCAACCAAGCGACCCACATCCTACTGGCAATTAGTTAAGGTGGCGATGATTCGCGAAGCACCTCACCCCTGGTGCGGTATAAGATTTGTCACGCAATCCTTGTTTAAACATCCTCGTCACCACTTGTCCCCCCGCTCCCCTACCCCTGGGGACAGGCCAGGGATTTACGGCGTCACGCTGATTGACTAACAGCGTGATCCCACAGGTAAGCAAGGAGTTTAACATGATTTTAAACATGAACTATCACCCGTGATTTGAAGTTGACCCACCCGGCCCTGGAGAATAAGGCGAGAGCCTGAGAGTGAGCGGCTTCCATCTTGAAATCAATGGCAGAACGAAAATTAAGAGCATTTCGATGCTTTTCCGGTTTTTGAATTCGTCACTCTTGCGTTTTTATCATTTTATTTTTAAATAGCCCTGGCCAGTATTGCATATATTGCCTGTGCAAGCAATTATAAATCAACAGTGCAAAATATTCTGTTTCCACCTCTCGTATGTTGGACTTGATATTACTCATAAGGGAGCAAGGTTATGTCGTATGCACAAGCGTTGACGACCTGACTGATTTTTAACCCTCAGTTTCTCGCACCACTAAAAATATTACGCTTTTTTATTACATGAGTTCTGTTGTCACTTTACGTACAGCGGATAATTAGTTCAAGTGCCCTTTTTACAGACTTGTTTGAACAGAAATATCCACGGCGTGCATAGTTCTTGAACTTCTCTCTTGTCACAAAAATCATAGCATGCTTCCGCAAAAGGTTTAGGCTTAATTGTTGGCAGTTCCAGCGGCTTTATTGCTCGCAAATTCAATTAGCTCCTGGGAAAGCCATCCTGAAGATCCATCTTTTTGGCCTCGTCCTGCAGTTCAATAACGTTCCCTCTTTCCATGAATGCCATTTTTGTTAATCTCAAAGGAAAGTAGTTAGCCGTTAGCCGTAAAATGGTCGATATTTCAGCCGTTCGCCGTCAAAGCCATCACCCGGTTAAGACCCCCCAATAAGGCATACCTGTTGGAAGCTCAACTCCAAATAATCTCTAAAACGGATTCTTCTGCATTTGGATTCGTGCACTGATGTTAATTTGTGACTATTATTATTTTATCTCAAAAAACCTCCCTTAAACTTTCCTCATATTCATCGATAACGACAAATAAAACCATGAAGTACAATATCCTAATGACTTCCGCCCTTAACTGTTAATAGGCCTGAAAACAAACTCGAAAACATCTATGTATATAACAAGAGGCAGCATATCTGGACGTATAACCAGAAACTTTCAACGACGAAACATTCCTCTTTTTAAAACTGCAACAGGACAGAAAACGTTCATTATAAAAGTGTATCTATCTGGACCAAGTTAGATCCAAGCCTTAAATTATGTAAGAGTCCCGCTTCCTTTAATAGAACTCTAAAAAATCACCTTTTGAATGAATGAATGGGGAAGTGTTCAATAAATGAATGTATGTATGTATGTAAATATGGAATCAAGAAAATATATTCTCTTTCGAATTTCTATTACTATTTCGTGTGCGGTAACGGCATTCGTTAAAATTATCGTTTTCCTCGTTATAATAATTTTACGTGAGCCGTTAAATTCGGCGATTAACTTCGATAGGACACTGTTAATCGAAGAAGGGGGTTCTGACGGATCCCGTTTTACGCTCGAATTTAAAAAAGATGCCCGGATCTCGAATATTTTAAATTGCATTTTGCGCGTCACGAATTTAAAGGGAAAACTACGTATCTCTCTTCTTGTTTGTAAAGTTTTAGGGAAATATCGAGCTTTCACGAAATGAAACAAAAACTCACAGTTCACGTATATTTCAGGAGGTAAATCACGCCTCACTGGTTTTTAAATTCATGAATCACGCTCGCCTTCGCGTCACGTAGAAACCCTTTGCTTCCCTCAAACAAGCCCCAATATATATAAGGATGGGTGGGTGCTGCCAAAGACGCAATTTACCCAATGAAATATTGCCGATGCATTTTAAATTAAATGACCCTTTTAAACACCTTTTTATGATTCCGAAAGGTTAGTGTTCCACAGCCACCCACGACCTTGCGTGGCACGAATTTCACTTGGGATTGAATTGGAAGCGCACCCTTCCCAATACGTCCGGATTTCCGATTTCAAAATCTCGTCCAAAATAAGACAATTTTCCTGCCCTTGCGGGTTTTGACCGTGATCTTTTTCGGTATTTCGAAAGATTGCGTGTGGAGGTGTCACTACAGTATTATGTTGTATGTAGTTATGATCGACCATCTGTGGATGGTTGTGAAAGGCAGGCATCAAATACACTTGTTGGATACTGTAGTATATATAGCAACGGAGAAGAATTGCAAATATATTAACACTCTACAAAGTCGTGAGCGACAACGAAGTGTGTATTCCTTTCAATTTTACTTGGCGAGTCTAGAATGCTAATTCAGGCCTTCATCACGAAGACGAAATCGGGCGAGCTCGGATTTCGTAATCGGAAATCGACCTGAAATGAACTCCTTTCGACGTATTGCGTAGTGTACACTGGAAAGAGGAATTTAAGCATCTATGCCCTAATTAATAACCTAACATCCAAAGTAGAAATCAGGTATAGTCAGACTGGGTCAAAATTTAAAATGTTCTCAAGAATAGCAAACTCTGCAAATGTTGAAATTATCTGCCCGTCACTCATACCCAGACCCCTTGGGCCAGATTACATCCGGGGAATGATATCCTCGATTAAGGGGGTAAGTTTCTAAAGAAACTGAGGTGCTGCGACTGTGGGAGAGTATAGCAGGTAATTTAGTGTTAACAACAGAGTTGAAAACGTAAATTAGCCACCGTAAAGGGTAAAAAAGCTGACGTTTTGAGCGTTAGCCCTTCGTCAGAGCGATTGGAGGAATTGTGGGTTGTGTGAGTTTCTATGCAGAAAGTGGAGCTACGCCATTGGTGGGAATATGGTAACGAGAAAACAGGAATAAATTAGTTGAATGAAAAGCGCTCGTTGATTTCGTGGGGATTAGGGGTGCCGATTTGGAAGATAAATTTTAGTTCTAGTGTTTCACGGCCGTTCCGAACTGCCTAGATGTGTTTGGAACTGTTGTATTTCTCCTTTCCTAACAAAGTGACAATTTAAATAACCGAATGCAATTAGAGATCAAACAAAGCCGAAATAAGATAGAGCTGTTTCTTGAGGGGGATCTAAACATTGCTTTGCACATGATCGAAATGCAAAACTTTGCGGAGTGGACAAACACTACTTTTGCAGTCTCTCCCGATGGTTATCGATGTGTTAAGAGGCAACAGATTTTCTCCCAATATGGACAGTGGTTCTTGTTGTGCCAACATGCCATTATGCCGTACAAAGTCCTTTGAAGTTTTGCTAATGACTCTGTTTCCTTTAAAGCCACTCATCAATGGCAATAAACGCCCTTTATTTAAATATGAATATCTCTTTGTTCATTAATTAAGTTTCTTGTGTATCACGTACATCTTAGGTGTAATATCGAAACAGAGCTTTCAGTTGCAAGTAGGATACCCTTGAGTGTGAACCTCAAATTCTCCGAGTTATCTTTTCAAGTCTTATCAGATATTTGTAGAAGTCTTTGTTATCTTTGGAACCACCGCCAGACGTAAGTGACGCTTACTGATCTACATATGATTGTTTGTTTTTCTTTTTATTGAAAGATTTTAGTTTCGTATTTATCTCTCTTTGACCTATGCCACAGTGCGTAGGATAACGAACCTTAACGCTTTCCACAGTGTCGAAATGCCAAACAGTCAGAAATCAGTCACAGAATTTCCAGGGAAAGATTCATTCAAACTTCTTAAAGTATCAGTTGTTTGTTTAGAAATGTCAAGCGATTCCAAAATTATTTTTGCCTTTTTGAGGAAAAGTTTTCCGAGCTTAAGCATACCATAAAACCGCTTCAGTCGGAAATGATCTCTGAGTGTCGAAAGTCTAACGATTTTACAGTATGCACAAGCTCAAAAAATCTGTCTAGAGAACCTTCGCAGGGAAATTCCGTGCAGGTTTCTAACTGCAGGGTGTTTAGTCCATTAAGAACCGTAACCCGCTAGCGAACATTAAACGGCTAGAGGTGTTAAGCATTTGGTGGCTGTCCGTGAGAGATCTTCTTCCTACCCACTCGAGGCGTCGGGCTATCCGTGGCACACTTACACTCATTCGTTCAAATATTGTAGCAAAGAGTGAATGGGGAGGGGGGAGGGTGGAGGGGGGTTATGATTCCGTTTTACGGATGAATTTTTTAGACAAATTCACGGTCACGAATATATGGATAACATTAAATATCTCTTCTAGCATAGAAAGTTTTCGGGGAAATCTTGAGGTTTTCACCATATGAGAGAAAAAAATTCACGAGTCAAATTTGTTTAAGGAGGCAAATCACATGTCGCGCTGGTTCAATCGCTCCCAGCTTTTTGTAAAATTCACGGGTCGCCTTTCACTGTTGGCCTTAATCATGTGCGCGTCAAGTAAAAACCCTCCGCCACCCTCTTACAATTTGTTATTAAAACACTGAGACGTTACCGCTGGTCGATGCGCGGTGGCCTCGATCTTTAGACAGGGTTAGGAGGTCACCGAGTTAAAACTTTTCTCTATCAGATGGTTAGTTTTTATTCAGTTTTCCGGGACTTATTTTACTTTGCGGTTTTTTCTCGACGGCATCGTGTAAGGAAATTTACGGATTTTCATTTTTTACGTTTCGCAAATTACTCCCCTGTTTGAAATTTTTTGAAATTTGCGTGGTATAGTAAATCAATAAATTAATTCGGACGTGGGTTAATTTCCCTGTTGGACCACAGTTCTACATTTCTTTTACCTGTATGGGCGATTTAATATGTCTAAGATTGCTCACGCTTGATCATTTGTGTTTCCATGCACCATCGACCTTGCGTGGCACGAAGACCACAGAAATGTCAGACATGGAAATGAAGATCATAAGCAGCTGTACTCATATAAAATACTAATTTACGCCAAAAGTAGAAACAAAGTATACCTGCTGAGCCAAAATGAAACCAGTTTTGAGAGAAATCTCACCAGGGCTTATCTAAGTTCTTAAAAATTTGAATATCTTCTCCAGAAAAGTAAACCTTGCAAATATTGAAATAACTGCACGCATTAACAGATCAAACAATAAGCCGATACAAATACAGCAGGTAATTTAGTGTTAACAACTGGGTTGAAAACGTAAATTAGCCACCGTAAAGAGTAAAAAAGCTGACGTTTCGAGCGTTCGGCCCTTCGTCAGAGCGATTAGACGAAGGGCTAACGCTCGAAACGTCACCTTTTCTACCCTTTACGGTGGCTATTTTACGTTTTCAACCCAGTTGTTAACACTAAATTACCTGCTATACTCTCCCACCGACGCAGCACCACAGTTTCTTTAGAAACTTACCCCTTCATTCGATACAAATACAGCTGTCTTGGGGGATCTGGACATTATTTTGCACATGATCGACAAGCAAACCTTAGCAAAGTGGACATATATTATTTTTGAAGTATCTCCTGTTGGTTACCAATGTGTTGGATAAACTCGATATTAAAACCGGGACTCAACAAACAATAACAGTTCAAGAAGTAGCCGCTTGTCTGCATACTTCCCGTGATTACTCGACACTTAAGTACCGTTCCTTCTAATAGCTTCCCGTCGAAAAAAAAGTTTTCTTTTATTTTTTGGCCATGAAAAGGGTTTAGAACACATGTTTCAAGAATAGTTTAGTTGTTCTCAAATTCACTTTTTTTGCGTCGCCACAAGTCAAAAATGATTTTTGGCTAGACCGCCCGTGTGAACGTGAACAGCGATCGAAAGAGTAAATTTAACAGATTTTGTCTAGCGCTCAGCGACTGCAATAATACAGCTCACGGAATTCCATCTTGCTACAAGTTACAAGATGTATTCAGTTAGTTCACAGACAAAATATGGAAACTTCTCCTAAAATGGTTTTCATACCAGCGTGATCAGAGGAGACCCTTCTCTTAGACCTCAATTTGCATATCAAAAATTCACCAATTTGTACGAAAGAATTCTCAAAATGCAGGTGTTAATCGGGCTAAAAATGCATATCAGTGCATAGTTTATACATCAATGAGGTCACCAATCGCCTCAACCCAAGGGGGTATCTCTAGCTTTCATCCATCAACATTAAAAAACAATTGTATGCGCTCGTGTCAAAGATCATTTGCTTAATTCTGAAAATTGACCAAGATCTCCTTTCGACCGTTCAAACTTCGTTTACTTTTTTTTTTTTTTTTTTTCAAATTTTTTTTTTATAAAAACTGTGTGGAGAATAGATGCCGAGTTGTCCTAAAACGTAGCGTAAACGTGATCGGTTGTAACACTTGCGTGCTAGCGTAACTTACAAAGAAAACAAAGGTGATTGGAAGGCGCCTTCGCGATAATTTTCGTCGACGTATCAGGTCGTAAACTACGACGAATTTGATAATTGTCCGCCGGCCTAACGATAGCCTAAGCTAATTTTAGTCGTCTAACAACGGAAAAGGCAAATCGATTAAGATTCGAGTTATTTCTTCAGAGTGATTTAAAAAGCCAAGAAATACGTGCTTTGTGGTTTTGGGTGCGCACGTGAAATAAACGGTCTGCTGCGCAGTGGAACGTTTCCAGAAGGAGTTCAGTGTCTTCTTCTTTTCGGTTGGGTAAACAAGTTCTTATTCGCAACGAGTCTATTAAGAGCACAGGGAACACAAACCCTAGATGTTTTGACGAACATCACGGTTGTTATTTCATTTTCTCATATCTTTGAGTCCGCTGTTAGGCAAATTAACAATAATATTATCCTTCGAGGGCGCGCCGAATATGAGATTAAAAATAATCTAGGACAAGCGTAGCGCCGAGTTTTTTTAATTTCTCATATTAGGCAATTCTGAGAAGAATAATTGTTTGAGTAACAACGCAAACAAAAACTTAACGACTCTGCCTATTAGCTTTTCAGTTGATTTGACAACGGGCAAACCTTTTTTTTTTCGAGGGCGCGCGGAACATGATAATAAATAATCCAAAAGGGGCGTAGCGCCGAGTTATCTCATGTTAGGTAATTCTGAGAAGGATAATTGTTTTTAGTAAAAACGCATACAAGACTGAAGGACTCTAACAACTAGCTTTTATTTGATATGATAACAAAAAAACCGTTTCAGCTTTCTAAACTTGGTGAATATTAACGAGAGGCCTCCCTATAAATTTTGATATTACCTCATTTAAATGATTTCCTAATATTTACTTTCTTAGAAAGAAACATAGATTTATTACTAAATATTCATGCATAACAAAAAGCTCCGTAAAAAGTTCGATCTAGAACATTCATCACTTAAGCCTTCACAAATTAGAGAAGTTCAGCCATGTTTTACGATTTCAAGTTTTGTAAACAGTATTCAGAGGAGCGTCAATATCACCATAAAAAAAAGGAACACAGACCGGCTATTGATGAGAATTGAACATGAAAAAATAACGGGATATCTGTTCGCTTCAAGAGATTATTATCCTGATTATCTCTTCCCAATATCAGTGGCCGAAAAAAATCGATTTTTCTTTAAGTTAATTAAACTGAATTAAAACGTTCAACCTAACTTTTTCATAAAAAAAATTCAGAAATATTTAAAGGCACTCGAGTTATTTATAAAAGACGTATTTTTAGTTAAAGGTTAATAAATCAGAAAAGTTTCATAATCTCGGATATGAGCGAATTGCCTGAGGGAATTTTCGCGGCAACCGTTCATGTTGGGGCTCAATTTTCATATCGTTTCCATATTTTGTTTACATCGCTCACTTAACAAAATTCACACGTGGAACTTTTTTGTTTCTGAAAAATGATGTTAAAAAAAGGAGGTTCCTCCTCTTCATGCAAGTACCAGCCTTGATAAAAAAACAATCACCTCGAATCATAATTTTGAAAGCTGTATGTCGATTCATTGTCTTGCTCCTCAACACAGTTTGCAGTTTTTCCATTTTTGCCGCGGGTTTTTCCTTTGCTTTTAGCAACTTTGCTCATTATTGTGTCGTTCTCTTCAACGCTCCACTGTGCGATCGAGATAAAAAATAAACGTGTCTGCAATGGGTTACTTTTCCCGGGAAATCTTGATCCATCTTCGTTGACGCCAGGAGGTCCCGTTGTCCTATTGGTTTGCGGTTTCAGGAGGCGAGATAAACTCTTGGCGTGGCGTGAGTTGTTTGCGAACCTTCATCAGCTTCAGTCTCGCATTTGATTTTGGGAGGTATAGAACCACTTTGAGAAAATTCATACGGTATATAGATTTGACCGATTTTTGTCAAATTTCACCAAAACATTTTAGGAATTATGACAAACGAAAATGTGTTGGGAAATTTTGATATTTGAAATATTTGCCCTTGGTGTCCATTTACGCAACACGCCTCACATATATTCGGCTACTTCAACTTTAGATGCCGATATCTAGACAACCAATCAGAATATCGAAAAAGTCCGACACACTTTCACGGCTCCTGACACTTCCCTAAAAGAAAGGTCGCTTAAATTATATTTTTATCCTAAACTGCAGTTATTAAGCTTACTTCTGATATATAGTTTGCTAGGATTTTAGTGAAACTAGCGCGCGCACGAATTTTTTTCCCGAAGGACACCCGCAGGATCAATATTTGTCAGGTACAACGATGATAAATATAGTGATTACTTCGATTTGTCTGGCACCTTTGCAGAAAATTTATTCATAGGTTACTTTTTCACATTGTTCTGCTGCTCGGTTGTTTATTAAGACCGCAAGCAACTCTCAGAAAGAAAGCGGAAAAGTCCCATCTAAAACATTCAGGACAAGCACTTTTGGGTAGTAAAATAATATCTGCTATGTTTTCCTCGTTCGATTTTTGTAAATAGTATTTGAACCGTCGGCGTATCAAAAACTCTAATTTGAGGAAAGGCTGCTACGTACCCTAGCTGAGAATCAAAATACTTTAAAACTAGGGCATACGAGGTTGGACGGTTCTTTTAATTGAATGTAAACTGCTTTATGCACATGATAATGTATACCTCTTTTGTTACTCTCAGCTCAAGTCTAGAACATGGGTCTTCTCTCTAAAGGATGTCCGCTGTCGTGGTCTGAAACAAAACAGTACAGAGACGAAGTTCGGAAACGCGGTGTTTTGCAATTTCTTCACATTTACAACAGAGAGAAAGACAGAGACAACGATGGTTTGAAATGGGGCGATGAGGTAATGTTGATCACTCCAAAAATGAAGCTACCATGATGATCTTTATCACATAAACTGTGGTGTTATACAAGGATTTCCGGCCCTGAGAAAAGCCATCATAACACACGTGAAAAAATATCGTTTTTGTTTTTGTTTTTTTTATTTATATATTTTTAAACGTGTGTTGATATAGCCAATCAGCTGCTGACACGTCACTCGCCTTTGGCGCCACTCGGTCAGGTTGATGAATGAACGGCATAGCCTTCATCATTCTTAATACAAGCTGTTTGTCGGAGCTTTCTCGAATTATGGCGGCTAAAACACTAAAAAAAATCCGTATCGCTGAGAGACAATGAGGTTCAAACTTTCCTAGAAGGGGAAGAAAACCAATATACTAAAAGAACAACGGAAAGTTGCGTATTCAGTGGCTTTGGTGTAAGCATTTCTCTCGGCTGAGAATGCAAATCGACAATTGGAAGATTTGCCACTGGCCGATTTTGGCCGTTTACCTGAAAGACTTCTTCTGTCGGTAAGGACAAAGTCAATAGATGAGAATTTTGTAAATTGAAAATTACGACCATTGTTGATTTTGTAATCATGATTCAACGCATTTTTCCATCTCAAAAGTCAGCGCCAACGCACTCTACGATTGTTATTCGAGGATTGTCGATTCATTTATTTACATTCATTAATGAAGTCGGCTTTTCTTCCCAGTAAAGGGCCATTGTGTTTATATGATAAACAAAATAATACATGGTTGCTTATAGATATGGAACTTCTTTTCTCGTGTTCAACTCGACATCTCACTCGTTCGCTGCACTCACTCGCGAGCTATCGAGTTAAACACAGCAGAGGGGCATTTTGCTGCGCATGTCCGGTAAATTTTGGTTTGATACGAGAAACCGCTGGTAACGTTGATGGAAGCGGCAAATCCTTGAAATTATTGTATTATACTATTTTAGTATATTGTGTGAAAGGAAGTTACGTTCAGAATGCAAAAGATTGTTCGAGTCTTGTCTCGTGATTGTCTGGGCGATCGATGAATATGATGTTTATTTTTGAAGGATGCAAGTGGTCTGTCGAAGAGTACAAAAGAATTGGATAGTATACTTTTATCGTGTCATTGCTATCTCAAGTTATTGGTGATCATTTGAAGTACTCGCCTTTCTGTAAGCGTTTTTTAGAGCTTCCACTGTACTGCTAGTGCAGTGTACCTCCAATTTTGGCAAAAATGTAAAGTTTACAGAGGTTTATGTTTTGTTCCAAAAGTTTTTTTGGCATGAATCACAACCGGCTGGGCCGATTACCAAAATAAAAAAGGTCAATGTCGAGTAAAGAACAGTAAGACAATGCTAATGCTAGAGATATGGTAACTCCATCTAGTTAGAAATGGAGGAATAATTATTGATTTTCTCAGAGTAAGATAAAGTCTTTTCAATCATTAGTCTCGGAAATATCATCAGATATGATCAATGATGTGGGGAAATTGTGAAAGAAAACAAGTACTACTTTGGGCTTCCAGTTGTAAGATGAACAGTTAAATAAATCAATTATTACCCAGTGAAAATCACTATCATTTATCATTTCAACTGCACAAAAAAATCATATACACTCTTTGCAACCTTATTCTTATTAAATTACAAGAGTTGTGTGACAATTTGACGGTCTGAAAAGACTCTTACACATGCCAAACAACAAAGAACCGGTAAGGCTGATATTTAGCAGTGAGAATAAAAAAAAAGCCTTTTCTTTTCAGGAAGAGCTATAGCTCTGACTGGAAGCTTAAATACTCTTAAGGAACAGGACAATATTTCACCTGATCACTCCTCATATTCTTTTCCCATGAAATTTGGACAAAACTTTCAAAAAACTTTATTGGTAATTTTATAGTTGCAAAAAAGGTATAGAGACAAGTTGCATATAGCATAAGCTAGTTGAGGCAAGTTGTGTGGAGAGAACAAAAGATCGATAATTTATACCAGTAGTAAGCTTCTGGTACTAATGACATTTCTTGAATGCCAGCTTGCCATAGCAAATGTCACTCCTATCCTTTCTGTCAATAGTACTGACCATATGTAGTAGGGTCACTTCACATCTCCCTAAACAGCAGAGAACACAATAATTAATTCCAATCATCAGTCTCAATTAAGAAATAAAAATTGAAGGATCAAGACTTATCTGGCAAAAAGAAATACAAGTCAAACTGGTTTGAAGACATTTTAACCCGAAATTCGTTTTCAAATATGACAGAAATACTGTAGTTCACATTCTAAAGAAACAAGGAGTTCCAGACCCTTGAGTAATTATTCATTTGTTGTATCGCTCACCTCATGTTTTAAGAACCAGAGAAAGTAAGATAATTTTAATCTGCGAGTTTTATAGTACATTTCGACTCAAAATTCATTTCGTATGGCAGAAGTATTCTACTGAAATAAACAAGATAGAATGAAGCTGACGCCATCCGTTTCGAATAACACATGAACATGAAGAAAACGGCACCAGCTTAAACTCATGAGACAAAGTCCACGCATTTTTTTGAGGTAAATGAACTGGTTAGACCGAAAGCTAAATAAATAAACAATGAACTGACAGTGGTGAGGGATTTGGGGGCCATGTGATAAAACAAGTTCTACCGAAGTTTATCCTCTAGTTAGCCCTTCAAGCCCAAAAGGGCAATCAGAAAAATTCTCACCAAAACACAGCAACAAAATTAGATAAAACCGCAGATGATCGAGGCAAGACTATAAACGTTGTTAAGACACATGCCTACGTACCAAGTACAACAGACTTGGAGAGCAAAATGGCCAAAAACAGTTGTGAGCCATGACTTGGAAAATCCACCTCAACCTCCCAAAGAAGTAAGACATCAACATCTTAAGACTAACCTTCAAGGTTTGTTGTCTCATGTGCACATCTTGATCGTCAGCAAATCAAATCTCAAACTTCAAGTTTTTGACCTTTTTTCGCGTTTTGTTCGCACTTTGATCATTAAAATATCCTCATCCGAAAAGCCAGCAAACTCCACAAGTATCCACAGAGTTAGAAATGGTGGTAAACTTGTCATATTCTTCCATCCCTCTCCAAAAAATATCACAGAAAGGTGTCGATCGCTCAGTTGGCCTTTTTTTTTATCATACAGATCAATTCCGGATTGTTTCCGTGTAATTTTGGTCGCGAAAGCCAGCAAATTCAAATCAACAAGTTTGGTCGGAATGCCTTAAACTACTTACTAACTTCACTTGCTCGAGCCGTACTGGGTAATATCGGCCATTGGTGGTTTGTTTTTTTGGACCTCGCCGTCCTCTGTCCGCACTGCCACGAGCACGGGCCAATATTCCCCATTACGGTCCTTGCACTCGGTTAGTAAGAAGTTATTACGTTTTGAAATAATTTGATGCCGAATCTTGCGTTACAGATGGAGTACACCCTATTGAAGTTTGACCATGAGAACAAGAGAGTTTACTGTAACTTGAGGGCAAAAGATGTTTTGGATGATTTGACACTTGTGGAACAAAATAATACCAGGTAATGATAAGACACATTGAAATTCATATTTTGAATCCTGTCCTTATTGGCTCGTGAACTACCAATTGCGCGACAGGGGTACGTTTCTAAAGAAACTGTGGTGCAGCGTCGGTGGGAGAGTATAACAGGGTAATTTAGCATTATCTGCTGAGCTGATAACGTGAACTGACCACCGAAAAGAGTTTACAAGCAACAAATTAAGGCCCAAAAACTCGACCAAGTTATCGGCCCTCAAATTGCTAATGATTCATCGCCTGAAAGCCTCAAAACTATATTTAGCACTCTAGAAAATTTTCCTCTTTCCGATTCAGAAAAATCAGTTCTCAGTAAGGGCTTAAATTTTGTTCCCATTTCCGAAAAGGCCGCCGAATTTTCAATTAAGCAAGACGTTGAAAAATCTCTTCTACGCGCTCAATTGAAAGCCTTCTTTCACGACAAAGAGGATGATTCTAACACCTCAAACAAAGATACTTTCGAAACACTTTAAGATTTTAAAGTCCAGATGGACTCCCGTAGAGGGCCCATTCGCATCTTTCGTTTTTTCATCAAAAAATGTCGTCGCGATATTAACAAACTGAAATTCAATCGTAACACCAAATTCCTAACCTTTCTTCGGAAGAGTGGTCGGCACTAAAAAATCTTAAAAAACGCAAAGACAGCTATTAAAGCGGCTGACATAGGCGGTGTAGTCGTTGTTTGGCGGGCCGACCTCTACCAAAAAGAAACTTTGTGGCAACTTTCTGACACCTCTTTTTATGCAAAAGTTGACAAAGATCTCACTTTAATCAAACAAAACATTCTCAAAAACACAATTAACGATACTACAGCTAAACATGAATTACCGGGCATTGCAAAAAAACTCACCATTACCACTCCCAGAACTTCGTGTATTTACTTTTTACTAAAAATCCACAAACCTAACAACCTAGGTCGACACATCGTCTCTGCCTGTATGTAGCTGTAGTTGTCCCACCGAACTTATTTCCTTGCAACTATTTAGACAAAATTATGACACCCATCGTCAAAACTTCACCATCATACATTAAAGACAGCTAAGTTGAAATTTTTCGCTACTTTAATTTCCTTGGCCAAAACGAACTTCTTTTCCCTATGGACAATGCATCTCTTTATACTGTCACCTGTTCCCCATGACGAAGGTTTCCGCGCCCTCAAACACTTTTCGATCAACGCACTGTTAAGGAACCTAGCTCTGAAACACTGCTCCGTCTAGCCAAACAAGTACTAACACTCAATTGCTTTTTATTCGGTGGCAGCTACAACAAACAAACTAGCGACGTAGCCATGGGTACCAAAATGGGAACCAGCTACGTCAATCTTTTCGTTGGTCTATCGAACGCCAATTTTCAGTCAATACAACGGCCCCAAACTTGAACTCTACGGTCGCCACATTGACGACTGCATCGGCGCTACCTCCTCTACCACAGAGGAGCTCACTCAATTTTTAATCGCCGTCAATTCTTTTTAACCGGCCCTGAAATATACCTGGGAAATTAGACATCAAAATTTTAGTTGAAGGTAACGGTCCATGCACTAGTGATAACTACAAACCTTCAGGATTCACATAGTTGCTTGTTGTATTCGCCTTCGCATCCATCACACATCAAGGATTCCATATCTTTTTCACAGATTCTTAGACTTCGTCGTTTATGTGGTGAGGACTCTTTTTTTTTCGAAAAATTGGAGGCAATGTGCCAGTTTTTCGATAAACGTGGCTATCCTGTTTCTGTCGTTCAAGCGGGCCACCACCGCGCCCAACAAACTGATCGACAGTCAGCACTACACACGGCTCTGAAGGAAGATACTGATCGTATTCCATTCACTGTCACATTTCACCCTCACAAATACGTAGTTAAATCATAATTCTTAAAAATTGTAAATTGTCTTAAAACGATTAAGAGACTGGTACTATCCTTTCGCAACCTACACTAATTTCATTCAAACGTGACAAAAACATAGGCAACTTTTTGGTCAGAAGTTCATTTCAAACCAATGACCAACCTGGAACTTTCAAGTGCGCTCGCTCACGATGCAAAACTTGTCCTTTCATTCACCACCTTGAGAAAATATCGGGACCCAAGAGATCTATTAAGATCACTGATCACCTCACGAGCACCTCCGCCGATGTCATCTAATTTGTAACTTGCACTTGTTGCAAAAAGTTATACATTGGTGAAACACCCTCCGAGAATACCCTCGCGACGTACAAAGAAATAACAAGGACGCATCCAAACCAGTCGCTAGACACTTTAATCTCCCTAAATTTTAAACAGCATATGGCAGTTTGCGGCCTTTCCATACATCTATACCCAAGTTCAAGAACATCGTGAGATTGCCACTGGATAACAGCATTTTCGCTTTTTATTCCAGAATGAATTCTTTGTTATTACTTTTGTTTTTATCTTTTTTTTTCTTCTGTCCTATTTCACTGATTTTTTTACTCTTACCTTAACCGTTTTGTTTTTGCAGCACCTACCCAATTTCTTGGAAGCCTGAATTTGCCAGCTATATGGTTGAAGGTATTCGCTATAACATATTATTTATAATATATTATTAACAATTATATATTATTTAAAGGTATTACATTTGAGGATAGTTTATAGCTCACAACTTTCTTCTTATTGCCATGCATCATGGTTTTAATGAAAACAGGATAATCAAAATAACATACCTGTGAGAGAAACGTCATAAACGCTCTTTTGGCTGATTTATACTTAGAAATCCCTGGTTTATTTGGTACTTTCCTGTTTTGTTTTGTGTGTTATGTAGCATCACCTGGGCAGCCTATGGGAGAAAGTTTGGCATGTTTTAACATCATTGAATTGAACATGAGTTTAAGGTAAGTCAAGTAAGGAGAGTGGTACAGGCCCCGGTTGTTTGAAGGTCGGATTACACTATCCACTGGATAAATCTCTATCCGGTGGATAACGCCATACGTTTTGTTATCACTTATCCGCTGAAAAGCAATTTAACCGGAGATAGCGTTATCCGCCCTTTATACAACTGGGCCAAGAAGGATACGAGTCTCAAGGGAGTGGCAAAGAGAAAGCAGTTACAGTCTGAGTCACTCTTTTTGTGTGACTGGCTGTCTATCTGACCGTCAGTCTATTAGTCTGTCTATCAATTGTCACTTTTTCTATATGTATAACTAGCTGTCTGCCTGATGGTCAATCCACCGGTGAGTTCTTCTTTTCTCCAATTCAACTAGTCGTCAGTCGGCTAGTCTATCTGTCTGTCTGATGGTTTAGCTCATCTCAGAAAGTCTCTAGAGTTCAGGGGAATCTTTTGTCTGTCCCATGTTCGTAAAAAGATCTACTGTTGGTCAGTAGGTCAATCGGACAATCAGTCATTCACGCCATCTAGTTCATCACTTAAATATATACATATGGACCAGCCACAGCCGGCTCGCGGCTGGCATGCGGACTATCAGCCAATCGGCAAGTCAGTGAATCGTTTCCTCACGGGTAGAGAGCGGAGTACTCAAAACTTTTCTAGCTTTCACGTTCTAGACAGATGTTTAGGATATTTCGCTAACATAAATGCTCTTGAACAACTGTGTGTAAATATATGAATATCATATATTTGAACTGCGGGTTCATGCTTAACTACTTTAGCAGTGGTGAAAATAAAGCCTGAAAAATCACTTCTGCTGAAGTAGTGTTCCTTGTTGCAAAAGTCACTCTCATCTTCATTAATGCTCTTGCGGAAAATACGATTGTTAGTGCGGAATATAAGAGTATCCTAATAATGTTCACTTACTTCAGGTTTTGCTGTTTCGTTGTTGACTTTTGTCTTTGATTTTGATTTTCTTTTTTTTTCGTTAACAGACGGGAAGAAATGAAGAGATTTTTGACCGAACCTGGTGAAACCGTTCAGTCCATCGTAGCATTTCCGAGGTATGATATGTAAGGATGCGGAAAACACAGAAAGATAGACGTAGTTTTGGGCCGGTTTTAACAACTGACCGCAAAAATTACCAAAATTAAATTCAGCGTTATGCACGATTTCAGTCATATCTTGCTAGCACTTGCTTTTTCGCTGTTCACAACCTTGCTGAATCGCGACAAGTACTTTGTAAAGAAGGTATTGATTAAGTTCCTTTAACCATCTGGTTCAAGTTCTAAGATGAAATCTAAGTGATCAAACTCAACAAGTTGACAAGATCTGTGTATGCGTGCTGCTCACAAGTACAAATTATGAAAAAAAAAACCAACAGAAACAATTTCCAAAAAAATTCAGAATACATGCGGTCATCTTATCGTTTAGGTAATGAAAAATGTTTTCCTTATCAGATTGGGATGCCCCAACTTTACCTTTCCATTTTTTGAACCAACTCCGAACAAAGGATTGTCATGTTCAATGTTTATTCCGGACCAGGCTGTCTGTCAGAATCAACTCAGGTTTAGGTAAGAAAACCAGCTCAGAGAGTGAAACGTATGTGCGCTGGTCCAAAGCACTGAGAGTGGCATGTCGCAACTCTCCCGACTCAGTTGAAGTATTTGTAGAGATATTTTAAAACTGATTACTGGGGTTGATCGAAGGCTAATGATTACGCTACTGTAACCTATCGCCAACAGCTCTTCAAATCTAGCCAATTGGAAAATTAGAGGAATTTAAGGATGAATGGGGGGGGGGGGGGGGGAGGCAGGGGTTATGGGTTGTGTGTTAAATCCCCTCCTTCCCCTCCAAAAAGAGGGAACAAAAATTTCAGAGTAAAAATATTTGACTCGTAAAATTAAGCGAAACCAATCGGGTTTTCTGCTTTTTCCCAGCAAACCTCTCGAACATACAAGTTAGAGCACATTACAGCATTATCCAGCGTGGCTGGCGGTTTAGTGTGTGCTTTTGGGCGGTACTGGGATAGGTTTGGGATGGTAAATAGAAACGCAGCCTCGCCTCTCATCCATTTAAGGCGCACACAAAACTCTTTGATATGCAGGCAATAACAGTGTAGTTTATTGGCCGATCGGCATCACCCCAATTTTTCCCTAGATCCGGCTTAGAAGTGGTCCAGTTTACCTAGTTTTTAAGTCATTGTTTTCTACAACCATGAAATTTTTTAGCAAAATGATTATCTATTTGATAGTTTTTGTTATTTCTACTAGCTCAATGACGCAAAACATCCGAGAAAGAAGAGGTTCAAAAGTTGCTATCAACGTACCAAGTACGTTTGTCCGTTTGATATTTTGTTTGTTTGTTTGTTTTCGTCTCTGCGCCTATATTCGTGAAAACGACTCATGACTTGACTTTCACCTGTAATCGTGTCTTTACAATTATAATGTGAACCCACATATTTAGAGACATTAGACAAAAGTCCTCGTTTGAGGACCGTACCCGTGCGTCCCCACGAGATGCGAGCTGAAAGAAGGTTGGAAGTAAAATAAATAACGACGGTCATCAGGCTTATTGCCTGAATTAGGTCGGACAGGACGGGAAAATGTTGGGTTCTCGGTTAGAACGCACGGATCTCGTTGCACTCTATCCTTATGTCTACATCTTAAGCCAAATATTAACCCATCCAGTCTCCCACAGAATTAATAAATACCGGTACATTGGCTTTGTTGTGCTTGTAAAAGAATTATGCGATCGATGCACGATTTTTCCAAACATTGTTATTTATTTCTTTGAGACAAGAAGTTACTATTTATCTCTTCTCTGAATTGTTTCTACCACTTTTTCAGTATTCAAAGACATAAACACCCCTTCACCTTTTACTGAGACGTTTCCCACCGTTGAAGGAGAAGGAGCTGAGGCTGCTTTGCCAGATCACATTTATATGGACAGTGTAAGCTGCGGCCTTGGGATGTCTTGTATTCAGGTACACTCCTCTCTGTTGAAAAGCTTTCTTTATATAGGAAACTTAACTGAGAGAAACCTAAAGATTGGAGAAGATACGTAAGGCCGAGAGTCACTAAGAAAAGTCCTCACTTTGCTTATTTCCTTTTTTCGATGCTTTCTATTCAAAGCGGAGCTGGTTTGCGGAACGAAACAAAACGAAACAAAACCAAAAAAAAAGCACAATTAGGGAAAGCGGAGGTCATTCTCCTCCAGCTCCAACAATTGTGTGTGACCTAGTTGCAATAATTTAGCCTTCTTTCTTCTAGAAAGAGTTAAATTTAACAAATACGAAGCGGTTACCAAACTAAAATCAGTTTCACTATTTCAAATTTGCAACATAAATAGAGGGAGAGGTGACTTCTCCTACAACAACGCAACGGTGGAATTTAATGGCTGCTCGTCTGAAAAGAAGTCAACTAATAGACACAAGTTATTATGCCACTATTCTAAATAAAGAAACCCTATAAACAATAATAAATAGGAGATTTACGTATTTATCACGCAAGCACAGTCTTAACTAAGTAGATCGAAGTTTATTATCGGTGAGTTCTGTCATGCAAAGGTCTAGAAACTGATTTAAAAAGCATGTTCTCTTTCGAAATGAAAGGTCACTCTCCAAGCCTGCAACATCCATGAAGCAAGGTTTCTTTACGATCAACTCGCGGTAGTGAGTCCCATATTGGTATGTAAACATGGTATTTTTGCTTCAATGCTCATTCAGTGGATAGTGTTGAATAATCTTTCCACTACTGAGGGTGAGGCGAATAATTGTTTCAGTTCTATTGCTTATGTGATTGTAATAGCGAAAATAACTTGTTTCATTCCTGTTCTGCGAGCTTGTAACTTATCAAATCTTCATGAGTAGATTTGACGCGTTCATTTAACCTAATCAGTAAATAATTCATATGTTGCTTGTGAAGAGTGCTTTGTAAAACTTAGTAGCAGTTTTGTGTTCTTGGGTATTGGATTTTCTTGTGCGACGTTTACATCTGCCTCGACAAAATTGACTAATGCACATTTTCAAATTTAGTGCATCTTCTATAATTACCTCGTGCTGGGCGATTATAACTGGATATGATAGTCGGATTATAGATTTCGGCATCCCCGTTGCCCGTATAGAGTGGTGCCAAACTTACAAAAACAACACAGTCACCGATAAGTTAAAAGATTCTGAAACTAAGGAGGCTTTATTTTTGTCTGACATGAAAAGATTCTTATTCCCAATCATACACTGCATGAAAGGAAGTCAAAAGATATTTGAATAGAACTTCAATGGAACTAAGGTGGTTTTTTTCCCCTGAATTACTACCTCTGTAGGGTCGATTCTTTTAATATTACCAAGAATTAATATTTGTTGTTTTTAATTGTTAGATGGCTCTGTCTGCTGGAACTCCCATCGCACGAGGATATCTTTCTGATGTAGATTGTCGTTGGGGAATCATATCTGAGTCAACAGATGATCGAACCCCGGAGGAGAGAGGCCTCGAGGTATTTGTTAAGAATTAATAATTTTTTTTAACCCTGAAGCATTATTTAAACAAATCGTCTTAAAAGCCTCCATGCCAGAGGTAACTCTTTAACTTATCACTTTAGATGTAGAAGCTTTTTTTCTTTTCCGATGTGTGATGAATGAAGTTGTCACTCAGTACCCGTTGATGCTAGCGGTATGCAAGGAGATTCAAACGTTATGAACCTGGTAGATCGCATGACTCGCCAAGAGTTCTCCAAAGCTAAGTCAGAGGATAACATTAGGGAGTGACAACTCGCTCGGATAATCACAGGCGACTTTAAGTTTTCTTTTGCTCTGGGCTCGATATAAAATAGTGCTTTAAATCTTTAAATGTTTAAGTGTTTTAGTATTTGCGTTTCCTCTCCTTCAGCCACTCAAGGAAAACAAATTTGTGATACCTAAGTCACGGTATGATTCAGTGAGTACATATCTGTCAGCTGAGGCGAATGGTTACAACGACATCGACTTGGTGTATGACCAAGACATTTACCAACAGCTCGTCGTTGCGGGTAAGTGCTACACTATGGTAACAACAGAACACACTCAAGATAAGTTTCGGACCATACAAATCGCAGCGACTGTTAGAATTATGAACGCAGCTACATTGTCTTTTTTTTATATGAATCGGGAGAGCTTGTGTTTCCATCGGCATTCTTTGGAGAATAAGACAACTTAAGTCCAAATTCTGCATTTGGAAATCGATCAAATAACGTCACTCTCCCTGTTTGTATTAAAGAAATTTTATTCTCCTTCTCTAGACTTCAATCGCGAAAAACTTGTTCGTGGCATAACGGCAAATCGCACAAGCATTTGAAAAGCAAACTCGATAACACGTGACAGCAAACGACAAATTTTGAAAGGTTTCTGGGTCATGCTATCGAATTATTCAAATGTTGTGTTATAAAAAACATTTTAAGGACCTTTTTTAAGTTTAGATGGCATTAAAAATTTAAGAATCGCCTCTGTTTCAAAATTGGACGTTTATTTATGAAAATTCATTTTATCGCTGATATTCTAGGCGTTGATGAACCACTGGCTCGGCATGTCGCGCATTTGTTCATTCGGGATCCTGTGGCGTCTCTGTGCCTTGAAGACCTCTACAAAGACGACGAGGGAAGCTCAAATCTATTTGAGGTCAGATGTAACACCAGTGGTCGATATAATCTCAAGATATCTCAGAAGCTCAGTTTGGAACATTTGTCTGTTGCATACTTTGTATTCCATGATAGGGGAAAATTCTGTCGAAAGTTGTTGGACATATTTGAAAGTAATGTAAACATACAAGCAGCTAAATTTTCGAAATGAGGGTTAAACAGGTTTTTGAGATAAATATAGCAGACTAAGTAAGTTGTAAAATAGTGCTTATGTAGATTCCTCGTTTTAATTATCAGAACATAAATTCCACCAACTGGCAAACCGTGCGCTTCAAGCCACCACCGCCTGATTCTTCGATGGGATGGAGAGTGGAGTTCAGGTCCCTTGATGTAAGAAGATGACATTGGTTTGTTTGTTTGTTTGTTCCTTTGTGTTATAGTTGTGGGATTAGTCCACGAAGACATTTCAAAGTAGGAGTACCAGAATGGGATCAGTTAATAATTTGTCTTCTTGCACAACTGGAACAAGAATTCTTCGGGGCCAAAGTCTTTGGGGAAACAGCAATTGATTGCTTTTTATTCCCCTATCATAGCATTGATCGATCAGTTCATTAATTTACAGTCTTATGTTAGTTCAATATGTGTTTTAGGTACAACTGACAGACTTCGAGAATGCCGCTTTTGTGACATTTGTCATACTTCTCACGAGGGCGATTTTGTCTTTTGATCTCAACCTGCTCATTCCTATATCCAAGGTGAGTAAAAAGCCGTGGACGGGGGGAGGAGGGAGGGGGGAAGACACAGTGACCTGCCAGTTGGAGAACTTGATTCTAAGTCTAAGGGTCTCAGTTCGAGCCTTTCCGGGTCGTTGTGGTGCGACCTTGGGGTGGACACTCACCCCCTAAAGAGCCCATCCCCCAACCCTTCTTCCCCCGCCGGAACCACGGGGTATTAATGCGGAGGAGAAATTCTTTCTTGGTTACTCCTTGAAGTGAAAGGGTTAACTTTGGGGGGGGGGTAGGAAGGGGGAGGTTTTGTCATCCCAGGTCCATCTCATCAAAAAAGATAATTACAGTGCGATTGCGTCGATGGAACACTTTGCCCAAATTCGATATTTTAAAGGTCAGGTAGCGACAACAGAAAGCGCGGACGAGTGGCAATTACCAAAAGCGCTTGTGAAACTTTCTATTTTTCCAGTAAGACGAGTACAAACGCACTGATTTAATTTTTATCTAAGAACTGTACTTCTTCGGTATTCTCGGGCAGTGTTAATTGTTTTTTCGATTTTTTTTTTGTTACTATTTTATTAAGACAGCCCTAGGAATATTCGTTCACAACTGCAAATGTTGTTTTGTCACAGGTGGATGAAAATATGGTCAAAGCGCAGAAGAGGGACGCTGTCAGACAAGGAGAGTTTAGTTTCAGGAAGAATGTGTGGAAAAGTGAGCAAATTGTTCTGTTCTAGTCTCTTTGTCTCTGATATTATTAAGTAATTAGTGTGATCAAATTTTGGCTGCTTTTGACTGACCTAGCTCAGCTCAATACTGCCTTCTCTTTGTCTTGGTCTCTGAGCAGCTGATAGTCTTATAACGTATTAATAAAAACTTAATTTCTGCCCTATTTGCATACACTCTACACCATATTTTACACTTGAACTTTAAAAAACGGCTCGTTACGTTTTGTCTCCGGAAGGTGTTGTTGTGAGAGAGGCTGAAAATTGCCACAACAGCGCAGAATTTGAATTGATGTCGATCGACAAGATTATCAACGGCAAGGTGAGAGATAATGGACGACAAAATTAAAGTGATTTAGAAAGAAAGATGGAGGGGACTGCCGCAGAGATAACCGAAATATATTTACAACCGCTCTTGAGCCTTCCTTTAGCTTTTGATTAAGGAGATAGGACGCATGTATGAAGTGAAGATAACACATTTCTGTAAGATCTTTATTGTATTGAAATTTTTGCTTGAATAAACAATTTAGGATGAGGCTTCGTGGAAATATGCAACGATTCAAACTGAAGATATTTTCCATTCTTTTTTTTTCTGTTATCAATTATTTTCATTATTTCATCATAGTTAGTTTTTTTTTTTTTTTTTTAATCATTATCTCACTATGTTCTTCACACGACTTAGTGTCACTCGCTCACACCAAAGCATATCGAGCATAAATAATCTGGTTCTATTTTATTGATGCTTGATTACAGGATAACGAGTTCCCCGGCTTGATACCACTCATAAACCGTTACCTAGCGACCACAGATGTCGACTTCAACACACGCTGCACTATTTCCCAATACCTGAACCATATTTCGAAAAAGGCCTCTGGTAAGTTAATGGTGTAAGAGCTTTACGTACATGTCAAATGACAAAAGGCTTGACACCGCTAACTTCTACACGCTGCATTACGTACGGTAGAACTTCGCTACGTCGCCGAACTTTTATTTCACTATGCGAAGAGTCTTTGGTGGTCGCTACCCTTTCCTAAAGCAAACTTTTGTTTCACGGCAGTGCGCAGAGTATACCCGTTTATACGTGTCCTGGGTATTCTCAAAAGACGGAGGTGAACCTCTGAGAGGGGAGGCACAAATTTTATTAATGCATAAAACATTTTCCCTCTTAACTAAGACCGTATTTTTTTCAATTATAATCATCACTTTTTTACTCTTTGCCTAAGGTGAATTGCTTACAACAGCTCAGTGGATTCGAAGATTTGTGGAAAGTCACACGGAATACAAGAGAGATTCTGTAGTCAGTGAGAGAATTTGTTTCGATCTTTTGAGAAAAATCGATTGTGTTGGCCAAGGAGAGACTAAAGCTCCCGAACTCTTTGGGGAGGCTGCTACTTTGAGGATGGGTGACGCTGTATTTAAGAAGTATCTTGAAATCAAAGGGAAGATTAAAAGCTTTGAAGATGACGGTAAAATAAGAAATAACATCTTGATGAGGTGGAATCTTTTAAAACCAAATTGTTAAGATTGTGAATGTCACCAACAGAAATGAAGTCTTGGTTTACGTAGTATACGAAATTGTATGTATTTATGGACTGTACCATTAATATCTGTCATCTACTATTTGTGACGGATCCTGATAATAGATTAATATCAGTATCTGAACAACGGCGGACCTACCCCACCCCTACATGTAAATCAACATTAGCCTTCTTATCACTTTAATAGGCTGGGGGGGGGGGGGAGGGTAAGTTCGTGCGTATTTGGTCAGACACTGACATTGATCCATGATCTTTACCGTTCAAAGTGTTAACCTTCGTCAAGATTAAATGACCGACAATTTATTACTCTGCATTGAACGAAATATTTACAAGTTCATTACACTGCCGTTTATATCGTTTACTGGCGATTGAGCATCGGAGAGAAATCGAGAGAAGATCAAATACTTAAATGCTTTAACCAACAATTTATTAAATGTATTTTGCATTATTAACTTTTCTCTTTGCATGCAAATATCCCGAAAGGTGTTTTACGGACACGGGTTGTATATCAGTTGTATTTATAAATACTGCCTTTTATGAAAGAAAATAAACATAGTAAAAAAAAAAAAAAACCGACGAAGGAATAGTGCTCAATTTATTTTTTTAAATTTTGCAACGAAGGTCATGATATCGTTACGGCCAATGATATGCACAAGGCGCTAAAAGAACGGCTGGTGAAAGGGACAACTGCAGCCAAATGCTCTGTTGATGAATCAAACAAGAACGCTGAGGTTAAAAAATTAGAAGGCTTTAGCAAATTTCACAACTTCTCTATCAAGGGTGAAGGCATTCGTGTCTGGCGATGTTATGGCATTGGTAGCGGGAAGTTTTTTTTCCTTACAAGTCTTTAATTGTGCAACCGCAAAAATCACCGTCGCTCCTTACCATGGAGCCATTTTTCCCCATAAGCGTTTCTCGAGTCCTTAAACCAGAGACGAAAATTAAGCCTAAAAGCGCAACTGTTTTTGTTTGTCCCTAGCCTGGTTGCACAAAAACGTTTGCAAGATTTTCAGACTTTGAACTTCATTTAGATGTAGGAGAACACGTGGCGGATTCAGTGAACAACCCAAGCGAAAAAGTGTGTGAAGATTCGACTAAATTTAATGTAAATTAGCATAGTTCAAAATTAAGAGAGTGTCTCTGTAAGAGCGGTCCGGTCGATTTTGCTTGAGACACGGATTTCGCTCGTTTCTCGTGTGTTGTAAGACATTCATGTACCTATACTAAAACCACAATCAGTTTGATCGGATCTCTTTATTTTTCAGAGTTTTACGGAAATTAAATTTCACTCGAGCGAAGGCTTGTTGTGACACTTTTCAAGACTTTAATTTCATACAACTTTAGAGGACAATTTACAAAAAACTACGGAACTCAGCAAAAAACAAATACCACAGCCATGTATATTAACTCTATCTTATCTATCGAGGCGACTTTCGTAAACATCACGTGTCAATCAAGGAAACAGGAAGACTTGAATGACACCTTATCGGTTCGCCTAAATCAAACACGCCAAAACCGATCAAATTCAAGGTAAATTTTTGAAAAAGTGAGGCGTTCTTAACTGATCCAACTAACATAGCTAGGAAGTAGGTGCCATAGAAAAGATAACTACAGAAAAAAACTTTGCGGCCCGACCTTTACGAGAACTTTATAACTCCGTGAACTTACCTAATTTTTCGGCAATCTCCAAGTTTGGCCGCCATTTTGAGGGACTTGTCAACATGAAGCGTAACCGATATAAATCAAGCAGGTTAATCTTAAACCGTCAGAAATACATACGAAAGCAATTCAAATGAACTTTTCTTTCAATTCAAGCGGCAAAATTTGAAATTGTTCGTTAAACTTACAATCCTCATGCGACCATTTCTTTCAACAATTCAAACACTACAACTAGTGTTCGAATTCCCCTCGTCGATTCCACCGCAAGAAATAACCTGTGCCACCCAAGCTTCGACTCGAATATGAAGTACGAATCAAGTAACATAACTGCTTCATCTTCGCGGAAATATCACGCTGGTATTTTGATTTTCCGATCGACAAGAACGGTGATCAGGAATAGATCGGTTTGTTTACCTCGTAAACGTGACCTCTGACCAGCCGCTAAGTGAAAATAGCATAGCGCGGGGTGGGGTGGTTGGCGGGCTTATCGTCATAAGATATTCGAATGCATGCTCAAAAAGCTTTAGGACTATCAGTCTAAACAGTGAAGGCATGCTTCGAGGTACAGAAAATTTTTATTTTATTCTCATAACTTTCTCCTTTAAATTAGAACTGGTATTAATTAATAGAGTTATCAATATATTTTTAACCGGGGCACCCATATAACCTTTTTGCTTGTCATCAGTGGTATAAAATAAAATGTCTTTTCCACCAGAACCTTTTATTTATGCCCCATTGCACGGAATGAACACTATACTTAGAATGATTGCTCTAAGTAATTTTTTCTGTTCCCAAGAATGTATGCAAAGTGGTAGAGATTTGATTAATTCCGCTGACACGTTCTTTTAAGTTATGGCGCGTGCAGGTTTTTTCTATCAAAAGTCGCGCGTGCAACACACCGGAATTGAAAATTCGTCGTAAAATCGCACGAACCTTAGAATGATTTTAGGCAACTTTGACTTCTAGCGAGATTAAGAGGATGATTCAAAGGACCCTTTGAGATTTTTTTCAGTACTATAACTGAGAATTGTTAATAACTATGATAATCGTCATCATTAGCGGACGGTGCTTTTTGCCCATTGTTGTCATCATTATCGTTATCACGCCGGAAGAAGTATAAAGCCGGCATGTCGCCTTACCTAGCTACACAGAAAATTGTTCTCTCTTTTGCTCCCCTTGGATCCTGGAAACTGTTACTATTAAGACGATCAACAAGAAAGCCTTTATAATTATTGAAACTTTTGATTAACAGAATGTAGAAAAAAATCGGTGGGGAGAGTTTTTCGCGTATCTTGTAATCTGAACGATAGTTTTAAATAAAACAAATAACAATTCATTCAATTTACCTTAGTTGTCTCGTGTTTAAAAGTGGCGTTTCTGGGGACCGTAGATTCTTCTCTGATTCTTCTTGTCTCAGCCAAGACTCACTATCATCAACTTTTTTCTTGTGCTTCTTACGGCATGGGACACAGTGAGCTGAGGTAAGCGATTGCAAATTTCTCAGTTAAAGTAAAGCCCAGTAGCATCCATCAGGAATTAAAAACCGACATGCACTGTTTACTTTTATTATTCTTAATCAAATAAGGGGTGTTTTAGTCTGCAAATTTAATCATATCGGTTAATGAGAATCATACAAACTGAGGAAAACTGACCGCAAATAATTGTGAACCGTACGCATGAGTAAGTAGATTGCGTTATCAGGTGATTTGATCTTCTACAAAAACATTATTGATTATCAACCGAGCAACTTTGTACATATTTCCATCTGTGATGAAAAGCACTTACACATAGATCTATTTTTTTTCAACGTGATGTGTACTTAAGTACCCTTCATCTAATAAAGAATTTCTTCTCTTTTCGAGCAGATATGTCACGTGACAAAAATAGATAACAGAAAATGTTACTGAAGACCACCTGATTCAACTGGAATAATAACTCCAAACAGCTTTTGGACGTCCTGAGACATATGCAAGGTAATTAATCGTGAGTGGTCAGTGGTTACGCTCGTGAGGTAAAGAATGGGTTTGTGACTTTCTCATTCAATTGAATCACTCGCGTCACTCTTATAAAATGGTTGAACGGAATACAGACTTCGAGTAGTCTCTTATTTTTCTTAAAGATAGTGAGGTCACGCGTATCCTGTGAGCATGGTGAATCCGCGAGACGCGAGACTCGTATCTCGCGTCTTCGCCGCTCCACGCTCTCAGACTTGGGCAAAGATAAGACACGTTATTTCCGGTGCGATACAAGAGGTTCAATGGTTATCTCGATTATCTAAACACATTTATTTACGTGGTAAAGATTTGCTTTTAAATCTATGAACTGATGCTAGTCCTATTTGGAACGAAGTGTATTTGAAATAAAAAAGAATACTAAGTAAAACAAAAGTTGTCTGCAACACGAAGTATGCCTTCACATTAAGACTGAGAATCCTAATGTTTATCGAATGTTCCCAAAAACCTTCTGATAATCTGCCCGCATCCACCCCTCACCCCGCTCCTCGCCACTGAACCGTACTGTTTTCACTCAGCAGCTGGTCAGCGGTCACGTTTACGAGGTAAACAAACCGATCGATTCTTGATCGCCGTTCTTGTCGATCGGAAAATCAAAATACCAGCGTGATATTGCCGCGAAGATGAAGCAGTTATGTTATTTGATTCGTACTTCACATTCGAGTCGAAGCTTGGGTGGCACAGGTTATTTCTTGCGGCGGAATCGACGAGGGGAATTCAGAAAGTTGTAGTGTTTGTATTGTTGGAATAAATGGTCGCATGGGGATGGTAAGTTTAACAAACAATTTCAAATTTTGCCGCTTGAATTGAAAGAAAAGTTCATTTGAATTGCTTTCTTATATATTTCTGACGGTTTAAGATTAACCTGCTTGATTTATATCGGTTACGCTTCATGTTGACAAGTCCCTCAAAATGGCGGCCAAACTTGGAGATTGCCGAAAATTAGGTAAGTTCACTGCTCTCTTACTGTCAATGCCAAAGTTCTCGTAAAGGTCGGGCCGCAAAGTTTTTTTCTGTAGTTATCTTTTCTATGGCACCTACTTCCTAGCTATGTTAGTTGGATCAGTTAAGAACGCCTCACTTTTTCAAAAATTTACCTTGAATTTGATCGGTTTTGGCGTGTTTGATTTAGGCGAACCGATAAGGTGTCATTCAAGTCTTCCTGTTTCCTTGATTGACACGTGATGTTTACGAAAGTCGCCTCGATAGATAAGATAGAGTTAATATACATGGCTGTGGTATTTGTTTTTTGCTGAGTTCCGTAGTTTTTTGTAAATTGTCCTCTAAAGTTGTATGAAATTAAAGTCTTGAAAAGTGTCACAACAAGCCTTCGCTCGAGTGAAATTTAATTTCCGTAAAACTCTGAAAAATAAAGAGATCCGATCAAACTGATTGTGGTTTTAGTATAGGTACATGAATGTCTTACAACACACGAGAAACGAGCGAAATCCGTGTCTCAAGCAAAATCGACCGGACCGCTCTTACAGAGACACTCTCTTAACATTGTTATGCTGTTTAGGTATGACAGTCTATCCCTGACCAAAATTAGGTCTATATTTCTCCAATCCCCAGCTTGCTCTCTTACTGTCAATGCCAAACGGCAATCCTTATCTGTGAGTGATGTTAATGATCCAAAGAGAGTTTAAAATAATTGGAACACTCTTAGATGGAACTTGTCCGCCTTTGTTATCGGTGTTGTCATCCACTTTAGACCACTAATAGCAGGACTGCCGTTGGGGGTGAGAAACCTCGTACTTGTGACTTTAAATAAAGATATAAATTTGAATTCTAAATGGTTAACGCTCTCTCCATGTAATTTCAAATACTTGAAGCTGAAACACGATATTAATCTCGATTTCCAACGCATACTAAAATGCTG